AAAAAACAGTACGAAACAAAAAGCCACATCTCGAATACTTTATATCAAAAGCGCTGGAGATTCTAAAGTTTACTCAATCCTTGCACTGGCAGCAAGTAATTATGTTTGTTGTTAAATTTATCAACTTCATGAAGCCTTTAAGCGGAGAATAAGCGTAGTGATTCTAGCTGTCCCTTGTCCCAAGTCAACCCTGCTTCCCAAAACCCAGATCCAAACGCCAGTCAAAAATGTTTCTCGTGGAATCTAAATAAAAGGACGCGCATGAGACGAAAATGTGGAGCAGAAGAGTAGCTAACTGTGAATTTGCAAAGAAGGCCAAAGTTGAGCTCCTAAAATGAAAGCGAGTCTTTCATAGAACGCACTACAAGCGCCAGGTGTAATCCGACTGAGTCCCCAAGGGCCTGTTAACTTTGATAGCATCCATATAATTGCGGACTTGGTTTTTTTTCTTTTTCTTGAAGAAAGAAGAAAAAAAAGAAGTATACAGCATACATGTGATGTATTCGACTTCACTCTGCATGCTGCGTGCGACTAGAGTGCCTCTATCAAGTGTATGAAACTACATAGGCATATGAGCGAAAGACTATCGCGAGACTCTAAGATAACCCCTGACGCTTAATAATTATGAAGATTCCTAAGCCAAAGCATATAACGGATCATAGGCGCAGGCCGATCTCATAGGACGAATCGGAAACGATTCGTGGTCTTTGCAACCATAGTCATCGAACCTATTCAAGCAGCATCTACCATAGGTAGATCCAGATCCAGATCCGAGCACATCCTCACTCACTATTGGTTGGATAGACAAGGACCCAGAGGTGGTAAAGTAGGATTTGAAGATGCCAAGTCGAAGAGGGGTGCGAAAGATAAAAGTTTGACATTTTCATCATGCCTGCCGATCTTAACCTTGGGACATTATTCAAAATATCAAATGTGGCAAGGGTCGCATTAGACCGCTCATATCAACCCGCTCGCTAGGATCTGACTGGCTCATGAGATGACAGGGGAACTTCCCCGTCATCTCAAGTCGTTACCTCAGATCGAGCAGCGGGAGAACTTAAGCCAACAGAGATCGATATGGTCTCATCGAGGACAACCCCACCTCTTTGGGGTTTTGTATGAGCTTATGCAAGTCTATCGAAAATCTGTGAAGTCTTGGGTATGGTGCGTGTGTTGTTCAAGCCATCCGGACATGGTTCGTGCCCGTGCTGATCATCGAGCCAACCCGTGGACGATGGGCAAACCCGCCGCTAGTAATGCCGCTAACGAAATAGAGGCTCTTGGGGAACTGTTTGAGAATGCGTCTTTCCACGTAGGACCAATCACAAGGGACGTTCACTTTCATGCACGAATTTTCAGCTCGCCAAAACGTGCGATCGTCGCTGTGCTTTGCTTTTAGCCATCGCGAATAGTCGCCGACGTGAGACAAAAGAATCCCGGGGCCCTGGAACATTGAAGCCAAATGCTATCAGGCTGCTCTATGATTGGCCAACGGTGCGAAGTCGACATCCGAATCAGGATGGGGGCCGAGCAGCTTTGGCACATATGGCAAGTTGGGATACGACACCATTGGCCAGACTGATCGTTGCCGCTCCATCGAGTTCTCCAGTGGCTAGCTCAAATGCACTGGCCCACGGTGGATATGGTGGTGGGTGGTGTACAAGGGTGTTGTATTTATGTTCGCGACCGGACGGGAAAGGGAGACAAGATCCAGTCGCGTTCATGCTGGACTTCATCGGAGCAAGAGTAGATCGATTTCCTGGCAAGATGGCCTCAATTCTCGGCTCTTTGGTACGTCTGATTGTCAAATCTCGGCCTTCAGATGGTCGACATGACGAGGAACTCGGGGGCCCCCACCCGCCTGGGAACGCCGGCGTGGCATCAAGCACCACCATGGATCCTGCTGTTGATGGTCGGTCCTCTTATCACTTCGGATCATCAGGACGCCTGAGTCAGCGCATGCCTGCGAGCGATCCTCTGGCGACATTTCGCCTGATGATGGGAATCACATCTTCTCCTTATTTGGGGTTCAGTCAGCACAGCCGTCCGGCTCCAAACATCGGTATCTATGCGCGGGTCGTCTACGCCGAACAGAAAGCGAAAGACAGCTTCAAGATCTTTTCGCTATTGATCAACTGCTGCTACTTCCTTCAGATCGTAGTCGCAGCGGCGCTGACGGCTATGGGGGCCGCCAATGCCGACAACAAGGCCATCACTGCGTTCGGGGCCATCAACACTATAATGGCTGGCTTGCTGACCTTCCTCAAAGGTTCAGGTTTGCCAGCCCGATACAAGTACTACGGCAATGAGTGGAAGAAAATCAGGGAATTCATCGAAGCTAAAGAGCGAGAATTCGCCCGCGAGGACTGCGTACTCAACGTATATGAAGTTGTCGACACCATCCAACAAATGTACGAAAACGTCAAGCAAGAAATCGAGATTAATACGCCGGACAGCTACACTTCAATCACCAACAACGCGCGCATGACGCACGACGCTCAGGGGAAGATCGGTGGTCTCATTGTCTCAAAGCTTGACGGGTTGTCGAACAAGCTGCTCGACACCAAGGATTCAACCCAGAAACTGGCATCTGGTGCAGAGAAGCATGCTCATGGAATTTTAGATGATCTGCATCAGAGTGAGAAGAAGATCGGCTCTCAGATCCGGACGCTTGAAAGTTCGATATCAAAAGAGATTGAGAGTTACAGTAACGATATAGAGCGCAAGGCGCATGCAGTCAAGGAGGTTGGGCACAGCGCTGAACGGAAGGCCAAAGCAGTAAAGAATATAAGTAAAGATGCCGTTGAAGGCACGGGCAGAGTCATAGCCGGAGACACGGTTGTGCATGGCGATGACAAGAGGGAATCAAACAATCATTGATAGACCGAATTAGTGGACAACCAGAGGCCTTAATCATACAATGTACAACAGCATCTCAGTAGATAATTCCTCCAACTATCGACCTTGAAAGCACACCTTTCGAGAGCCTAATTCTTTTCTAACTAGCTGTAACTCTAAATGATAATGTAATAGAAGTGAATTCAAACACAGTACATAGCGGCATGGTGAGCATTGGAATTGCATCACAGCGTACTTGGTGGTAAAATATATATATCCACAACCGACCCGCGCATGCAATCACCAAAATTAGCGCCAGTCATTCCCCTGCATTACACCAACTCTCAGAACTTAGTGGACCAAGTCCGACAGACCAGCCTGATCAATATTCTCCTGTAAAGTTCCGTTGAGGACTATACCAAAAGGGCCTGCTTCAAGCGGACAGAATGAATCGTCTCCAGGCATTTGGTTGGCCTGGAAATAAGCAGCCACCTTTGCGAAGGCGCACTTGTTTTGAGTGGCAACCATTGTGTGCTTATGATGTATCAGCTTTTGATACTATTGTAAAAGAATAATCGTCACTTACTCCAGTTCCATCTATAGTAAGAATTTGGGCATTCTTGTACTTCGGTGCAGACGAGATCGCGCTTCATTTCGTCGAATTAATTTTAGGATAGCCTTGCAGAAGCGTTTCAACTTACTTTTCAATAGGGGTTACCGAGTCATGGGTGTTGCTGACAAAAAGTATCGGTGTTGCGGTGTCGCCACCAAATGGACCGGTGAATATCTCGCTCGCTTTGATCGACCAGCCAAGGCACCCAAGCCATGAACGGCTCCAAACCTCACCAATGATGCTTTGTTCTTGAAGGTCGGCGAGAAGGGGCCTAATGTCGGAGAGTGTCTTGTTGTACCACCTGTTGTCCTCATCAGAGCATGCAACACCCAGGCTCCATTCGGGGTTCTCGTAGCCAGCCACGGTAGGGTCACCGATGATGGCCATGACTTGGGATGTCCATGTTGTAATACTCTGCGTTGAGAGAGCTCCCTCAAGGGCTGTGAGTATCGGGGACAAGATTCCGAAGATATCAAGGGGGGAATGGGCAGCGGTCAAAAGTCCAACTTTCAGTGTAAGCAATGCGAGGTTAATGTCCGTGGCGTTGGACCAGTTCAGCGCCTCCGCTTTTTGAGGGTCAAGCTGGGTGAATGACCGATTAAACCGTTCATATATGTCCCTTGGCGTAGAACCAGTATAATATGAACAGGCCGCTTGTCCTGCCTCATGGCAGTAGACGAAGAACGAGGCTATGATCCCATCAAGATGGTTGATGCCATTGGAGACTCCGTTCGCTAGGTAACCCTCTGGACTCAAGATACCATCTAGAATGACGTTTCCTACTCTGTCTGGGAACATAGAAGCGAAAGTCTGCCCAAGGAACGAACCATCTAAGAAAAGGACATGTTAACTATTCGTGTTTTGACTTGCAATATCGGTTCCCATGGGTACTCGTGGGAGCCTAGTAGGGATAGACTTTTGACTTGTTCAGACTTCTTCACACTGTCGTTCTTGCACTTACAGCTGATTCCATAGTAGTTGAGAAGGTGGCTAGGCTTCGCGGCCCTTGCGCCATCATCTGTCTGTGCGAATGCATCGACGATACTGAGCATATCCCGTGCTATGATTGCAGTTGACATGTACCGCCCTGCGCCTGTTTCACCCCCCGAGGTCTTCTCGCATTCTGCACCGAGTTCCTTTCCGTACTCAATGTAACTCTCGTAGTACTCATCGAGGAGCCGTGGTACGAACCGAGATGTCAAGGACACGTTTCTCCGCAAATTGAGATTGCCTGAACAGTTGGCTACAGGCTCACTGAGCCACGTGCCTCGAATATCGAAGCCGACAACATCGACATTGTTGCCTACTACTGCCTTTTCGCCAAGTGCAAGTTAGGTGCCATTCATTAATAGTCTTTCTCCGACCTGGGAGGAATTCTCAAAGTTGAAAATACTCACCTGAACAAGAGTGCCGTTTTCACGAGCCAAGTTTACGCCTGACCCTCCGGGACCTCCAGGGTTCAGAAGGACCATACCCTGATAGGGTCCAAAAGAGGAGTTAGATGCAGCAGGATATTTGATGATAGGGACCGATGCTCGAGCAAAATCGGGGTTCTGGTAATCAAGAGGGACCTTCACTTCTAGTTTAGCATGAGTTTACTGCGAGCGCTGGGCTGTGAAGACTTACATCAAGTTTGGCGCAGAAGAACCCATCATAGCAGGGGCACCAAGTTAGTGTCGTAGAAGGAACTATGCTGTCGAAGGTGCATTGCTTGGAACAACTTGCTGCCGCCAAGTGTAACAAACCTGGCAGGACGAGAAGAGAGTGGAACTTCATTTTAGACTGAGCTGATAGAACGAGTGGTAGCGGCCAGATGGAGAGGTGCTGCTAAGTCAAATTGGAGGAGAGCAAGACATCTCGGTATTTATAGTGAAAGAAGAGATTGGGGTTCGTTAATAAATTCATCCTTGCTGATATTCAATACTGGGTAGCTGGTCCCTCGGCCGTCCACGGAACGTTGACAGTAGACCGTCTGTTCCTGGCGTAATTGAAGCTATGCCATCCAGGCACCATTTGATTGGCTCTACAATGACTAGAGAATAAGCTGCACGTAACTTGTAGAGCCCGAGGATCGTGGCTGTGCATCAAGCGACGCTAAAGCGACAAGGTCCCTACGAGCTGGCCAATCAAGAAGGACGACGGCGGCTGAGACAAGCGCGATCTTGTCACGACTCCTGGCCTTACGCAGACGATCGAGACGTCAAATTTTAATACGAACGGCACGCAATCAGTCAATGAAGACCCTTCAGTCCGTCTCCTATTGTCGCATTGCTGGTTATTTGTCGTCCAAGTCGTCGAACTGAACCAAGCCCAGCAGGCAGCAGGATAAAAGTCAGAAGGCACATTTGGCACTAGAGCTCTCCCAAAAGCGAAGGTCCACCGCCTAAAACAGCATCAGTTCCCGCAGGTGCTGAGGCCACAGGGCAGATTGCTCCATTTCCCACCACTCACTCCCCTCGGACACCTCGTTGCGTAGAGACTATACTTCTGGCTTGAGCTGTACATTGTTTGTGGGGAGGATGCCAAAGGTTGCAAAGGGGAAGAGGAAGCGCGCATACCGGCCGAAGACTAGGTCAGGGTGCCTCACCTGCAAAAGTAAGATACCCAACCCAGGGGGGACTTGAGGCTAGCGCTGGTCTTACTGACTTTGCAGTTCGACGGGTTAAATGCGATGAGACTCGGCCGGCATGCCTCAGATGCACATCGACGCGACGCACCTGCGATGGATATTCCCATGTTGAATCGCTGTGCTCATCGAGTCCACCTGCCACCCCTCTGACTGTCCTAAAAGGACCGCGCCTCCATATCCACACCTCTACACGAGCTCAGCGATCGTTTGAGTTCTTTGTTCAGCGGACTCGCCCACAACTAGCTGGCTTCTTCGGGTCTGAATTCTGGGAAAAGCTAGTGCTTCGGGCAGCGTATCATGAACCAGCGGTACGCAATGCCGTCGTCGCTGTTGGATCGCTCCATGAGCTTCGTGATAATCATACGGAGAGTGCTGATGGATGTGGAACTTTTGCGTTGGAACAATACAATCTGGCGATTAGGGATCTGCTAGTCCCTCTGGCGAAAACTGGTAAACAGGCCGTCGACGTCTGTCTAATCTCGTGCATTCTCTTTGCCTGCTTCGAGGTAGGTCTCCTCATTCTGTACACCTTCGAGGCATACGTTCTCTCGGTGCAAAGCTAACCATAGTAGAACATGCAAGGGCGCCATATCTCAGCAAAGTTGCATATTCAAAGCGGTGCAAATTTGCTTTACGAGACCGTATACGATCAGGACAGCCAAGAGATACGGCATCAAGTTCTAGGAACCAAAAGCTGTACGGACTCATATGCTTCACTAGAGACTCTTGCCGGCATATTTGCAGGCTTGGATCCACAAGCAAGAACGGTCAGCATATCTGCCCCCTTCCCTTGTATGACTGAATTCTTCCTAATGCGGCTACCAGATCATTTTAAACCAAAAATTCAATCTCCATGAGAATTACCTCTCTTGGAACTCAGTTGACGATTTTGCCATATCATTTTCCAGCATCCAGGAGGCGAAAGATGTATTTGAATATGGATGCAGTCTATTTGCCCAGCAGTTCAGCGACATGCCTATGAACGAGTCCTTTCATTCATCTACCGCTATAGAAGAACGTATGGGGCAATGTGCTACCCTGGTATCGAAGATGTGGGTCGCGCTCCAGGAGTTTGTGGAGAGGAATAGTCCTTCTTTTACGCAAAAAGAAGAACTTGCTGCGGCCGTAATGCAGCTACATGTACTCAACATCCTTGTATCGCCTCACGTTGAGCTCCTTCCGCAAGGTATTCGGGCGAGCTGGGATCAACTAACATTGCCACGGATGATGCAAATTGTTGCCCTTAGTGAAAGGGTAATACGGTCACCCTTGTATGCAGATAGTATTGGAGCAGATAGAACGACTTTCTGCTTAGATCTGGGGCTCATTATACCTCTCTACACTGTGGCCAGTCGGTGCCCAGATCGCGTTACCCGCCGGGAGGCGGTCACTCTTCTCCGGTCGGCCCCGCGTCAGGAGGGGTTATGGAACAGCTTACTAGTCGCACAAGCTGCGGAGAGGATAATGGAGATAGAGGACATAGTATGGGCAGAGTCTTGTACTCATGGCTTGGTGGAGATACCCAGACTGTTCAATATTCGACCAGAGCTGGATCTTGATGAAAGAGGGGGATGGCTACGTTATCTTCGGCCAGACCAGGAGAGTCATTCGCCAGTACTCATGACTGAAAAAGTGTTTGCATGGTAACCGCTCAGTTGAAAGGTACAGACGGACCCACACGTGTACGGAGTCCAAGATGGATGGTGGGTGTTTCTCAGGTCAAGGAAATCATGAAGAGCAGCCCACATGCATCCGTTCGAATGATTTTAGTTGCGTTGCTGGTTGCATACAACCGATGAAAGCCTGCTCAAGTCTGGAATAGGCCTCTGCCTGCGCAACAAGCTTCATGTTTTGGTGTCTTTATCTAGTTCCTCTTCATTTGAGCTGCTGTGAAGATCATGACCAGTAGAAACAGAGCTGAACGGAATTCGTATCGGGATTTTGGGCTGCAGAAGAAATCGTCCGTATGAGGACGCTGGAGTGAAGATGATGTCGCCAGACAGCTGGAAACCCCCTTCCCCGAAGTGTCGAATATCCCCGAGCAATTACTTGCGGTGCACCAAAATGATGATTGAGGTGTGTATATAAATTCCGTTTTTGTCAAGCTCACATCAGATCTGGGCTTTGTAGCAATTCCTCAAGCGCTTCGTTCGTCTCGTTGCTTTTCTCAAGATGGACCCAATGGCCCGAGTCAATCGTTCTAACCAGCAATCTCGGTACCCACGAAGAGGTTATTTGCACCTGCATCTGTGCTGAATGTGCCGGCGTACTCGGTATAACCACTAGCGCTGGGATTGTGATCTTAAAGTCCTTGAGTTCTTCCTCGTCTGGAAGCGAAAGATTCTGATCCAGCATCTGGTAGTAACGGGATGGCCCAAGATATCCGTCCAGCCTCTTGAACACTTCAAGGTGTTTCTGTTGTAGCTCTCGATAAAACCACTCACCTACCTCTTGGCGATGCTGCCCTTCCACAAAATCTTTCATCCCGCCTAACGGATGGAAGAACTTATACCAGGTCCTGGGGTCAGCTGCAAACATAATGTCCATTACAGACTCGGCGTTTCTCTCCATTGTCTGCTGCGATATAGGATCGCGACAGATGTAATTGATATAACCAAGCATCTCCATCCCGGACGCCTTCTTCGTCATTTCGTTGATGGCATCCAAATCGAATCGCACACCGGGGCTTGGCACACCAATGCCCAGGAATGCAACAGCCGACAGAGAATGTGGATAATACATTGCGAGACGTGATAAGATGGTCGCACCCCAATCATGGCCCACTCCTATCGTCTTAGCAACTTTGACTTGATCTTGTAATTCTGCCAAATCTTGGCATATAAGCTTCAGTCGATATGCGTTCACATCCGGAGGATTACTGCTTCCGCCATAACCAAGCATGTCGGGGGCGAGAACACCATAGCCGTTCGACTGAAAGTGGTTGATCTGGTTCACCCAGTCGTCGATATGTGAAGGCCAACCGTGAATGAACAGGAGGGTTGGCTTCCCGTCTCGGCTTCCAGCGTGGATATACGAGTAACTATAACCTCGCGTCGTGGAGAAAGTCTGACGGGGAGGCAAATTGGACCCCATGCTAAGTTTCGATTCGATGAGAGGTTCAATGCCTTCTTGATACGTCTGACACCCCCCTTGTTTCCTTTTATGTAGCAGCGTAAAGTCGCCGACAAGCCGTCGTGGGCGTTGATTGCTAGGTCAAGGTTTACGTCATTAGTGGGAACAGCGGCCTACAAGGCCAACTGAATCAATTGCTGGAACACAGCTCAGCGTTACTCGGACACTTTTCGGCGGCATATAAGCACTAAAAAAAAGTCCGACAATGAGCACTATTTCGCTAGCGGGTCTGCTGCAAGGTGTCAATTAAAGAACTGGCTTCAACTGATGGTATCCGGTCACAATTATTGAAATACGCTCATTTTGGAACGTGGCATTTCCGAAAACACTTTGCTTTCCTCCAGACTGCCTGTCTTATAGGTTTGCCGATGCCTGAAGCGGTCTTGTTCAAGTGAATAGCTTGAAACCGCCTGGCGTGCCCTTCTAAAACAGACCTTCTGGGTCATACTTTCGACTTGCATTGTGAAGCTTCTCTTGGTTCTTAATACCATAAGAACCAATGGGATCTTGGAGGTCAAAAGCATAATTCAAGTACTTGAATGGGACGTTTGTACCTCTCGCAGCAGCGGCCTTGTCAATTTCCTCAATGACTCCTCTAGGCCGGCTGACAGCTGTCTCATAATCGTTCTTGTTCTTCCAATACATGAGTATAAGTACTGATACCAACGGCCCATCAACAGGGCCAAGGCCAAGCACATTGCCACCGGCGGGCGCCATTTGTTCTAGGAGCGATAGCGGGTATGGCTGTAAAGTGAAGGAGAAGACCATGCCCTCGATAAGTATGACTTTGTCCAAGGCTACACTAAAAATGTCGGCAGCGGCTTGCAAGGTAGATTTGTCAGGTTTCAAAGTGGTATTCATGTAGACACATCTATTCGTTGACGGAGGCCATTGTTAACTCTGTGCGATGCGGTAGAGTATATGAACGTACCTCACACCAGTCATAACCTGTTTGGCCTGTGCTTCCGCCGCCTCCTTGAGCTTGGTCATGCGCATCGAGTTGAGCTGGTCAACTTGAGGGTGCATATTGGTGAAACGGTAAAGGAAAGACTGATCATGACGTGAGTTTCGGCGGAGGCATCAGGCTTCTTCAGCTCATCGACTAAAGCCTCACTCTGGCTAAGAAAGCTTGGAGGGAAATGGGAGACTGCCCCTCCCCAGAACGAGCTTTGTTTGAATGTTCTTAAGTCGAATCGTGTCATAACACCCAGATTGTTTCCGCCACCTCTAAGAGAAACGAATAGGTCTGAATTTTCGTGAGCGTTTGCGTTCACAATCTTGTCGGAGGCCAGGACGGTCTCATAGTTAATAATGTTGTCGCAGATAAATCCTTCAAGTGAGCTAAAGAATTAAAGCCCTCCTTGAATTTGTTGTCAGTAGTCAGAAGGTCTAAAAATAACATCTAGTTTGGTACCTGACAATGCTAGACCTCCAGTGCCATTGAGCGCAGAGCGAGCTCCGGTCACACCCAAGCTATCGTCATGCAGCGCGTGCTGTAGACTGCGCCCCAACGCTCTCCTGCTGCAACCTGAACTATGTTGGTAGCTTTGTCAAGCGTTGTCCCAATTAAGTGACTCAGATCGACGGTTATGCCGCCTTCGATGTTTGCGCAGCCAGGTAATGGCTGGCAACCAGCGCCGCGAATGGCGAATTTGGCTTCTCCGTCATGGACTAAGGGACCGATGAGTTTAGTAAATGTGGACCGCTCCTCTGTGGTCTCAGGCAAAAAAAATAATCATGGGTGAGATATCATTCTCTCGCTGGGAGGCATAAGAGGCGATCCGAGCCTTGTAGACGTCGGTATCAGGACGGGCAATGCGATTAGCTGGAAAAGCTGTGCTCAACAACTCAACTGCTCAACGGCCGTCAGGTAATGAGACTGGATTCAAAGCAGTGAAGAGGAAAGCTCGCAGAGCAGATGGATTTTCTAAGTGCACAATGAGGTGGCTACGATAGAACCGCTTCCCAGATTTCACTTGCTCGGGGTCGAAGAAAGGGTGCGACTCAACTCCGGAGCTTTGTTAAAAACATTATCTTCACAACGACGTGCCAACATGCGGCACAGCGAGCGAGTTCTTGCTTTCGAATCGACCAATCGCCGCGCTGTATAAGCACTTTCGGTTGCTGGTCCTCTGGGCCGACACCACGAAGGTCATGTATAACAACCGTAAAGTCATATTTCGCCCCAGAAAATGGCACCTTCCGTTCCTTGCGGACAAAATTCTCTCCTGAGGCCTGGCGTACATACGCTGTAAGGGAGGAAATCATGTTGACTGTTATTCGACTTGGCGTTGTTGCACCCTGGCCCCTCCGCTTTATCTGCTTGTTCTTGGAAATGCCGCCGGGACTAGGGCTACGCAGAACGAGCGAACTTTTCTTCTATGAGACAGACTTTTACAACACCTTCAATCTCGCATGTTAGAACTTCACAATGTCGTTGGGCACAAACGAACCTGTGGATACTATCTTAGTGTGCAGCAAAAACGCAAGATACAATTGCAACAGAGGGATCGGCCGAAAAGTGTAAAAGATCTCTTAAGCGGTATGAAGACCAAGGAGAAAAGAAAGCCCGTCCTGTCTGCTCACTTATGACTGTTCCAATCTTGCCGCATTCGTCTGAAACAGGAACCTATCTCACCGCGTCCATATTCTCTCAACATGATGGACTTTTGACTTTTCAGTCTTGTCGTTCTTCGAAGGGTTCGACTTTGGCCTGAACTCGTAAATGTACTGGTTGAGCAACAGCAGAATGGCCTAGCGCAGAGGGCAAATGCTGAATGATGAGTCTTCGGGAAAGATCTGATCTGTGTTCCTGAAGTCATCCCTGCCGTTGTGACCGATGGCAAATACCAACGCGACGTCCTGGTTCATCATAGAGTTCTTAAAGAACGATTCACTGGCCGTGAATTATGATTTTTCCTGCTCCACCACGTCATTGTAAGCTATTTCTGGAGCTCAGTCAGGTTCGACGATGCTGCTTACTGTGGTGTTAGGGGTAAGTCTAAACATCTGTTTATGTACCGCGCTAGTTGGACAGGGTATGTTATGCGCACTTTGTGCAAATTGTCCGCGAAATTGACCAGCTGGCAGGGCCGCCCGCTAACCAGATGCCTTATAGCGGTTGTCAATCGGTACGTGACAGTGGTGTTCAAACTTTGGCCTGCAACCACGGTAATACCTAACCGTTGTCCAGTAACGTGCCATACTATGGTATATGTTCAGCGTGTCTGGTCTGAGCGTGCAGTCGGTGTTAGTAGTGGTAGCATCCGCTTTGACAGCTACCTGCAGTCCGCCATCACAAGCACACTGAAGAGTTCAAATTACCGACCCCCAAATTTGAAGGTGATAAACTTTGGCCTGGACATACTCGGCATTATAAACTCCACCCTGGAAATGAGTCACTCCTAGCACCAACTCTGTGAAATTGGATCGCTGCTCTAAGATTGATTCGTGCATCCACCAATATGCCCCTCATAGATCAGCAGAATCATTTGATGGGCAAGGTCGAATTCTGTGATTACCTGGTTGTCAGTCACACTGGCCAATTTTGGTCTCTACGAGGCGGCGTTGTCTTTTTGAGGTTTTCTAATCAAGAGTGTGAAGTTGCAACAGTATGTGAGCATATTGGAATCTTGCAAAGGTCTAATAGCACTAATGAGGGGTTAGCCACTTTACCATATATAAGTGCTTACTTCGATCACGCGGGAAGGTCTATGCAACTGGATGAGCGTACATGAGAACTCGTCTAATATTGTTCATTTACCGCTTACATGTGCGCGTAGCTAAATATTTGCGACGAATGGTAGCAGAACTTCGACGCCATAAAACAAAATGTTAAAGAACATTAGCCAGAGTATTTCTAGGCAAGGATACATAAGTACAATGAGAGGCTTTCCACAGAAACACCAATGTGCTATAAGACCTTAAGCTCTTTTAAGTTCACAAGTAAAGTACACTTTGTGTTAAAATTATAAATATTGCTGCATCGCAAGGTTATAAATGATGATGCCTCGGACTTAACGGCTGATTGATTAACTATTTTAACCATGCAGCCCACTTATTACTTTAACCCTAGAAGTGTCAAAATATCTGTTCAGAGCTTCGGCCGCATAGGCTGCTTGACCATGGAGCTCGGGTTGGTAAGATGACATGTAGAATTGAGGCTTAGCAAGCTGTGGCTGTATATGTGGCTATGCAATTTGCGTTCTATTTATTTTCTCCTCGCCGTTTTCGTAGATTTTAACAAAGCATCATACTCTTTGCCCTCACTTCACGCTTCTTCGGTTTTCCGACCGTCGGATTATACGTCTATTATTACCACATGTATAATGTATGTTTAATCCGTCGACACTGACGAGGAGAACGACGTTGGCTGAGGTTGTGTAACTTGGTGAATAGCGCCCAGGAGCACCACTCCGATTCACCATCTCTCATCTATGGGCTGCAATCTTGGACAGAATGTGCAGAATACAACTGATTAGGACATGGGACAAATCTCACAGTATCCTGCGGTGAGTCTGGGGCAAGAAAGACATCATAGCCACGCAGCTTTATCGCAACTATGATTTCCTCTCCAGCATTGCCTACGTTCATGTGTTCGGGCTCGCCGAAGGGAATGGGGGTCGTCGTTGCGTCCGGATCGCCACTATGCCAACCCTGACAAGCAGCAACTGAAAATGTCTACACAACTTTGACACGGCGACTGGCCGTTTCGGCGGCGGCGGCGCTGGCCTGCCTCATGGGGACATTGACTCTCAGAAGAGCTCTCGACACCAGGGCTTGATAGACCTTACTATGAGTAGGATATATGCTCATATTAACTACTGCGGTAACAGGTGTGTGAATACCCAGGGAATATCTTTCAAATATATGCAATCGTGTCCTTCCCTGATGTTGATGGGACCCTGGTGCTCAACCAGATGTTTCGTCACTTTCGACCGCGCTCCGTTTCACGTGACTCTCGTGTCCTGTGTGGCACTCGCTTGTTTTCGGTTGTCGGACATGCCGCTAGTTGGAGCGGCTGGGCAGCACCTTACCACATCCTGCTATTAACATTACTGCAAGGTACCCTTATCTGTCACATACGCGTCAACTGATACCTAGGTAAAGTAATGACATGTCACCTGCCAGGGCTTTTGATCGAGCGAACCAACATACGCACGAGGTCTGATCGTCGCATTCGTTTTTCTTCCCTTGTCCTACTGCCCTGGCTAATCCTGCAAAAATGGCGTGATGTTAACATTTAGTCTCGCTCAATAAACTGAACGACGCGCATTCTGTGACCTATGTGCAGAGGCGCATGTGAGCCAGTCACATGCTAGATCGCCGGTTTCTAATTTTCATACTTGAGACACAGCGACCCTGGAATGCGCAGAAGCATTCCTTACCCACCAATGAGAATATAGTTATGCAGTGCCGCTACATTCTCGACTTTGCCGATCGAAATTGTGGACTGCATGTATGCTGCTCCACATCTCCGGGAAGCCCGGGACAGGACCGGGAAGCTGACTGACACAGACAACGCGACTCAGGCAGGCTTGGGGCTGAGAACCCCGGCTTGGAAGGGTTGGAAAGGCGTGGCGCATCAGGCGTGGCGCATCAATAATTCTCAGCGCCACTCTGGCATCAGACACTCCAACTTGGACATATATACCAGGCACTAATATGTGTCTGAGATGGCTATTCATACTCCAAACGCTTCCCCCCTTCCTATCCTCATGACGATATCCGGTATTCAGGGTTCGCAACATGCTCTTATCACCGGGCTCCAGCAGGCGGCAGGAGCGTCGGCGAGAACAAATCAGAGTATCGCAACGCAACTTTAGAGAGCGGCAAAGGAACCGTATTGCGGCCCTTGAGTCCCAGGTTAATCGTTTAGAAGCAATGATACGCGCGGTGGAGCATCTAAATGACACGAAGGACAGTCCCACATACGGCAGAGCACTGCGGTCGATTACAAGACTTGTGGAAGGTCTTGAGCCATCTAGTATGCCTTCTGTGGTACATCCTCGCTATGAATCTATGCGGAGCAAAGGTAATGCGACCTGCCTGGACTGAAAAGAATACGATGCTGACTAAAAGTGATGTATAGTACAGCAACTCAAGCAACCTGCACCATCGACAGGTCAGAGATTTATAGGTACATCAATTCATGCGGCACTCATTGATCGGTTCGTCGATTATATGTCTCCTTTTCGTAGTGTGCCACAAGCGAAACACCACTGGGTCAATGACAACCAGCCGAGGCGCGCCTGGCGGACTGGTGCCGGGTTAATGGGTTCGGATTTCGTACACAATGCATACCTGGCAGCTGCTACGAGATTCACAGGACAGGAACTAGATGACCCAAGACTTACTCACGCTGCAGATGGATTATACTCCTCTGTTTTAGGGCAACTCCAGAAGGCAATTATGGATCCGATTACGAGCAAATCGGATGAAGTCCTGGTAGTTACAATAACGTGTCTGCTATATGAGGTAAGACTTCGTCAAGTCTTGTGGAATCCGCCTAATGATGTTGCATTGTAGGGTCGTCTTCGTCGCACCACACCGAACGCGGAAGCCCACGTCCGGGGTTCACTTGCTCTCTTTGCCCACCGTGGACCCGTAACTTGCGTTGCGGGAGTTGCACATGACGTGTATGTGGAAGGAAGAATGTTTTGGGTAAGTGGTATCTTCACCTATGGTGCCAAAATCCCTAAACCATACTAACATGGCACTGAGTAGGTATGGTTTTCTGTCATGAGGCGCTGCTCAACAATTCTTTCGGAACAAGCTTGGAAACATATACCTTGGTCTTTGGACGTCGCCCGCAAGGACATGATGGACCATCTCCTCGACAATATAGTTGACATCTCAACTCTATTAGCACTGATAGATGAGAGTTGCGCCGGGAATTCAAACCGGGGAAACTCAGTGTTGTCGGCCCGCATTCTCACTACCCTGAGGGATATCAGCCAGAACCTCCGCGCATGGAAACATTCCTGGATGGGGCCCAAGCACGGCAATGTCTCCGAGAAACCAGTACCTGCTGGGTTTGCTCCAGTTTTCGAATATGTCAACAGCAATACCGGCAATCTGGTCCGCCCAACCATCTTCATGTTCAATGATGCAGTTGCTTTCCAGGCTTCGTGCCATTACTACGCTGCTCTCTTGATCGTGTCCATGGTCCAGCGAAAACTATTCGTCAAGGACATAGCAAGTAAGGAAATGCTCTCGGATGGGATGCTTGAAATCGCACATTCATTTTGCCGCTGCATGCACTATTTCATGGTCTACACACCACCAAGCATTGCCGACAGAATCATTTTCCCCTTTAAAGCTGTGTACAATATTTTACCTGAATATGGGCTTGAAAGGGATTTTTTAGATCGTGTTTATATGAAAAAGATACGTCACGGGCCTGCGGAAATATGTGTCCAGATATAAAAAAAAAAAAAAAAAAAGAAAAAAAGAAAAGAATTTTCTCCCTTCCCTTCTTCCACATAGCGTTCTAGGACCGGTTCCGGCTCAAGCTTGACAGTCATCAAGTCGCGAGGTTGGAAAACAGGGTGCATTGCATTTAGTGACAGCTTTCTGCCTGCGGCGCATCTGAAGAGTGACATTCTGCGCGCCCCGACCAGCCATCTCGTCATCTTTTAGAGCACACCATCGAAGTGTGCTTCCACCATATTCAGAGTCGCCAGCTCAGCGACCTTGTCCTTCTCCAATGTATGTGGAGGGGCCACCGCGTTTCGGTTCATCGCCACAGAGACAAGTACCCTCCAAACATCCTCCGTGCTCAAACCTGGGTGTACTTAGCAAGAACCTGCAACGTTTGACTCCCGTAGAACGCTCCGGTGACCTTGACTTCGCTATACTTCGCCTTCGCAACCTGAGTCCCGAAGCAATTATTGAGGTGAGTTATTATGTGTTTGAGTACTAAATAGTAGCTGTTTTTTTTCCAACAGTCCTTTATTTTCCAACTCCTGCTCCCTGGAGAGGTTGCTTTTACTTGTTCATTTATGGGTGCTCTGTTTCCACTTATAAGTAAATATTTGGTAGTCCGGGAGAGTGACGCAGAGCTGGCTTGCAATAGACTTTTAGAAAGCGGGCATCGGACCGTCGGATAGCGGGGTCGTCCGAAACCAACCTCTCTACAACTAGGTTCCAATTGAACGCACTGTTAAACCGATCAAGAAACCACGAAACATCATCCATTCTGCATTCCCAGCACATTGTATTTCTGAAGGAGGCCTCTACTACCCTGGCGCAGGGGCAATATACTCTCGTCTTGTCTTTTGAGATCCAATGACTGCTATCAAGCCCGGCGTGCTTAACGGTGGTCCGTCGCATGGCTGTCCGATGGGCACAAATGGATTGCGGTCAAGAACTACAATTCCAGAGAGGCTCATCAAGCCTTGGAAGCTACCGCCGCGCAAGAGTTATATTTTCACGCACGCAAATGTTATAGATGCGTCTACCGGCAAGATACTCCCTGATACCACGGTGAAGATCTCTAATGGCACCATCGAAGCAGTGTGTAGCGCCGATGAACTACCTGCCGTTGGTGATAGTGAGACCGTCATGACTATCAACGCCTCCGGGAAATACCTCTCCCCTGGTCTCATCGATGCCCACGTTCACCTCACAGCCGTCCCCGGATCCGCATCCCTCGATGGCTCCATGGGCGACGATGCCACGATCTCACATCTAAGACAGCCATTTGTAGCAGGTCAAAGTCTGCGCCGTGGGTTCACGACTCTCCGCGACTGTGGCGGCGCTACTCTGGCACTCAAAGAGGCCATAGCGGACTCTGTCTTCCCCGGACCACGTCTCTTCATCGCCAATCGCGCTTTGTCGCAGACCGGTGGCCATGGCGACCGCCGTGGTACGCATGATCACACCCAACCGTGTTGTGGCGGTGAACGCGCCGGGCTGTCAATGGTCTGTGACGGCGTGCCAGACTGCATCCGCGCTGCGCGTGAGCAGCTGCGCACTGGTGCTGATTTCATCAAAATCATGGTTGGGGGCGGAGTGGCTTCGCCCACTGACAAGCTTTCCAATACTCAGTTTACTTCTGCTGAGATACAGGCCATCGTTGAGGTGGCGGAAAGTTACGGCACGTATGTGACTGCTCATGCGTACACACCAAGAGCGATCCGACACGCAATTTCTAATGGCGTGCGGGGGATCGAACATGGAAACTTCATCGATGAGGATACAGCCCGGCTGATGAAAGAAAGGGGAGCTTGGTTGACGCCGACGCTAGTGACCTACGCTGCGATGGCAGACAACAAATACGCGGGGTTTCTGCCTCCTGGTAATGCTGCCAAGAATGTCGAGGTGTTAGAAAAAGGGCTAGAAAGCCTCAGGACTGCGACACGTGCCGGTGTCAAGATATGCTACGGCAGTGATCTCCTAGGACCCTTGACGTCAGAGCAACTCGGGGAGTTTAAAATTCGAAGACGAGCGTTGAGCGATGCGGAGATATTGAAGGCTGCGACTGTGAACCCAGCCGAGATGATTGGCCAGAAAGACTTTTTGGGCCAGATCCGCGAAGGGTATGCTGCTGATCTCCTTGTGATGGGCGCTAATCCTTTGGATGATGTCTCCGTGTTCGACCAACCAGAGAAGAACTTGCTGGCCGTTATCAAAGATGGTAGAGTTTACGATAGTCGGTGGAGTCGACTACCAGTGGATGTCAAAGACGAGGTGAATTTCATAGAGTAGAACCATAAGATTGTACATATGACGCCTTTCGAGACACACCCAAGTGGTCACACACCGCTCCCTACCTTAGGACCAAGTATTATTCGGCTCGATATTAGGGAACAGAGCAGCAGAGGAGGTTTCCTGGGAAAGAGATACAGGCCCAAAGCATCACAGAAATACCACAAGCGGAAGTACACAATATAAACTCTTCCGAATGACAGGATATCCATTTGATAGCTTATTGGTGATCTCAATTTGGCAGTTGCTTTGACCATTTTCTGCCGCGTATGCCAGCAGCATCAGAGTAACATCCGGCCGGAATGTGGGCTCTATGAACGGCTAACACGGCGTGGCCCCCACAGCTCAATCCCGTACTTGCCCCTTTAAGGACACTAAATGACAACCCTTAGTCTAGGTTCATATCAGTGGATCAGCGCCTTGGGGACTGGGATTGGTATATGAGTCGGACAAGAGCGACATTCTTTGATACGAGAGACTCGCTTCGGCATTGTCAGACATTTTCTCGAATACCAAACATGCGGGCGACTGGTTCTATTTGCACCCTTGTGGCGCTTGCCAACGTTGCCAGTTGTGTAGGAACGAACACCACTTTGCCCAAACGGCCTTTACTGGCAAGTGGCATTGGTATGTTACGGAAATTTCTATGGTTGCTCATGACAACTTCAAGCTGAAATGGCATTTTAGTTGATCTCGGCATTGCATCAAATGCATACGAAAAAGCAAAAGCTTTCGTCGGGAAGCTCACAAACGCACAAAAAGTTAAGATTATCAATGGCCATAGCTTCACTGCCGGAAATATCTCCTGGGCTGGTTATGCTGGCAAAGATGGCATCGATGGTGTAAACAACCAGGCCTATGTCTCTGGCTTTTCCACAGCTGCCGCGGTTGGAATGACCTGGAATCCAGATCTTGCCGAGGCTCATTACCTTGCATTAGGTAAACCCAAAACAGTGACAGTGCCAGAGCCCAAGGAGTCTAACACAAACGCGCAGGTGAAGAGTTTTACGGTACTGGGTACAACTTAATCAATGGACCCGTACAAAGCCCCAATGGTCGGGTCGCTTGGTCTGGAAGATTACCCGAGTCCATCTCCCCCGAACCGTACCTGTCTGGTATCATGGAAGCCAAGACTGTGACTGGATTCAACTCAGCCGGCGTAGTTACAGTTGGACGGCATTTCGCTGTTGACGAACAGGAAACTAATCGCAAGGTTGGCGGGTATTCCTCAAACGTTGACGAAAAAACTCTAATGGAACTGTACCTCTGGCCATTTGCGGATTCGGTGAAATCCGGGATGATGGGGGTGATGTGCTCGCTGAATGGAGTCAATGGACAAGTGGCTTGCGAGAACGATAAACTACTTAACGATTACCTCAAGACCAAGCTTGGGTTCCCTGGTTTGGTCCTTCCCGACGTTGCCGCCCAACAGTCGTCTTACGGGTCGGCCAATGCTGGTCTAGACTACGGGTCCAGTCAATATTGGAGCGAGACTATAATTCTGGGAGGCATTGCAAATGGAACCTTGACTCAAGCACGACTCGATGATATGGCGACCCGCGTTGTGATTGGGTGGTACTACGCCAACTTAGACAATGGAAAGCAACCCTCTACGATATCGGGTTCTGAGTACCGAAATGTACGAGGCAATCATTCTGCTACTATTAAGCAAGTGGCCAGGGAAGCGATCGTCTTATTAAAGAATAACAATGACGGAACTCGCAACGGCCTTCCTATTGGCCTCCCAATCAGAAAGCCGCGGGCAATCGGTGTTTTCGGCGCCCACGCTGGCCCGGTCATGGCAGGCCCAAATCAGGTCTTCTCGGTTACTGGGTCGCCTGCCCAGATATATCCCGGCCATCTAGCTGGTATCACTGGTTCTGGTGAAGATTCATTTCCTTATGTTGTTGATCCGCATGTGGCTCTGCTGTCGCGTATCATCGCTGATGATACTTCTGTTTTGTGGATCTTCAACAACACTTATACCTCGCCGTACTCCATTGGTATCCCAGGCCAGAGTACAGGCTCAGGTAGCAACGCGAGCATCAGTGTGGGATCTTCCGGAGGTGGTGGCGGTGCTGGAGGAATCCCGTCATTTCCAGGGGGATTTGGGACAGGCGGTACCCCGTCCTTCGAGACTTACGCCGCATTATCTGATGTTTGCCTCGTGTTTATCAACGCATGGTCAGGAGAGGGCGCAGATCGCACTGAGCTATCGAATCCTGGGCAGGATGCGATGGTGAACGTTGTTGCCGATAATTGCAACAATACTATCGTCGTGGCCAATGTCGCTGGTCCCCGTATCCTCGATGCATGGATTGAGCATCCTAATATAACCGCAGTTCTCTATTCTGCTTTACTCGGCCAGGACAGCGGAAACGCCATTGTCGATGTTCTATATGGCGATGTCAATCCAAGCGGAAAACTCACATACACCATTGCCAAGAATGCGACGGACTACATACCTATCTGCGAGACATTACAATGCAATTTTACAGAAGGAGTCTATATCGATTACAGATATTTCGATAAAAGCAATACTTCTGTTCGCTATCCCTTTGGTCACGGTCTAAGCTACACGTCCTTCGCATACAGCAAAGATGTTACCGTCACTATAACAAACCAGACTGCGTTGAACTCCAAATATCCAACTGGGTCACTGGGACTGGGAGGTGATGCCGATATGTTTGATGAGGTCTTGGTTGTGAATACATCGGTTCTAAACTCAGGAGCCAGGGATGGCGCCGAGATTGTTCAGTTGTATGTCGGCTTCCCTGCCGAGGCTCAACAACCTGTCCAGATCTTGCGGGGCTTTAGCAAGGTCCAGGTCAAAGAAGGGCAGACCGCAAATATTTCATTCAGTATCAGGCGACGCGATATAAGTTACTGGGACACGTCAGCCGAGAAATGGGCGGTTGCCAGCGGCATCTACACTTTCTCTGTCGGCTCCTCATCGCGAGACATCAAATCGACGACCCAGCTCCACATATAGCCTTGTATCCTAGGTAGTCATCCCTAGTTATATTCAACTACTACGTGAAGAGAGACCAGTCATTGCCATAATGGAGAGGGTGCCACTCGCTATCTACGGAGCTCTCCTTTGTACCGTCATAGACGTTCCACCTCGAGGTTCCTTCCGCGCTCCGTATATATCCCATTTCACAGGCCGAATATGTCACTAATGGTTGCGACTTGAAGAAATGATCATAAGAGGCGTCCAATGCGCCTTCCAAGTTCGTAACTGTTTTGCCTGGAAACAACTCATTCCACGGCTGTGTACATGATACACCTTTGCAAGTTTTCAACACCATCAACAGAGCGTTAAGGCGGGGTATAACCTGTGATAACGGGCGATTGAACAGTATGTAGTCAGACTGGTTAGATGCCGGTGATGCTAGATTATTCATCTGTCCTGGATCTTGCTTAGAGTTGGTTAGCATGAGCCAACTTTGCCGCCTTGATTAGAGTTCCACGTGAACGTACTTTGATATCGTAGTACTCAACTTCATTGGTGCACCAAACACTATAATACAGGCTGTATCCCTGGCCGGTTAGTCTGAGTCCCTTGTACGTGTTATTCAATTGTTTCCCGGTTGCAAAGTCGCCTTCGGTATCCCCCTAAGAGACTGTGAGTAATGATTGGCATTCGTTATGAAGGGCAAGGTCTTACATATCCCCAAAACTCGACAGCGGCATGCTCAGACGTGAAATTATGAGAAGTAGGCCCTGTGAGCGGTATCACTTTGCCATCTAACTGCTTCGGCGTGCCTACTAGTGACAAGATCGTGGGCGCAATATCAATATGGCTAGTGACAGCATCAAGAGTCACACTCTTTTCGATTCCAGGCCCTCGCACAACTAAGGGGATGTGAATATCAGTCTCTGTAGTCATGATTAGCACACTCAGTAGTACGTAATGCGACTGCTCAGCATACCGTAGCCACATGATTTTCCGGGAACCATTCTATGCTGGCTGATATGAAACCCATTGTCCGTCGTGTAGAAGATATAAGTATTGTTCAGTACACCTTCGTCATCCAGTTTCTGTACAAGTGCCTCTACTAGTTCGTCAACTGCTTGTAGAGCTCTGAGTCTGGCCCTTTGGAATTCGTCGTTGTAGCCGATGACGGTATCATTGAGTTCCTGGAGAGACTTGATCCAGCTGACTGCCCCTAGAGTCTTGGCGTTGAAAGAGGAGTCCCGAGGGATCTTGTAGTCATTGAACAGATGCGCATGGCGTTGCGCTGCTTGGGGAAACGTTGTATCGATCGAATGATCACGACGATTGACAACAATTTCAGCGTGAGGTCCAATAGGTGCAGCGGTGAGAAACCACGGGGCCTGGTGGGATACAGCTTCTTCTAAAAAGCCTAAAGCCTTTTGTTTGATTAAATCGGTTGAATACTGGCCGGAGTAGCTCTGTGGCGGTCTACCATTTCTAGTCAAATGCGGCTCATAGTATTGGTAAGTCCACGGGTCTGAGCAATAACGTAAGCAGTTATGCGTAATTCGGCGTGAAACGTAGTAGGGTACCTATCAGAATCTCTGACCCATTGAAACCGTTGATCGGCGGGCGATTGTAATTGTCTGTGTGGAGGTAGTTCCAAAGTTTGCCGGTGTAGTAAGTGTTATATCCAGCCTTTTGCAACCAGACCGGAAGATAATTATCGTTCCAACCCCCTTGAACTACCTTTGGCCAACCGCCTATATCATATATGAGGCTGTGGTCAAGAACGAAGAGAACTCTAGATGCTGACCGTAAGGGGGTATCACGTCGGTGACGTTGGTATTATGCGCAGCATGTCCTGTCCATAAGGTCGCTCGAGACGGACAGCAAACAGCGACGGTACAATAGTGATTTTGAAGAGTGACCCCTTCGTCAGTGATGTATTTCTGGGATTCATCAGCATATCGAACATATGGTATCTTGTTCATGACGCCACCCACCTTGACCAAGGGCATATAGTCCATACTGTTCATGTGGAGATCCTGGTCGTCCGTAAGGATTATCAGGATGTTCGGCTTCTGCGGTGACGCCAAGACCGCACCGAAAAGCAGTAGCATCCAGGAAGCGATCTTCATATTGGCAAAGGGTCAGAGGACGCGTCATAACGATCAACAATCCACGCACTTGCCGGGGACAGTATTGGCTGATGGTTGTTTTAAACCCAGATCCAGCAGGTATGCCCCGCTCATCAATGTCACCAGGGGCTTAAACATGAGATGCTTCTAGCCCTGGCGCCATCGCACGCGATTATACTCGGAAGTGCAGGGAGTATATTATGTCTTGGCATGCCTACCACTTGTGGGACGATCTCCGACACAGAGTCGGCTAGATCTGAGGCGATGCTTGTGACGTGTAGTAGCATAGGTTGTGTTGGGGAATAGCCCCGCTTGAATGTACACTCGGTGCTGCCACATTCCGAATTCCGAAACAAGGGAGCATCGCCTTGAGCTCCGTCCGCAGTCTTCTGCATCCAAATTCTGAAGCCAAGTGTGATTTGTGTAATGTCACTCGCTCTTCCGCGATAAAGTTTGGTGCTCATGTGCATTCCATGATACCGTGATGTGACAGTGGTTGAATGTCAATGATACGCTTCATCACTGCTTTACGATTCCCGCACGCCTTTCCGCCCAATACTGTTGAAAGCATGACTGTCAGGTGGACGAACCTTAAAACCATCGATATATCCCCCGTAATATAGGATCGAAGCCTGTCCTGGACTCCTACCATATCATCTACCTAACTCGATCCAGAAGCAAGCGTCCCGTGGAGAGATAGACCTCATTTCCAGTGTCATGATAGTGATGATAAGAGACCACACCCCGCCTATCTGCTAGCCTTGTCGGCTTCGCGCAAGTTTGGGGTCATCAGAGACATATCGTGTATAACTAGTCAAAGCCCGTTGACTATATCTCCTTTATGAAATCATGTGAGGTTAACCTTCTCACGGGTTCTGGTCAGATCTATGTACTCGGTTTGGGACTCCGTTCCAGGCTCCACGTATAGCCTCACCATAGTCTTCCGTCGGAAGCTGCCGTTATCTTGCGCCTCCAGCATGAGCAGATAAAGCGTATGCCTGATGGGACGGTCGGGACCATAACGAAACCGAAACCTCTCTATCAACAGGAAGTCAAACACGCCAGGTGGTAGCGTCATTTTGTGGCTAGCCACACCCTCTTGGAGTTGTCCAAGGTATACGTCCGTTCCAGGGATATAAGCATCGTCAAACGGCTGCTTGCGCACCTCGAGCTTGAAGCGGAAGCCATCGAGTAACAGGCACTGGCCGTCAATGTCGCAGTAGCTCACTACGGCGTCCACACTCTCGTCGTGGTATTCTCCTTGCGTAAGAATCAAAGGATTCGTGTACACCGCCATGCCCTCCCATCCAACGAAACTCCAGGACGGATGGTTGGGTCTCCGACGAGCCATCAGGCTCTCGTGGCTGACGCTCTTGTTCGTATGAATCCACCTCAGAGACTGTGGGAATTCCTTCAGGGGGAGGCCGTAGACGAATCCAGTTGGCAGGACTGCACGTTCCAGCAAGGACAGAATGCCCAGGCAAGCATTGAGAGAATCGGAATCGTTCGTCATTTGGCGTGGCGTGTACATGTCGACTAGCCTGGTGAACTGCTCGTCCGCATATTTCCTTCGCAGCTCAGGGTGCTCATTGTACAGTTTGCTAGAGGGTGAGGTCTATGTCAGTCCGCAACTGTATGTCTAGGAGTTTACTCTTCTCTTACTTACCGGAGCCTCTTAGGGTCAACATCGTAAGCGTTGTCCGGTATGTGCACTATTTCGTCGCTCGTTAGCATACTTGTGATGGCTTTGTGTCATGGGAGCATTATCTCAGAGTCCATCCAGCCGATCTGTATCGGTGAAGCCATGATACATTTTGGGATCCGAATTACCCGTAGAGAGTACCAGGACCCACGGTATCACTTACTGAACTTGTTCATGTTGGTAGCATCATCCATGCTCTCATAAGACACCCCGGAATTGCAAAACCACATGACCTGGCTGCGGGAGAAGTAAAGCTTCCGGTTCCCAAGCAGATTCTCCTGCATAGTCCATGCGCGCGTATTCCACTTCGTGTTTGGGATTTCGTGGGCGAGGGATGGGAGTGTGGATAGTAGCTCGGCTCCTGCTACGACTTCACGCCCTTGGCGCTCTCGGTGCGCACGTTTAGTGCTCACGCCCGGTAGGCCCCAGTCCCCGTCTCCGCCATCCACCGCGGCCAGAATGAACACGGCACAAGAGTAGATGAGGTCCATCATGCGAAGCTGTTCCATCTTTTCAGGACTTGGCCGCTGGTCAATGCATAATGCATCAACCTAGATATGTACGATTAGTATTCGATCACTCGATCTGCGCGTAGCATAGGATAGATGGACTCACCCATAAGTACCGCACGCCTAGCCTCTTCGTCACAGTTATGGCATCTTCAATGGTCTGCGGGAGGTATCGCCCTTCCAGTGCCCCGGTTTTCACCTCAACGGCGCCCCATACGTAGCTCAAGGCTGTATAACGGCAGTCCTGAGGACACGGGACGACCTTCCTCTCCTCCACGTCGATGACCTTGCAAATCAAGAGCTTCTCAGACCACTCCACATGGCAGAGCTCACCATGCTCTGTCTCGCACACACGGAGCCACGTTCGCAGGAGATCCAGGTCGCACAGGCTGCCCCGGTACCGCACCGAGCAGGCCGGGTGGTTGGGTGCGGGGTTGCGGTTCGAGAGGCCGAACGTCTTCTCGCTCTGCGAGACCAGCAGGGCCTTGGGATCGCCAAAGAAGTGCGCCACGCCGGCGACGCTGCCGTGGCGGCTCTCCACCGACACGTAGAGCGCCGCGGTCCTGCCGAGCTCCTCCGCTTGCGGGCCCGGAGGCAGGCTCTGCCCATGGCGATTGTAAGCCCGAACGGGCCGCAAGAAGTAGCTCGCCTCCAGACTTTCGTCCTCGGCGGGGACGGGGAAAACGCGGTATATCATGCGGCATAACGGGCACGACGTTCTCAAGGCTAATGACTTGAGAGGCCCGAGATCCCGCCATAGCTTCATGTTTGCCTGCCTATTCTCCAAGCCACGCCTATTGGTGGCCTCGCCGTCCGGCGCCATCTCATCCTCAACATCTTCGTTCAGCCAGTTTATGATATCTATCTCTGCGCATCGCTGGCAAAGCTCATCGCGCGGGTTTGCAAGACTTTGGAGATATTCCTCCGACACGGATTGGTCATCCTGGGCGCCGGTCTTGCCTTGTATGCTCTTGCCGAGCGGGGCTGGGCATTGCGCGATACTGTGCCCAACATGTTGACAATTGACGCATAGTGTGTCCATCGCGAGTCGCAGTCACAAATATGTGACGGGAGTGGTCACTCTGGACCGCAGTCCTGGCACAGTTGTAACGATGCTGACAAGTGTGTTGTGGGAGACTAACTCGTTTCGTGTATTGAGATGGATGCCTTGGCACAAGTTTTACGCCACACGGACGCATCCTTCTATGCAGAATCCACCCGGGATCATTGACAGAGGAATGGCCACATGCCTTCTCAGAGACTCAGGACCTAGGATCAATGAATTCGCGTTGCGCGGCGCAAATATTACATACCAAAGTCTGTTAGCCTAACTCGGGTTCCATTCGATATATCACCCGCTCGGTTCGTGCACATCAGTAATATGATTACACTCATGGTGCGGGTCTGTTTCCTTTCTAACGAATATGGGTTGCTGGTACCTAGGTCGAGGACTAGACACCTAATAAGATCCACTGTAAAGTGGAACAGTATAACGGTCTCTGGCATGCCAACATAGACGAGAAGACTACATAAATTAAGTACTCCATGAATGGTTCACCCCTGAGCGAACGGTCAAGCGCAACGGCACGGAACATGATCACTTCGCCATAAGCAGAGAATAGGCAAAGATCAGATATCTGTGGCACGTCTTCAGATATATGTATTAACACGTCCCCCGGTCTGGCCATCCAGACCGCCACGGTCCACATTAACCACTGTAAAAAATCTACAAAGCCCTGTACCTATTCAGGGGAAAGCCTAACGAGAAGGGGGTATTCTCTTTCCTCACTGGACGCCATAGAAATGCAATTCATCATGTCCGGCCAGACAGCGCTGTCCCTCCGGATATTTTCCACGTTCCATCGTCGACCTGAAAAGCACCGGAACCCCTTTCCCCCCTTTTTCGGGACCTTGCGTTTCTGGGTCGCAGGCCCGCTGTCCTCATTATTACCGCGCCCCCTTCCAATGGGGGTAGAAAGCAATTGTCCACATCGAGTCCGAAGGCACGAAACCTGGCCTGTCTACTGTTCTAAGGTCGGTTAAAACCTTGCTTCGCCTAAGTCACTCGTTAGTGGCAAGGTCGCATCCATTTCGAGTTGGTGGTTTTACCTTCATCTGCTCAATTCGTGCTTTGAGCTGGCTGGTCACTTCCGCTGCGCGTTTCCAGCTTTCGACTCCATTGCCGGTTGCTCCACCTGCTGCCGCGCTCGTGGCCGATCCTGACCCGTAGCTTACGGCGTCATCGATTTGTGCATTTCGGTAGCCCCTCGCCGGGCTTCCACGTCCACTGGAACCGCTGTTGTATCGCAACTCAGGGCTCATCATCTTGGTTCTCGAGTAGCTTGCCGGAGGGTCCCCATTCTCTTTCTCCTCAGACAGATTGCTGGTAAAGCTCGTCCTGGTCGGCCTACCGCGAGAGAAGCTGCCGCTGGCGTCACGGTATATGCCCAGTTCATCACGGGCGGGACTGCCGATACCTGGGCTGGTGACGCCACTTTCCCGTTCTGCACTTGCGGCTTCAGCCTTGCTGAGAGCCCTCTTGAGGCGCTCGAGTTCTCGTCGAAGTCGCTCGTTCGTCTGTTCGGCAGCTTCGGCATCACTCCTTGCTCTCACGAGCTGGGTTTCCTTGGCCTTGATGCTCAGTACATCTCTTGTGTGGTCCTCGATAAGTTGTGCGTTCTGGTTCTTCAGTTCTTGAATCTCTGACTGCATCTTGCTCTTCTCATGGCGTGTGTCGTCAGCGAGTTTTAGCAACCGGTCGTTCGCAGCACGAAGCTCTTCCAACTCGGCTCGCTCGATCGCTGTCAGGCCGCTAGACGGTGTGGGAGAGGTCGAGACAGGAGGGGCGGCAGCCGGCGCTGATGGTTTTGCCAAAGAACGTCCGGCGAGGCCACCACGCCCAAGACCAATCCGGGGCCTTGGGGGTGGAGACGCTTGGAAAGGTTCTTCATCTTCCACGGGAGGCGGTGGGGGTGCGGCTGCTGCTGGAGCTCTGCGTGGCGATGCAAGTCCACTTGGGCCCGCAAGACGTCCTCGCGGGGCCTTGAGTCCGGTCAAGCCAGACCTCGGCATGCCGAGCTTTCCGGCGCCCGGTGCCGCCTTGGGCGTCGGAGGAGCGACCGGCTCGGCTGCAGGCGGGGCAGCCGCCGGGGCAGCCTTCTTGACGCCAGCCGGGGCCTTCCTGACAACCTTTTTCGGGCCGCCAGGGGGTCCACGGGCCACAGGTGCGGGGGGCGGCTTCGGCTTGTCCTTGGCCTTGACTTCGGCGGTGTCAAAGAACTCCTTGATCTTGTTCTTGCGGATGTCGTCGAGTCCCTCCAGATGGGGGTTCATGGCTCGCTCGCCGATGATCTTCATAATGGTGCCCAACACCTCGGCACCACCTGACCGCAGGCCCTCGCTAGATTCGGAAAGGAGCTTCTTGCCAGACTCTACCAATGTCGCAATCTCCTGCTTGCTAGGGACATCACGTGTCGTCCTCAGGCAGCGGACCAAGAATTTCATGGTGCCCTCCTTGACCTGGGGGTTCTTGTGGACGAGGCAGGCCGTGATGTCTTCCATGCAGTCGCTCAAGCCACTCGCGAGGAAGACTTGGTCAAGCGCGGCGCCGAGGGCGTCCGAAACTGTGACCTTCTTCTCCTTCAATCGTTCCATGATCGGGGCCATGACGGTAGACCTGTACTTGGAGTATCCTTTGCGAAGACCCTTGGCGAGGACCTCGATACACTGGGCAGCCTGGGTGACCACGGCGACATTGGCGTCCTTCATACATTTGGCCAGCCCGCGGTTTATCTCGTCATAGTTGCCGTCTTTGATCCTGGGCACGTTGAGGAGGGCGAATAGAGCTTCGAGTGCCTCCTTTCGCTCTTTCCACTTTGAAGATGCTAGGTTGTCGTGGAAGTTGGCCGGAATCTTGGACAACACATCTTGAGGCTCGGCGAGATCAAAGGCATCGACCTCGGCCGGCTCCTCTCCCACGTCGCCCTCATCGTACTCTTCCTCGCCCTCAGCCCCCGGCGGCGGGGCTCGGGCCATGGCAGCCTGCTGGGACCGCAGAAACCTCTCCTGCTTCGGGGCACCCTCGGCCTTGATCTTCTCAAACTGCGCCTCGAGGTCGGATTGTTGCGTGGGCTTCAGGTCGCCCCAAAACATGGGCTTCATGGCGTCCCTGAGCCATCGGTAGAACTCGACAGCGAGACTGGTGGCCTCGGCTCGGACATTCTTGTCGGCGTGACCAAATGCCTTTGGTAGGATCTTGAGCACGGGCTTGGGGTCGGCGGTCTTGCAGCCATAGTTGTGGAAGATGGCCGTCAGTGCAGCCAGAGCAGCGGCGACCACCTTCGGCAGCTTGGCAGAGAGAGCCGGCAAGATGTCCTCGATGACTGGGGCGGCGGCATCCAGCTCTACTAGTAATAACAGAGCCTCGATGGACGAGGCCTTGGTGGCGGGTCTCGTGGAGATCAGGCCCTTTTCGCATATAGGGCCGATGACATGGGGGCGCGACCTGGTGCAGTTCTCCTTGCCGCCGAATTTGAGAAAGGCACAGTAGGCGGCTATGCCGTCGGTCTGGGCGGCGACGTTGGAATCGGCCACGGCGCCCTTCCACAGACCGGGGTCCTGGTTGAACGGGCGAAAGGCGGGATCGTACTCGTCGGGGGTGATCTCGAACTGTTTTGCGGCCTCCTCGTAGGCGCCCTTGCGGACCTTCCACACTTTATGCACCCATCTGTCTGTCAGCGGCAGAGAGCTGTAATCTGGCTCTCCTTCCGCCATGTTGCTGGTTGTGGCCTCGACGACCTCGGGGGACGACCTGGGGAAGCCTGATGACGGGGACGACGGCGGAAGCGCGGTGGATGTGGGCTGGAGGGGCGATACTGCTTGCGGCGAGGCGGGCGAAGCAGACGGCGTGGGCTCGGCAGGTCTGTGGCGGAAATGGAACTCCTGTTTCTCCGAGAGAAGGGCGAGTACTCGGACTGGGTTTGGGTATCGGTTTGGTTCGGGGAGGGCGAGGGCGAAGGCGATACGGTATCGGCTACTCGCTGGATTAGCTTCTGCAGAGATGGCCGGCGCAAGTGGTCGAAAGGCATCTTGTCACAGGGTCCGACGGGAGGGGAGGGGAGGGGCAGACATGACACGGGGGTCGCATATGTATCGGAGGGGGGAGAGACGGGTGGGAAGTGACGATAGATGCAGACGTGGAGTCAGGAGATGCGCAGCTCGCAGCCACCGCTCTCTGTCCTCGTCCCGGTCCTCGTCCCTGTCCTCGTCCGCGCCCCCGTCCGCTTCCTCGTTGCTGTCCGCGATGTGGAAGGGCGGGACTGGAGCTGGTGGGACCGGGACCGTGGCACATTCGCGACTTCCTGACGAGAGCAGGACAGGACAAGACAGGACAAGACAGGACAAGACAGGACATGAGCAGGCAGGCAGGAGACGAGGGCGCAGTTTCCCAAGGCATCGTCCACGCCAAAGGGAAGGCGTGGGTGGCAGTGGTGCGCAGAGACAGCTCGCCCCCATTGTTTCAACGCGGCGGTACGTACAGTGATTGTTCTCCCGGATGTATGTGTATGTGTATTTGTATGTGCACTTGGTCGCAAACTCGCTTCGTGGGGATGCGCGCGTGCGAAGGCTTGCGTCCAGTATAGGTAGCGAGTATAGCAAGGACAAATGCGTGTGCGTGTGTGTATATTTGCGTGTGTTGCGTGTGTTGCGACTTTCCAAAAGGGGAAACGCGAATAGCAGCAGGAAGAAGAAGAAAAAAAAAGCTGTTGTGTACAGCAGCAGGAGGGCCGGCAGAAGTCGGTGATGATGTCGATTTGTTTGGCCCTGTCCTCGCTCTCCTGTCCCTGTTCCAGGGCGGGCAGAAAGATGCGGGCGGTCGCTAGTGGCAGGGGTCGCGTCGGGCAACCAGACAGCCAGACACCACCTGCAGGCCAGACTCCAGAGCACCCAGAGCAAAAGCGGGAAGCTTGGCCAAGAACGTGCCCCCAGTCAGCCGGTGTCCCTGGCAGCGGTTACTGGTACCCTGGCCGACCCTGGCCTACCTTACCCTCTGCCTAGCTAGCGGGCGAACCACACGCGCCACAGGGGACCACAGTTGGGCTTCCATTCGGTGGGGTGGTATCTCTTAGCACCTCACCACGATATCCGTTTCCAATGGTAGCGGTGGGGTTTTGGGCTGTTCACTAGAGGAACCAAGAAGTGAGCGAGGCTTACATACTGTCGAGAATGGAGTTTTTTTCCTTCCCCCATGGGTGCATCACAGCACGTAAACAAATAGAAGTCACATCCGTCGATGGACCGCCAGCGACTCCATGTTCCTAGGTAACTATGGGGTAGAGGCCTGAGTGGGTGGATTGCACAAGTAAACAATTTGCGTCAACATCTGCAGTGACCTCAGCGGGTGAGTCGCATTCGAGATGGGCAGGGGTGGGGGGAAGGGGGGTGTGGCAACCAGGCCACAGGTAACTAGCACCACGAGTGAACGCCCGGGCGCATCACCAATTCAAGCTTGAAGCCCTACCGTCCCATCCCCCATCCCATCCACCTGGGCAGCCATCCAATGCCAAGGGTCCTGGGGTTCGTGGGTTCAACTCCAGCCCAGCCAGGACCTGTCAACACGTGCGATTGCCACAGGAACAAGCAGAGCGTCCGTCACGTGTAACTTGTTAGTGGCGTGGCTCAGCGGATGTTTCACTGCAGAGATGTGTGTGAGAGAGAAAGAAAGAGTGAGACAGATAGAGAAGAGAGGACGTGGATGGGATGGCATGGATAAGTATGCATCTCAGACAAGCTCGCGCTCTTCCAAACGAGATCGACAGTATCGGCGAGGACTGTCGGTATTCCACCAGCTGTACTATCAATGCCCCTTGAATATGCCATGTGGTAGAAGGTACAAACGGCACTGAGCGCATGAACCTGTCAGCGGCAAGCGGCAGCACATGTTTTCGATCAAGGCCAGGCAGGTTGACGATGGCACATTTGACGACACACCCGATACCGACAAGTTAGTTGGAGATCACTTACTTATACCTTAGTACACCCCACCCATTTGTGGCTTGGCCGTGTTACCCTCACCCCTTGACCCCCGTCTTCCATTGCCCGTCTGTCCCGTCAGCCTGTCTGTCACTCTGCCCGCCCTCTCCTGGCCTGCCAACATTTTGGCCCGTCCGTCGATGAGACAGGTCAACAATCCCGGTCGTCGCATTGAGGTGCCGTCCCTCTTTTTTTATTTCCTAGATGATGCCGCCGCATCACGCTCCTCCCGCCGTGTCCATTCCTGCTTGCAAGACCTCCGCTAGATAAAAAAAAGATTCGTCCCAGTCAAAACCGCCCTTGACGCGCAGAGCTTCGCTGCACAGAACTGCCATACCCGACCGGGAGACGACCCCCTACTGCGGGACCACAAGCTGCTCCGGCGTCCCAGCATCCAGCATCCAGCATCCGACCCCGCGAACGGCGCTCGACTGGGAAACTTTGTTTGGGCTGGCAGCCGGGTACCACCTCTCCTGTGGGAACACACACATGTACACAAGCTCCAGCAGCTTGCTACCATAGCCGCCAGCCACAGATTGTATCCCGCCGGCGACAACACCACGTCCAGATCCGAAACTTCGCTGTCGCTGCCCCCCGACAACAGACACACAGGCATCTCCTGACCGCCGGCAGCCGAGTGCGGAACAGGAGTCGAGTCGACGGCCTGCCGGGCCAGCAACCAACCCCAAGACATCGGCATCCTCGCGCCCGACGCTTCATGAGGCCCGCCTCTCCGCCTTGCCCATCATGAGCAGTCAGATATTGACATCGCGCCAGGCCGATGAGCTGTGCGTCAATGCCCTGCCTTGCCCTCTCGTCCATCCTTCCCAACTCCCCACCACCACCACCAGCACTAGGTGCAGCTCCAGCTACTGACCGCCGTCTCCCTCTCAGACACAAGGCCATCATTGCCTACCTTTCCTCCACCAACCTCTCCACCACCGCCGATGCCCTGCGCCAGGAATTGAACCTCGGCGACACCTTCGACGCCACCACCTCCAAGAAATATGAGGGCCTGCTCGAGAAGAAGTGGACCAGTGTCGTGCGGCTACAGAAAAAGGTGCGTTTCGCTGCCCTGTCCCCGCTACCGTCCACCCTCGCATAGTGCCATGGGCTAAAGTACAGAGTCGCAGATCATGGACTTGGAATCACAAAAGGCTTCCCTGCAGGCCGAACTAGACAGCGCCACCCCGACCTCCCTCTCCCGCCGAAACCAGGATCCTACCAGCTGGCTGCCCAGGTCCCCCGCGAGGCATACGCTGCAGTCCCACCGGGAACCCATCACCTGCGTCGCCTTCCACCCCATTTTCTCGTCCCTGGCCTCGGGCTCCGAAGACTACACCATCAAGATATGGGACTGGGAGCTCGGGGAGCTCGAGAGGACCATCAAGGGCCACACCAAAGCCGTTCTGGACGTCGACTTTGGTGGCCCGCGGGGAGGGACGCTGCTGGCCTCGTGCTCGAGCGATCTGACCATCAAGCTCTGGGATCCTGCGGACGAGTACAAAAACATCAGGACCCTGCCCGGCCACGACCACAGCGTCAGTGCCGTGCGCTTCATCCCCTCGGGCGCCGCTGGTGCGCCATCCTCTAGTAACCTGCTGGTCTCCGCCTCCAGGGACAAGACGCTACGCATATGGGACGTGTCCACCGGGTACTGCGTCAAGACCATTCGTGGCCACGCCGACTGGGTCCGAGACGTCTGCCCCTCCATAGACGGCCGCTTCCTGCTATCGACAGGGAACGACCAGACCGCCCGGCTCTGGGACATATCCGTCGCGCAGCCCGAGAGCAAGCTCACCCTCATCGGCCACGAGCATGTGGTCGAGTGCTGCACCCTGGCTCCATCATCTGCCTACCAACACCTGGCGTCTTTGGCCGGTCTAAAGAAGCCCCCGCCGGCATCGAGCAGCGCAGAGTTCATGGCCACCGGGTCTAGGGACAAGAAGATCCGCATTTGGGATGCCCGAGGCACCTGTATAAAAGTACTGAGCGGTCACGACAACTGGGTGCGCGCTCTGGTTTTCCACCCGGGCGGGAAATACCTCTTGAGTGTGTCGGACGATAAGACATTGCGATGTTGGGACTTGACCCAGGAGGGAAAGTGCGTCAAGGTCTTGTCCGACGTCCACGGCCACTTTGTTTCTTGTCTGCGCTGGGCACCGGGCATCGTCCGGGAGCCTACCGTAAACGGTGGAGGACAGAACGGTACGGCCGTCAACGGGGCCAAGTCGGATGCCACCCCCGACGTACAGGTCAGATGTGTTATTGCAACCGGGAGTGTTGATCTCAACGTCAGGGTGTTCGCCAACTAGACTGACAACCACACATCGGTTTCACTGCTGTGGAAAAAAATTTTCCTCGAACCACGACGAGAGCACTTGGTCATCGCGAGCAGCACATTGGCCTGCAATACGATGCCCCAAATCAGAAGCATCACAGGCCATGAAGCGCCGCGCCAGGTTACATTGGCATCCGTCCGGCTCACCACCGATGGTTGTGTAGGAGACGAGGGAGTCCAGGGGGACACACCTATGTCGTGTAATTGTCTTCTAAGATGAGGGGGCTTGTCGCTGAAAGGGTGCAGCTTCAGCCGTAGTTGATGCATACCCCAGGTGCGCGTGAGGATGTACCGTGCTGAGAAAGGGGGAAGCAGGAGAAGGAGGGGAAGGAAGTAGATACGCGAGAATAGATACCCGTCCATCGATCAAACCTAAATACCATCTACCATTCAAAGTTCTCAAGTTCTGGCCTTACACGCAGTGAGATGATCCAACCCATGTGTACGTAACCATATACATGAAGCGGTCCACATGTCGGACGCCTAACCCCAATCGTAATGAGAATCCTCGGAAAGATGGGGCAATGTTTCTTACAGTCCTCTGATTACTGCCCTCGCAGACAGCTGAGAGATAACATGCCAGGGCCTTCGCTATAGTTAGGGAGGGACCTGTAATGGGCATTGAGGAAAATTCGTAAACAGAGGAGACGTCTCTGGACGACAACGATAATCAATGTTTCTTATAATTTGGTATGAATAGCATCATCATGTCCATTCGTGGCACGGAAGCAGCTTCGCTCGACCCGAGCCAATGGCTCCTTTTCTGTTGTTCTACTGTAGCTCAAGTCGAGAATTTCTCGACAAAGCGTGATACTTGGGGTGGGATATGGGTCTCCCGTCCGACTAGAGTACGTAGACCAGCCCCCACCCCCCGCCCCCTAACTGTTCTATACTTCACCAGAAAGATGCAGGTGGCCGGGAACAGTCCCGTTGCTACTTGGACCGGCAGCCGAAGAACCTGTGTCATGTTCATGCGTGTTTTTATTAAAAGTAATAAGAGGCCTATGCTAACTCCAGTGCCGCCCAACATTTTGATTTTGAGTGTTACATCTTCACCAGTCGATTTTTAATGCGTCGTACTCACGTAAACGGCTGCTGATGTAAACAGAAAAACATAGAAGAAAACTAGCAAGCTAATGTTGACAACCCTCGGATAACCAATCCTCCCCCGCTCTAACTCTCCAATCTGCAACACCTACCTTCTTCCAGCTCCAGAACTTGTTCCGCAACTTGTATCTCCAATGACGTCGGTGCTCTATTCCTACTAAACCTGGGGAGGTTGGCAACACCTTTCGGAAAGCCGAGTAAAATACGCATGGAGTAGCACATTCAGAATCCCTGTAGAGGTGACACGACCATGTTCACACGCAGCTGGCTGCTGTTCTAGTGCAGACTGACTCTTGGTCCCTCCAAACTACTTTCACAGGTCCTTCAGAGTGAGTTCCTACTGGGTGGTAAGGATGCTATACAAGATATACTACTTATAACAAATTGGGATGACTTTCAATGTTGATACAGATAAATAAATGCCACAACGTCTTCGTAATGGCTGACTTGGATGCCACCTTTGAACCTTTCTTGGAAGTGCTCCACGAGGGCCACGGAGACCGACGAATAGACGTAGACCTTCTCCACCAAAAGATTCTCTTTCATTCTGTTTGCCGAGCTCTTGATTATAAGTGGAATGTCTGTAAGATCTATATATTAGGAACCACCAATGTATCAAGGGCTTTTTGCACTAGTATGCTATCTTTAGAGTTATCGGGCAGCTCTACCACCCTGGCCTCACCACGCCCTCACCCCGTCCTTAGAATGCAAATCTCACATTCTGCCCAAACGCATACGTGCTGGGGGAGAAGGACGCAAGTGCCATCTTTATCGACCCGATGGTACCTTCACCAAAAAGTGGCACCAAGCTTCGTCCAAGACTCTTGTGGCCCATGTATTCCGTTGACCAGACCTGGTCGATCATCCTGAGCTGACGGTGGAATTTCTCCACTTCCTTCGCGTCGTCGGTGCCCCAAAGCCACTTTGCGCCACTCGCCTGCAATAACTCGACCTGGCTGGTGTAGCGAACATAGATCTTGGACACTGTGTCGAGCACCAGCTCCCCTTGTTTGAAGTAGTCCACCAGATCGCAGATCACTGACTCGACCTTGGCTGGGGTGAGATACATGAAGAGCCCTTCGGCCATGATGAGTGTAGGCCTATCGGCAGGGATATCAGACAACCAGCCGCTCTTGTTGACATCGAGGGTCCGCAGAGAGTAGTCTCCGGGCGGGTCCTGCGGGATCAGACGTCGGCGGAGGTCAACGACAAGCGGCCGGTCAAGGTCGATCCAGCGAACGTCCGCGCCCCTTCTCTTCACCCTATACACCCGCGAGTCCAGGCCACATGCCAGATGTAAGACCGTGACCGGGGCGCCTTGGTGTTTGTCGAGGAACTCTTGGCACCACCGATCAAAAGTTTTGGCTCTGTTAGCGACCCAGCGCATGGCTCGTTCGTTATCCACGGCGCTGAACGTCGAGCGCGAGAAGTCAACGTCGCACGAGTCCACTAGCTTCTGGGCGTACGGGTCACCCAGGATCGGGTTGGGGCTGGCAGCATCGCGAGCCTTTGGGAGGAGTGTACAAAAGAGTGTCTCCTCCACGCCTTCAAGGCGTATCCTCTCCTTAGGCCTTTCACCCAGATCCGTGGACTTGTTGGTTTGGGATGAAGACATGGCGGATGCTGGATCTTATTGCGCAGCCATGCTAGAGAAAAAGGAACGGAAAGGAAATAATTACCACGGAATCATATGCGATCTTTCGATGTGGACCATCGAAGTCGGCCGAGGGACCTGTGCCGCATGTCAGGGGTTCCTCCCCGCATATTTCAGTCCATTCTTGCGGCCCGCCCCTCGGTTTAATACTTGTTATATTGAGTACTTGCTTGTGGGCAAACCTCATCAGATTGAGTATGCCGAGTTGAGTGTAGTGTACTTCTGGTCAACAGACAAGTAGTTAGGCAAAACATCGACTCTAGAATCTTGTAATCGCTAGCCTAGAATCGACATCTAGCTAGCATGAGCATCGTTTAGTCCAATACAGGCATACAGGAAGTCCACCTGAAATAGTCCTCGGAATGGCGGAATCCACACCCGTCCCTTGGTAAAAAGAAATTATGGACCTATTGCCTTGGCTGCAGTGCTTGGTTTCGGTATGTCACGCTCGTGGCACTCCCACTACAAGTTGACCAGACAACAAACATCTGCAGACCACGCTGTGCGTACATTCTAAGATCAAAACCTTCGGCATATCATAGTACAGTTGTTGCTCAAATCATCACGACTGGATAAGAAACCCTAGGGCTTTGTGCGTAAACCCAAGGCCTCGGTACAGGCAGGCTCGTGTGTTGTCACATCATGAGCTGGGGACCCCTGCCAGACCCTTGTTAGACCCGTTTGCAGGCCTCGGGAAGCGGATGCGATGATTTTCGATAGCTCCGGTAGTAGGGATGCAAAACGGTTTCTCCTGGCTTGCATCATCAGAACGGTAGTAGATGGGAGTCTTACCATGTTTCGTCGGCTCTTTTCCCGTAGAAACAGTCAAGGCGCATAGCTGTTTGCGGCAGCACGCATCACCAGTGCAGGGTGAAAAGATGACAGGAGGAAACCCTTCAGATTTTCAATATCCAGTAGGGAATTATCAATGTTTTAGGAAACCCTTCAAAGTTGAAACAAAAGCCCCAACGCCGAGCCAAACCAAAATCTCAGGAAAATAATCCAACCAACCCAACTCCGGTTTTTTTATTCCATTGGTCAAACTTATGAATTCAACATCTCTATTACTTCAGCACAGGTCAAGTCATCATTCCTTCCCATAAGACCCAAGACCTTTTCCAAGCGACTGAGCGCTGTTTGCGCATAAGCCGCATCGACAACTGAGCTCCAGTAGGAAAGGGTGAGGTCCAAGACACCGCCACCCATTTCGGATACCGCAACCACGACGTCATACTATTCGCAGGTATTAGATTCGCGAACCTAAGGTGACGCAGGAAGAGTACTTACAGGCATTGGATCCAGTGATGGGAGTACGTCAAATGTGATGCCACGAGCGTCAGTAGTGTCATTACCGCCAATGACAGCAACATGCTCATCATCAAACTTGCGAACGTTTAGCAACGAGCTGACCTCAAGTCCAAGCTCGGATGGTGCTATATGCGAGTGTGGCAAACCCGCGAGCACCGATTCGTGGGCATGCTGAACTAGAGTTGAAAGGGCCATCCTGGGGTCATTAGGTCCGCGGTGGAGCACCGTGTTGACAAAGAAACCTAATGCCTCAGATGGCACCAAAGTGCGAGCGCTGGTAAGGTACGCGAAGACTGCCTCTTGATTTTGGTTCGTCTGTAGACTGTGTAGCACGATACCCCAGGCTGCATACACAAGAGAGGGTACGGTAGACTCGTTGACCAAGCAGAAAGGGCCTAATTGGCTGTTGTGAACTTTCGAGTGTAGTTCATGAAGACCAGTACGCGGGGCGTTGCTGGTAGTAGACCCCGAGCGGTCAAATCGACGAACGTGGCTGATATCACCCAGGATCGAGTTCCAGTGTGATAGAGCTGCCTTCCGGTCCAGAGCGGAAGATTGTGATATAAAGTCATGCATGGATGGCCCGGGCCCGATTGGCAGAGTCCCCGCGTATGCGCTTGCGAGCTCTTCGAACATGACCATGATGGAATGGCCGTCGGTGATAGCGTGGTGTATACCTAATTGACAGACTACCTTGCCTCCAAGTGTCTTTCCAATGGTCATGCGATGCAGGGGTCGGAGCGAATCCAAGGGAAGAGGCATCTTTGCTTGTTTCTCTAGGGCCCCTGCATCTTCGACCTGTGTATGCACGACCTCCGCAGTGTGTGTTTTGAGGACCACCTGCCCCAATGTGTCATGGAAGACGGTACGAAGAATGGGGTGTCTGTCCACGACTTGTTGCCAGGCGTTTTGTAGTTGGTCAACGTCCACTTGATAGGTCGTTTCTCCTTGCAGTATCACCTCAAAAGTCTGCGAAATCTCATAATACCCAGATTCTGGACTGGCTTGTGAGGCGGCAAGAAGGTCCTTCTGAGAAGCTGTGCAAGGGTAGATGGTTTCGATGTCCTTTGGATCAATATCAGGGTGTGCCGGAGCCTCGAGCATAGCGGGGCCGCGGGTGGGTGCATCGCTGGATATACCAGAGCTTGTGACGCTCTGAGTGGCATACGCCTCATCTACCCTGCCATCAGAAACAGCTGCAATCTTCGAGATGCTCTTGTGTGTCATGATATCCAGAACTGAAACCTGGATGCCACTCTTCGTTGCAGCAGCGGCAAGCCTCATAGCTGCAATTGAATCTCCTCCTAATCGGAAGAAACTCTCGTCAACGCCAATATCTGACTCTTTCAATTTGAGGATCTTTGACCACACGGATCGAAGGCGTTGTTCGGTTGTCGTCGTTGGCTGGCGCTTACGGACAGTGCTATCTGTAAGAGAGAATGTGCGTAGTTGGGCATCTGAAAGCGTGGCAGCAATATGTTGTAGAGCCTTACGGTCTCGCTTTCCAGCCGCGTTGCGTGGGAGCTCAGGCAATGGTATAAAGAGCGATGGTACCATATAAGACGGAAGGATCGAAGCCAATGAGGCCTGCATGTTTCGAAGAAGATTACGCAGAGTCGGAGGAAGTTCTGCGTCACCTGATGTCACGGAGTGGGGACCGACAGCGATGAATGCTGTCAACAATACGCCATCGCGGCTATTTATCTTGATAGCCTCGATGGCAACTTGGCTGACTGTAGGGGGACAATGGAGTATCGCATGGTGCTCTACTTCGCCAATTTCGACACGTTGACCACGGATCTTGACCTGGGTGTCTTTGCGGCCCAAGAAGTCTAGGCTTCCGTCAAAGTTGTATCTCACCAAGTCTCCGGTCAAGTACAAGCGCTTCGGTTGAGTAAATCCTGGCCATGTCACATTGTGAAGGAAAGCTTCGTTTGTCTTCTCTGGCAGCTTCACATAGCCTCGGGCTAAGAGAGGTCCTTCGAGCGCGAGCTCACCAATCGTACCTAGAGGCGCAAGCTTGTAAGGATTTTTGCTCTCTACAACCCAAGTCAATGCGCCACAACCAGAGCCAATGTTCGCTGCTAGGTCACCGCTTGAGAGATTAGATCTCCCTACACATGCGACGGAGCATTCCGATGGGCCGTAGTAGTTGTGTAAAGCAACTCTATCAGCCCATATTGTCAAATTGTCTTGTTTGACAGCTTCGCCGCCGAGACAGATGGTTTTGAGGCTGGGAACTGCCTCAGGGCTTAGCATTGCTTCGAGCACCGATGGTGTTAGGTCTGCAACGTTGACATTGAGACGATTGATGAAGCCAGCAAGGTCGTTAAGCTTTTCATGTTCTGTAGGGACGCAAACCGTTCCACCACGCATCAGGGAGAAGAAAATGTCGCTAAGGCTGACGTCGAACGTGTATGACGAGAATTGAACGACGCGTGAGCCGGGCCCATAGCCCATTGCAGCACCATAGTACGACCCGCTTGTGCAAATGGCTTGGTGTTCTAGCAATATCCCTTTAGGCTTTCCTGTACTACCAGAAGTAAAATTGACGAAGGCAAGGTCTGTTGGTTGCGTCTCTGGGAGTAGAACTCTCCTCTCGCGAGAGGATAATCTCAAGCGTTTGATTTGATCGGAGCCTAGGGAGAGGACCGCGGTCATTGAGAGGAATTTGGCAGCGTGATGAGGCTCGGCAATGACTATGTCGGCATCCGCGTCATCGATGATACCACGCAACCGATCTGATGGATGTTTTGGGTCCAGGGCTACACATGCTCCACCTGACTTAAGAATGGCTAGCATGACAACGATAGCCCATGGCGATGCGTCGAAGCAGTACGGAACTTTGACACCAGGGCCGATTCCCAAGCCAGCAAGTCGTTGTGCGACGGGGATGGATAGCTCGGCTAGTTCACTGTAGGTCCAACTGATCTCTGTCGAACACACAGCCATAGCGTCAGGTTGTGTTTTGGATTGTTCTTCGATCATATGATGTACGCAGCTAGTAACCGGCTCTGGTGGTGACGAATTCCAGTTTCGAAGTGTATTGATATTGCAGTCTCCGAGAATGGGGATACTTGATGCTACAGTGGTGGGTGCAACACCGATGAGACCGGCGACTGCAGCTTCTATACTGGTCGCGATGCTGTTCCCCAGAAAGTCGGAAATGGTATCTGTGTAATAGCTGACAGTAACCCATATTGACTCATCAGCCGCCGCAACGCTGATGCTTAGCGCGTACTCCGTCGGATCGTGTGCGCCGACCTGTTCGAAGTTGAGGCCAGTTCCGGCTGTGCTGGTCTCTGAGACGACTTGGAATGACATGATACTGTTAAAGAGAGACTGGCCAGCAAGCTTCTGCATATCTGCCAGAGAACAGTTCTGGTGGCTAAGCGCATCGATGTAGTCAGACTGTACTTTCCTCACCAGGTCACCGGTTGACAGATCCCGAGTGAAATCGACGCGACTGACGAGCATATTGATGAAAAGCCCGACAGCATCACGTGCTCCTTCTACGGGAACATCGCGGCCCGCATGGAGGTAGCCAAAGCATACTTGATCTGACCCTGCGAAGTTGCGCAGCACTAGTGCCCACGCGGCGTGAAAGATATTCGCAACAGTGACAGAGTTAGCAGCGGAAAATGCACGGAGCTTTCCGGGATCTGGTACCGCAAACTCGATATCTTTGAGTTCTTTCTTGCCTTTGAAAGAAGAGCCACTGTTCACCATGCAAGGCTCAAGCCCATTTAAGTAATCTCCCCAATAGGCAAGGCTTTCTTGTCTATCACCGCGCAACATATATGATACGAAGCTGCTGTAGAGCGGCCCAGGTCCCTGGGCCAACATGCCTTCATAAGCAAGGCCAAGATCCCGCATAAGAACGCCGTTCGAAGCACCGTCGGCGACCGCATGGTTTACATCGATCTTGCAGTATGTGTTGCCAGTCGACGGGACCTGGCAGATAATGAGCTTGGCTGGAGTGGTCACCTGCCATGCGAGGCTAGGTCTTCCTAATTCCGGCTGGTCTAGCAGTTCCAATGCTTGCGAATCGGATTCACAAGTTGCTCTCATTGCTGTATGTGGCATAGCCTTCAGTACCACCTGAGTTAGAGCACTGTTGTCAGACACAGTATCGACGAAAACCGTCCTCAAGCTCTGATGCCGATGGACCACAGCTGTCCATGCAGCTTCGAGACGATCAATATCGATGACCTGGTCCCTATCGTGAGATACCTTGTGTATCATACGCACGGCATAAAGTTCAGAGTCTATGCTGCGCGACATCATGAGGGCCTCCTGCAATGGCGTAGCAGGATACATGTCCTCGACCTCCTCTAAGCTTGTGATGCTGTGTTTTGGCAACGATTCATCGACTAGGCTGTCAAAATCATCGTCCGTAAGCGACAAGAGAGGAAAGTCAGTGACAGTGAACTCTTTGGTAAAGCCGCGCAGCTTTCTGATGGCCTCAGTGAGGGATATTTTGGTGTTTGTTGCCCAAGTTTTGATTTTATCCTGACGAGATATCGCCCTGGGCCACATGAACGAGACCTTCATGCGCCCATCAATGACGCCGGAGGATATGTCGAAGATCGAAGGACGCGACATATCAGGGTCCACGTCACAAGTTTCTGGTCCGTAGTCGTCGCGCGCCACGAGCTGGAAAAGAGAGTCTGGCCGTTCCAGCTGCTGATACTGCCCAGTGAAATTCAGTACCGCCTCCACCGGGCCGTCGTGCGCAAATCGCTGTCTGCCTTCGTCATTCAGGAAGCGGCTGACGAAGTACGACCAGCCATTCATAGGAGTCTGGCGACGACGGTCCTTGACTTTCTTGATGCAGCGTCTGATATCATCGCTGCCATCGGATGCGATGTAGACAGGAGACATTGTTGTAAACCAGCCAACCGTTGACGATATGTCTATCGAATCATCCCATGTTTCTCGTCCGTGACCTTCTGTGAATATACTGGGGGGTGCACGATCTGGGAAGGTTTGCACGAATGCGTGGATTAAGGAACCCATCAAAATATCAACTGTGCTAGTTCCAAGGGCCATGTTGCAGTCGTGAAGGAGTTCGGTTGTAGCTTGTTCATCTAGGATAAAGTCGTGCTCAATAACATCACGGAAAGTATTTGCGCCAGCTGGCAGGCCCCAGTACCTCAGGTCCGGCGGTTGCAACTCAAAAGGAAGCGCTGCACTTGGAGAGAGCTCTTGCGCCCTCTTCAGTTGAAGTGAAAGCCAAGTCTGGAATGACAGTGGGTCGGGGCTTGCTTCTGCACGGTTTCTCGTCAAGAACTCCTCGAGATCATCTAGAATGATGCGCCAAGACACTAGGTCAACGACCATGTGATGAGCGACTAGGAACAACACATCACCATCGACACTCGTAAAGAGATTGGCGGCAAATACAGGACCGGCGACGATGTCCAGACTGCCTTGCGTTTCGGCCATCACCCGAGACATGTCCGCAGCGTCATGAACTGACAGGTCGTAGGAACTTCCTGCCTGAGGTTGGATTAGTTGAGACCACTCGTTATCATGAGATCGCTGGTAGCGAGCCCGTAGCATGTTATGTCGAGCAACAAGATAGGTGATGCCAGAAGTCAGACGATCCATATCAATCTTCCGCGTAAGACGGACAAGGAAGCTTTGATTGAACCGCTTGGCTGTCGAAGATGGTGGGCAGATTGAATCGATAAGCATGGTTTGAATCGGTGATAACCCGAACGGCTGTCCCACTTCTTCCTCCGGCAAGTCAACAGGTTGACTCTTCGGCCGCACAACAGCGGCAAGTTCTCGAATCGTTTTGCCTTCAAGAAGTTGACGTACGCTGAGCACGACATCAGCTGATTGGAGCCTGGAGACGAGTTGCATCCCAGTAATAGAGTCACCACCTAAACCCATGAATGATCGATCAAATGGAATTTCGCTGCATGTCAGGTTGAGGACCCGACTTAGTGCTTGCTGAAGGACAATTTCGGTCTGGGTAGTTGGGATGGTTGCCGACTCGGCATGCTTGAGTCTCAGGATTTCTGCCTTTGCCACGTCAGAATCCATCTGTTCCACCCAGAGCTGGATCGTTTTCCTGTCAATCTTTCCAGATGTTGTCAATGGAAGTCTATTGACTGCAAACCATGTTCTTGGAACCATATATCTTGGCACACGAGAGGGCATGGCTTCGCGCACAGCTGCGATTTCCCAGGTGAGTAAGTCCTTCAAGCTTGGATCCTTCACGAAACCCAGAGAACCAGCTACAGTGTCATCGTCCGATGCTATGATAGCTGTCAGGGAGTTCCTGGCAGGACCAGAGTATGGCAGTATAACGACTGACTGGTGCGATGGTAACAGGGAGAAGATGTGGTTCTCAATTTCGGCGAGCTCAACTCTCTGGCCGTTGATCTTTACTTGGGCGTCCTTACGTCCAACGAAAAGGAAAGACCCATCGTCAGCATAGCGTACCAGATCGCCGGTCTTATAGAATCTCCGGCCTTCGCCAGAGCTCCAAGCAGGATCCAGGACGAATGCGGTAGACGACTTGAACTCATCATTGAGATATCCTGATGCTAATGTGGGTCCTTCGATTAGCATCTCACCCACGAGGCCTACAGGGGTGAGGATATCGTGGTTACTGGGGTCGACGATCCAGAGACGTGCTTGCCGTGGTGGCCCTACATTGCTTGGAGCCGTTTGTGCCGTCGTGTTTGTCCAGGTCACGAAGACAGTTGTCTCGGCAGGCCCGTAGCCCTGAATGAGTTGCACCTTCGACGCCCATCTGTCCACGTCCTCTTGAAAGACTGTATCGCCTCCAAACATGAGGGAACGCAGTGTTGGTACATCCTTGGGCTCGAGAAGGCGACCGACCGTAGCAGTCAAGACAGCCCAACTGACTTGCATCTTGCGCATTGACTGCGCAAGATTAGCGCCCAGCCTGTCTGCGTCTGAAGGTACGCAAAGAGTAGCGCCCGCCGAAAGAGAGGCAAATATGTTGAAGATGGACGCATCGAAGACATATGAAGGAAACTGATACACTCTCGAGTCCATGGTGATTCCGAGCCAAGCCAGATCCAACATCTGGGCACTGGAGCATACCGATCGGTGTGGCATCATAACACCTTTGGGGCGACCTGTGCTTCCGGACGTGAAGATGACATATGCAAGAGAACTCGGGTCTTTCGGAGGCAGATCGAGCTTCACGTCCCTATAGCCGGCGACAGCGTTTGCAGATACCACTATAGTTTTTTCAACATGCAAAACTGGAGCGGAGATTGACGCCAGTATAACTTTCGCCCCAGTCTGTTCAATGATGTCGTGAAGCCGACTCTCGGGATGAGTGGGATCCATAGGTACAAAAGCAGCCCCTGCTTTGAGGATAGCCAGCATTGATACTATGGCCCATGCAGACTTCTCAAAGCAGAAGGGTACTAAGCTCCCTGGTCGAACACCAGCATCGAGAAGTTCTTGTGCCACGCGGGTTGACAGCCTGTTCAGCTCCTGGTACGTAAAAGAGCCGTCCCAGGAGCAAATGGCTTCCTTCTCCGGCAGATCCACGACATTACGCTCGAAGAGATCGTGGATGCATGCATCGACTGTTGCTGGCAACGTGGCATTCCATTGATTGAACACCAGGTTTCTGTCTTCAGGGGTGAAGAGTTCAATATCCGAGAGCCTGTAGCCCTTACCAGCAGTGTAAAGTTGCTGGATCACAGACCTTAACTGGCAAAGGATACGGTCAACTTGGGCCTCAGATAGCAGGTGCGAGTCGAAATGAGCTGCAACTACAATTTGGTCTTGGCCCAATGAGCACTCAACTGTGAGTGGAAGATTGTCGAACCCCTCCAAATTGTTTGCAACGGGTTTGAGCCACTGATCTGCATTGGTGGAGCTCTGAGGCTGAACGACGAGTAGATTGCGGAAAGCGCAAGCATCCTCAGGGCCTTGCCCTAACCCCTTGATGTGCTTGAGACCAGCTTGTTCGAACGGTGTCATTTCCGCAGCTTGAGAGTGTACAGTCTTGAGATAATCCGAGACTTCCTGAGACTGGTCGATCTGGACTCGGACAGGAATAGTAGTCGTTGTCGGGCCTGTCATTTGTTCGATATTAGGAAGTGGGGCATTGCGTCCACTCTGTGCCATTCCGAAGACAACGTCCAAGCTGTCAGTATGCTTTGAAACGACTAGAGCCCACGATGCCCGGATCAAGGATGCCAATGTGATTTCCAAATTTGTGTCAGATGACGGAAGCGTAATAGTTTGTTGGGTTGATCGATTACTGATAGCTTGATACGTTGAGCATGGTGTGGATGGGAAGTCGACACGTGAATAACCGTCCAACCGATTCCGCCAATACGCATTGGTGTCGCTCTCATCAATACCGCCTAGGTAGCGTATGAAGTTGGCAAAATAGCTTGTTGGCTGCACAGTTGCCCCGTCGTAAACTTGGCGCACTAGATTCAATATAACGCCGGTAGACCACCCATCATAGGCAGCATGATGGGCTGTCCATACGAAGTAGCACCCAGAGGCATCGGGGATAATACCGTATCTCGTAAGCAGTTGACCCTCGGTAATGAGGACTTTGGCATCCATGTTCAGATAGCATTGAAGACTACCATTCGTTTCTTGCCATTGGGCATTGTGTTTGTATACCACTTGACAGGCACCATAGTGCTCAGTGTTGACGATAGCAGTCCTCAAGATCGCGTTTGAGCCAACAACAGATTCCCACGCAGCCTTGAAGCGAGCAATTTCAATATTCTCGGGGAGCTTGAATACCATACGGTTGACATAGGCTGTGTTGTTTGTTTGAGTGATCGCGAAAAGTGCCTCTTGAAGGGGTGTTGTAGGATAAGCATCCTCCACTATGCTCGGTGACACATCTAGACATGCCTGAACACGATCGATAACCTCCTGCCTGTTTTGGATCAATGCAAAAGGCAAGACGTCGGGTTGGTGACCAGAGTCGATAGATTGGGTTAGGCTTTGGACGAGTAACGCAAGATCAGACAACTTGGGACGCGTAAATATTTCGGGGACCGAGACAAAGAGACCCTTGACGCGCAACTGGGACGCAGCTTTCATAGCAGTAAGGGAATCTCCTCCTAGTTTGAAGAAGTGATCATCAGCACCAATCCAGTCCTCCGAAATACCAAGGACCACCGCCCAAATGCCCTGTATCAAGCGTTCAGTTTCACTAGATACTGGACGCTTTCCAGCATCCCTGAGAGAATAGAAGTCAATCTCTTCCTTGGAAAGCGCTTGTGCAATATGTAACATTGCTTTTTTGTCTGCCTTCCCTGCCGCAGATTTGGGGAGAATGGGCAGAGGAATGTAGAGTGACGGAACCATGTATGCCGATATCTTACTGTGCAGCCCTGCTTTCAAGCTCAAGAGGACTGCGCGAACATTCTCCGACATAGGGATGGTTGAATTCTCATGTGCGCAATCACTGAGGCTCGGTATGCGTACGAAGGCAACGAGGCGCAGCGCAGAAGCCTCACCATCTCCCCTGAGAACGGCGACCGCAGCTTCTGAACGAGGAGGTAGGCAAGCTAGCATTTGATGCTCAATCTCTCCCAACTCGAGTCGCTGACCGCGAATCTTGACTTGGCTGTCTTTGCGCCCAATATACATGATAGCACCATCGTCCCTGTAGTACACTAGATCGCCGGTCTTGTATATGCGATCAATGGCATTCGGCTCTGACCATAATGGTGTAGAAAGGAAGACTTCGGCAGTTTTCTCTGGATTATTCAGATACTCTCTGGCCAATGTTGGGCCGCTTAGCGCCAGTTCTCCTACTGAACCAATAGGAGCCAGACAGTTGTGATCCTCGGCGTCGACGACCCAGGTCGTAGTACCGATGGAGGTGCCAATAAACCCAGCATCCTCTCGACTGGTCAATCGGCCAATGGACGCGAAGACTGCAGTCTCCGTGGGTCCGTACCCAACAAGGAGGTTGAGCCTCTGGGACCATTTGTTGATGAGGCTTTTGGGCACAGCCTCTCCGACAAGCGCTAGAGTCTCGAGGGAAGGCAGGTTTTCGGGGGATAGGAGGTGTACAACAGATGGTGTCAACATGGCAAATGTGACATCCATGTTCCGCATTGCTCCTCCGAGATCCGTAGTCCTCTCCTGCTCAGTAGGAACACACACACAGCCGCCAGAAACCAATGTAGACAGGATCTCGGTGATTGAAGCATCAAAGGTGTATGATGCAAATTGAAGGACACGTGATGCAGGATTAAGTCCAAGACCGGGGGCGTGCTCTGCAATATTACTTGAAAGGGCTCGGTGCTCGATGACAACGCCTTTTGGCTTGCCTGTACTGCCAGATGTAAACAGCACGTAGGCACGATCTGCAGGATTCCCGTAACACAAAGGGTTGTCCGCGTCAGGCGCTTCCATATCCAGAATAGAGTCTTCGGAGACTGTGAATGTAGTGATGGTGTTCTGAAGTTTGCAAGCTTGACTGACCGATGCCAGCGCTAGGTTTGCCCTTGATTCACATATCAACGTGTTGATACGCTCTTCCGGGTCAGTCAAGTTCAGAGGCAGAAATGCAGCACCTGACTTCAGAGTAGCAATCATTGCAACGATAGCCCAGAGGGACTTCTCGAAGCACAGAGGAACAATGGTTCCGGAATGGACGCCATTCTGCACGAGATGCAGGGCGAGACGGTCTGTGTAGAGCTCAAGCTTTTTGTACGAGATTTCGCCATCCCAGGAAGAAATAGCGGGAGAGTCTGGTTGTAGTCTTGCTCGTGCCGTGATGCTGTCGTGCACGCACTGATTAGAGAGAGCAGGGGCGTTCTTGTTCCACCGATCAATGATGGACCGGTCATGCGGACTAATAAGACTGGCTTGGCGAAACGGCTCTTGTGGGCTGCGGAGAATGGATGAAAGGGCCATATTGAAGGTATGGGCTATGCTGGTTGCCCTAGAGTTGGTAACACCATTGTGGGGAGAGTATCTTAGAACTGCACTCAACCGGTCATTTGAGTATGCTGCATTCAAGGTCAAAGTGAACTATTCAAGGTTAGCCAGTACTAGCATGCAGCATCCAATACGATGACCAACCTCGGTGGGGTCGTGACTGTGTAGCAGGTCCATTTGGAGACCACTGGCTGACCGCATTGATTTGTCGTTGAAGCGCTGGATCGAGACCACCGTGTCAAACAACGTGCGGCTGGGCAATTTGAGCTCGTGCTGAATCTCAGCCATGGAGCTCTGCTGGAATGGAAGACTATTGATGAGATCTTGTTGAACCTGATCAGCCAGGCCTAGAGCATTGAGCGAGTTGTCGCTCATGTCCAGTCTGCAGGTCAAGACATTGATGAATGGGCCTACTGTTTCCTCAATTCCTTCAACAGGCACATCTCGACCGATAACTGCATAGCCAAACACAATGTCATCTGATTGGGTGTAGCAACGAAGTACCATGGCCCAAGCAGCTTGGATGACAGATGCGTGAGAGATAGCATGGTCCTTCGAGAACTGGTCGAGAAGTGGTGCCAAGTCCTTATCAATAGGAATGTCGATAGATGGCACCTCGTGAGAATTGACAGCATCTACTGCCTTTACTGGTGGAATGAGACATGGTTCAACGCCATTCAGATATTCCGTCCAATATGCCAATGCATCTGAAGAGTTCTTCTCTTGAAGATACGTGATATAATTTCGGTATGAGGTGGTGGGATCTGAAGGGAGCTTGCCCTCCACAGCCGCAGTCAGATCACGGAAGATTAAATCCATGGAAGTGCCATCCATGAGAGCATGACTAATCTCCAATTTACATAGAAGACCAACAGATGTTTGGCAGATTGTAAAGGCATGGGGCGGACTGCCAGTCCAATCTGTAGGCGCCCGAGACTTGAGCAAGTGCAGGGCAACAGTGTCATCGGAGTCTACGGTGTCGATTATTGGATGTCGCTCCTTGAAAATGACCTGATCGAATGCACCATCTGACGAGCGGGTATCCATAAAGACTGTGCGAAGTGATGGGTGGCGCTGAACCACCTTTCCCCATGCGATGCTCAATTCTTGCACTTTCAACTGTGAGGGACTAGTGACGTTGAAGATGACGCATGTTCGGTATCGTTGGGTGTCTGCGGCAGAGCTGAGTAACATAGCATTCTGCAAAGGCGAGCACGGAAATATATCCTCGATATCAGTCCAGTCGTTGGCACCAAATTGGCCGCAGATTTCCGAGAGGAGGTCGTCTATGCTCTCGTGGTCTGTGTGGAGCAAAGGGAAATCGCTGAGCGTCGGGATTGGAGCTCTTTGCTGGCTGTATAAGCAGTTCATTACTGATTTCAACGTGGCCGGAATGGAGTCAATCCACTCTACCAGTCGATCCAAGTGGAGCATGTGCTTGTTGAGGATGAAGGTCATATGTAGGTGACCATTCTTGATAATCGCGGAGACTTCGATGAGTGCCATTCTTACAGCGTCAGGGCCAACATCTGAAGCCTCGCCTGGCAGTTCAAGCTCACAATCCACGAACAAGCTATCTGGATTCTCCAATTGCTGATATTGTCCTGCAAAATTGAAGAGAATCTCGGCCAGACTGTCATCCCGTAATGCTTCTACTCCCTCAGAGTTAAGGTATCTCGACGTGAAGTATGCCCAACCATTCTTGGGCATTCGTCGGCGAATGTCCTTGACCTGGCGGATTGATTGCAAAGAATTATCGTTTGCAGCCACGGTGGCGGGAATAGGGCACATTGTGGTGAACCAACCCACTGTCGAGCCAATATCAATGTTTTCGTCCCATGGTTCTCTTCCATGGCCTTCAACAAACAGAGTCGGAGTGCTTCTGTCGCTGAACATTTTAGCAAACGCTTCGAGCATGGCAGCCAGCAGTACGTCTACTGTATCAGTACGGAGGATATCGTGGCACTGTCCCAGCAGACGAGCTGTCTCCGATCGGCTCATAGTCAAGCTTCTACTTGTTGTAACACCGTATGTATTCTCGCCTGGCGAAGTAACCCCCCAGTATTCTGGGTTGGAGGCAGGTACCTTGACTGGCAAAGAGGACTTGGGACTCAAGTGGCATTCGCTGTAAGTTGCTTGAAGTGCTGCCCATGATGGAAAGCTGATTCCTGTTGCATCCGGGAGATGACTTGACTCGAGGATCTGTTCAAGATCATCCATTATAATACGCCACGAGACTAGGTCAACCACGAGGTGGTGTGCTGTCATGAAGAGGAGTTGCCCTTGCCCCTCAAAATTGTGCCGAAAAAATACAGCTCGGAAGACTGGGCCGACTTTGACATCGAGGGAGTTGGCAGAAGACATAGCGCTTTGTGCTTCGGTAATGGTGCGCGCCTCATTCACCCAGACGCAGTCTGTGGAGCCCGGTGCAGCGCCGACGGTTTGCATCCAAGAACCGTTCGGAGCTTGGAAATAATTCGCTCGGAGCATCGGATGGCGCTCAACAAGTTGACGGATTGCTACAGTCATACGAGACGCATCAATGAAGCGAGTAACCCGGAGAATGAAACTTTGATGAAAGCGGTGGCGTCCAATCAGTTCCATCCCGGGCTCGATACCTGGAAAATGGGACTGTAGGCTGACGTAGTGTTGCTGGATCGGAGTGAGATTGAATGGCCGTCCGATCTCATCTGTCGTGATTTGTGTAGATGGTCTTGGTTGCGAAGCCTCGTTCAAGCTACCAGCCAATTGTGATAGGCTGGAACGACTCATGATCTTCTTGAGGCTCAATGAAATTCCTTCGCTCCGACATTTCGCGACGAGGCGCATGGCGCTAATCGAGTCACCTCCAAGGCTCATGAATGATCGGTTGATCCCGGTCTTGGCTGTGCTGATGTTGAGGACATCGCAAACAATCGTATGTAGATGCTTCTCTCTTTCCGTTTGAGGAAGCTCGATGGTATCGGGGGCAACCAGGTTGTCTACCTGTTCTTGCAAGCTAGCATCGATATTTTCTACCCATTGGAGAATTGCTCGTCGGTCTCTCTTTCCCGATATAGATATCGGTGTACTAAGAGTCAGGATCCACGTGTCCGGCACCATGTACCGAGGAAGAGTCTCTGCGAGAGCCTCACGCATCTCTGTGATTCTCAAGCTGGCAAGATCCCTGGACCTTCCTTCTACGAGCTGTAAACCGAATGTTTCGGGAACAGAAAGCTCCTTTAGGACCACGACTGCAGTAAGTCTCTTCGCATATGGGCCAGACTTGGGTAGGAGTACACAGGCGTGATCGACCATGGGCAAAGCATCGATGCTCTCCTCGACCTCACCTAGTTCAATTCGTTGACCCCGAACTTTGACCTGTTGGTCCTTACGACCCAAGCAATGGATTGAACCATCCGAATTGTATCGAACCAGATCTCCTGTCTTATAGAAGCGTCTACCGGGAGCCCAGGCAAGGCTTTCAACGAATACGGAGGATGTGACATCTGGCTGATTGAGATAGCCACGGGCCAAGATCGGGCCTTCCATGAGCATTTCTCCAGGACATCCGATGGCCATAAGTACATTGTGGTCGTCCGGGTCGACGACCCATGTCAGTCCACCACTTCCAAAGCCGGTATTGCCAGCATCTGTGTTGGGATCCATTGTGGGGTTGATGACACACAAGATGGCACATTCTGTTGGGCCATAACCATTCATAAGCTTCAGGCTTCCGGCCCAAGTTCTGACATCATCCTGTGTTAAAGGCTCTCCCACGAGTGCAAGAGTTTCCAAGGTTGGTACCTCAGCTGGACGCATCAGTCGGGCGACTGAAGGCGTCAGCGACGCCCAGTTGGGACGGGATTCCTGGATCATGCTAGCAACGCCTGCCTCAGTAGCTTGTTCACTTGCAATACAGATGCAGCCACCAACAGTAAGAACTGCGAGGGATTCCATTAAGCTCACATCAAATGCGAACGAAGAAAACTGAAGTGCTCGACAGTCTTGGTCCATTTGCAGCAACTTCGTGTAGCTAGCTGCGCTGCTGAGGAAGGCCGACTGATCTATCAGGCAACCCTTAGGCATACCTGTGCTTCCGGATGTATATATTGCGTAGAGGAGACTGTTTGGATGACTGGGGACATTCGACACTGCTTGTTGAGGAAGACTTTTGGTGGCTTCTTGGCTGACTTCGATCGGTTGCCACTGTGTACCACTCCATAATGACATGTTGTTCTTGGAGCTAAGAACGAAAGCAGTGCCGGAACAACTGATGATGAATTGTTGACGGGCGATTGGCATCTTGGTATCCAAGAACACGAATGCACCGCCAGCCTTCACGACGGCCAGCATCGCGACGATCGCCCAAGCCGACTTCTCAAACGATAGCGGTACTAATGTCTCGGACTTGACAGACCAGTTGGAGGTTAGCTGCACCGCTAGCCGGCTGGATAGGTCATCAAGTATCTCGTATGTCATCTGGCCGTCCCAAGAAGACACGGCCAGGGCATTCGGACGTTGATGAACACGTTCGGCCACGACATCTTTGACACATCTGTTGACCTTAACGGGCATACTAATGTTCCATGCCAGTACGTCGCGTCGGTCTTCAGGGCTGAGTATATCAATACTCCCCACCGAATTATTGCGTTTTGCAGTCAACTGTCGAATCAAGTGTTCGAGCTGGGCAAGAAGCCTATTGACTTCAAGACTATTAATGATGTTCTCGTCGAAGCTAGCAGAGAGTTTCAACTCCTCTGTCCCCATGTAGCACTCAACAACCAAGGAATGCGTAAAGAAGTTTGTAATTTGCACTGGTACACTTAGGATACCCGGAGCCATTGCAGCTGCACTGTCGTCAAGATCACCAGGTTGGACAACAAGCAAACTACGAAGGTCGCAGGCTGCTTCGCAATCAGGTGTGAGACGTCGGATATTCTGCAATCCAAGGTACTCATGGGGGAGCATGGACAGAGAATTTTGGTGAATGTCGCGTAAGAGATCGCCGATTCGCTGATTTTTGTCCAGGTGAACACGAACAGGTACGGAGGTGATGGTTGGACCAACCATATCCGCGATATCATCAACAGGCAGGTTCCTGCCGGCATTGGTTGTTGCGAATACAACATCTTTTGATGCTGAGTATTTCCCTAGCAGGAGGGCCCACGCGGCTTTAATGACAGCAGCAAGCGGAATGCTCGAGTCCTGTTGAGTAAAGGCCATAAGTCGATCCATCGTCTGGCCTGCACATGCCTGATAGGTCGGGGCCGGCAGGCGGGGAAAATCGCAAGTTGATGCACCGGCAAGCTCGGTGGACCAGAAGCTTTCAGTGGCAGCGCGGTCTTGTCGATTAATATAGCCGACGTAGTTGGCAAAAGACGGCGGCTTGACGAGAGGTTTCCACTGATAGGCTTGTGTCAGCTGCTCCATGAGCAATGACACTGACCAACCATCGTACAACGCGTGATGCAAGGTGCAGACAAAATACTGCATGCTGTCATCCCCTTCCGTTATCAATGCGAAGCGAGCAAGGGGATCGCCGTAACCCATTGGTATTTTCTTGTCTGCGTCCAGGTAATATTGAAGTGACTCCTCTTGTTTGATAATCATCCTATCGTTGTAGACAACCTGATAACGTCTCTCACGAGTGCTCAGGATCCTCGTCCGGAGGATGTCATTATTCCGACGTACGGCCTTCCAAGCGTCGAGGTAACTTTCAAGATCTGCATCGTCAGATATTGATGTGACGAGCTGCAGTGTGTATGAGCCAGGTTGACTTAGAGAAAGGGCCAGCATGGCGTCCTGGAGTTCGGTGCAAGGGTAAACATCTTCGATCTGAGAGGATTTCATCTTGTGTTCTTCGGTCGCAATCCTCAGTATACCTTCCCGAATGTCATGTGGTACTAATACTACCTCGGTCTCGCTCGGTACACCATCCAAATCCCCAGTGTCTATGAATTTGGCGACGAGTGCCAGGTTTTCAACTGTGGGGTTGTTGAAAATGTCGACCACGGAGAAGTTCAAATTTTTGTGACGAGCTGCTGAAACCAACTTGATAGCTTTGATCGAATCGCCTCCGCGGTGAAAGAAGTCATCCTTTATGGAAAGATTTCCAGCTGGTATCGCCAGAACAGTCGCGTACAGCCCATGCAGGGCGATCTCTAAGGGGCTCTTAGGTTCGCATATTTCAGTCAGCAGTGTGAGTGAGTACCGCGCGATGTCAGCATCCGCAATTTGACAGGGTATTTCAGCAAGGGCTCTGCGATCAATTTTGGTGGAGGAGCCTAACGGCATGTGGCTGACCGGGATGAACAATGATGGGATCATGAAGGAGGGAAGACTTCTCGCCAGGATGCTCGTCAATGTCTTCAACTCCTTGAAAAGCTCATCAGACATTTCCAGCGCCCTCGGCTTTGCAGAAAGAGGAGTATTGGTATCTGATGTTCCTAGGAAGGCAACAAGTTGCTTATCCTCGATGTTCCCCGAACGTGATATTACCGCTGCAGCCACCTGCTTGGCGGTGGACATATTGGTCAGAATACACTGCTCAACCTCGCCCAATTCCATGCGTTGACCACGCAGCTTTACTTGGTCATGATCTTTGCGACCAATAAAGTGGATAGAGCCATCGGTATTCATGCGCACTAAGTCTCCTGTACGATAGAATTTTGAAGCGAAGGCACCGAGGTCGAGAGCAAGCTCCGACGAGTACCATTCTGGGTCAGCAATAAAGGCTTCTTCCGTTTTCTTTGGCTCATTTATGTAGCCCCTGCCAATAGGCGGGCCACCGAGCACCAGCTCTCCCGGGGCTCCAAGCGGTGAAAGGCGCTGATGATTCTTGGGGTCGACGACCCAGATGGTTTGGCCAATGCGCTGGCCGAGGTTGTGCTCGCTAGGAGCCTCAGATATGTTAGGGTGTATGAGGGCCACGATAGAAGCTTCGCATGGTCCATAGGCGTTCTTTAGAACGACAGACTTCGACCAGGTTGCAGCATCATCTGCCGACATCGCTTCACCACCGAGTAGCAAGGTTCGTAGGTTTGGCACATCGGAAGGTTTGATCAACCTCGCAAAGGATGGCGTGAACAGCACCCAGGTACAGTTTGCTCTTCGAATAAACTCTGCGATGTCATGGGACCGTTCGTGGTCGCTGGCCACACATGTACACCCGCCAGACAAGAGGGGAATAATGGTCTCACAATAGAATGCATCCCAGGCGTATGAGGAGAATTGAAGAACACGAGTGGTGGTATTGATATCAGAACACCGTGCAAGTGGTTCAACGTTGCTACCGATGGCCTGGTGCTCAATAATAACCCCTTTCGGTCGGCCGGTCGTGCCGGATGTGAAGTTGATGTATGCTGCGTTGTGGGGCCGCACAGGTGATGGCTTCACCTGCTCGTCGTGCATTGAGTCTAGGCTGCTCGAGTCGACAATTATTGGTCTTACTTCTGTGCCTAGTCCCTCACTACATAGTTCGATTGTTTGGGAAGAAGCGAGGATGAACTTTGCCGATACGTCATCCAAAATGCCCCTCAAGCGAGATTTCGGGTGAGAAGGGTCGAGCGCAACCAAGCAACCGCCAGCCTTCCACACAGCGAACATCGAAACAATGGCCCAAGCAGATTTCTCAAAACACATTGGGACTTTGACTTCAGGCCCAACGCCCATTTGCACCAGGTAGTTCCCCAATCTGGTGGACAGGCGGTCCAATTCGCCGTATGTAAGGGTCATGTTGGTAGAAAAGACAGCTGGGGCGGTTGGCGTTGCTTGGGCATAGCGTCGAAAGGTGTCCTGAAGGCATTCCAATTTAGTGACGGGCGCCGGAGTGTTGATATCGACAAGCGTATCCAGTGTGAGCTCGCCAGCCAGGCTGATCTCACCAATCTTCTGTAGAGGATTCTCTAGAATATTTTGTAGAGCAAGCGCAAGTGCTTCACCAATATGCTCCGCATATTCCGGGGCAAGGGACGACGTCCAGTAATCCATGTACGCAGAGAATACATCATGGTTGAGCTCGAAGTGCAAAGTTAAGCTGAATTCTGTTGGGTCATGGAAATCCATTGGGTGCACCGATATAGCAGTGCTATCCCTATTGGACGTACCGGGTCGCTGGAAGTCAATTGCTGTATTGAACAGAGGCTGGCCACTGAGTTCAAGTGCATGTTGGATCTCGCCTAGTGGGCAATATTGATGCTCCAGGCCCTCGGTAAAACCCTTCTGCATCGTTCTCATCACCTCAAGTGCCTCTATGTCATGAGATATTTTCGCATGCGACACCAGCATGTTGACGAGAACACCGGCTATGTCCTCAATGCCGGCCACCGGAGCATTGCGTCCAGATGAAAGATATCCGAAGGCAACATTGTCCATAAAAGTATAAGATCTCAAGACAATAGCCCAAGCTGCTTGCAGAACGGCAAATGGCGTCAAGCCGTGGTCCTTGCAAAACGCGTGGATGGTTTCAGCGGATACACCCATATCAAGGCGTTGAACGTTCAGCCTGCTTTCTCTACAACCTTCGGAAAGATCAGGAATGCAACACGGCTCTGCGTCATTGAGTTGTGTCTTCCAGTAATTCAGGTCTTTCATTCCATCTTGCTCGCGAATATGCTGCACAACCTGACTGAAACGTGGGGCAGACTCGTCAATGTCAAGGCTGTCACCATAGGCAATCGCCAAGTCTCTCAAGAGAATTCGACTGGAGTCAGCATCAAGAATACTGTGGCTGAACTCGAACCTTAAGAGAACGCGCCCACTGGCTGTGCTGCAAATACTGAATCGGTGTGGTGGACGCACTGATGAGTAGCTACTCGTGGGTGCTTCTTTCCACAGGTCCAATGCAGCTTCAACTGATTGGCATTTGACGATATCAATATCGGGAAGGATGTTTCGCAGAACAACCTGCGCATGGTAACCAGTATCTGTAGGATGGGCTACAAATACCGTCCTCAGTATGGGATGCCTCTGCACCACGTGAGCCCAAGCTTCACTCAGCCGAGGCACTTCCACAGGTTTGCCTGATGCTGCAATGACTTCAGCGATAACGTGCACCGCATAGTTGCTGGCATGTTTTCCTTGGGCGAGCAGAAGGCCTTCTTGTAGACCAGTGCAAGGATATACCTCTTCGATGAGTGTGGGACAGTCGTTTGGCACCAATAAGCTGAGTTGGGGCTCAAGGGTTGTGAGGAAGTTGTCAAGTGTATCATAGTCCAGTTCTAGGAGCGGAAAGTCTGCCAGACTATAATGGCGTGTCATTCCTGGGAGGCTGATAGCCATGTCTTTCAAAACTTGTTCTGTCTGAGTGACCCAGGCCGCGATGCACTCCTGATGAGCCGACTTCAGGTTGATAGCGAAGTCGAACTCGATTCTGCCGTCTTTCACGACAGCTGAGATATCGAAAAAAGACATTCGTCGCACGTCGTCACCGACATCGGCTGCTGGTATGGGTACCATACTAAATAAGCCTCCGATGTTTTCAAATTGCTGGTAATGGCCCTCGTAGTTGAACATGATCTCCATTGTTGGGTCTTGGAGATCTTGGCGTGCTGTTATCTGATCGAGATAGTACTGTCCGGCCGATTTTCCATGTTTCCGTTGGTCCTTGATAGCTCGTAGGATATGAACGATACCCAAGCCCCCCTCCGTGCTGACGGGAACGAGCAAGGGCCAAATCGTAGTGAACCAACCAACAGTGCCTGATGCATCCAAGTCGCCAAGACCACTGTGGTCTCGGCCATGGCCCTCTACAAAGATGGACGGTGAAGCCCGGTTCGGGAATATCTGGGCAAAAGCATTCAAACTAGCAGCCAGAAGCAACTCCGTGGTTTCAGTTTTCAACACGTCGTTGCAACGGCCCAGTATCAACTTGGAAATCCCCTCATCGAGGGTAAAACCAAGATGGTGAACGTTGGCTTGGACGTTGTCAGCACTTGAAAGCTCCCAGAATGACCAGTCAGCTGGGGTTGGCATGGGTGCGGAAAGAGCGTCAGCGCAAGAAGCAAAGTGCTCGTGGCGCTGCTTAGAAATTTGTAGGTAGGGCAGATGACTTTGCAGGCTCGTAGCGGATGACGACAAAAGGTCCTCGAGGTCCTGAAGGAGAACGCGCCACGATACAAGGTCGATGACAAGATGGTGGGCGATGAGATAGAGATGCTGTTCCCCTGCTTTTTCAAACAGTGTGGCAGAAAATACCTTGCCCTCCTGAATATTCAACTCATTCTGTGCGGTGGAAGCAGCTTCAGCTATTGGGTGTTCGTCCGATACCGCAGAGGCACGGAAATGATAGTGTTGGCGAATTTGTCGTGAGTCTGATTGAGGAATTTGCTGGAGCCACTCTCCGCTCAACTCAGACCTGTAGAATCGAGCTCGTAGCATAGAGTGTCGACTGACAACAGTATCCATGGCGTGTTCCAGCTTGTCCGGTGAGATAGACCTCCGAAGCTTTAGAAGAAAGCTCTGGTTATAGTGATTGGTACCACCCGGAAGTGCATGGAAGAAAAGTTTTTGGACCGGAGTCAAGGCGACTGGAGTGTCGTATATCTCTTCCATTTCCACAAGAGCGGTTGTGGGGGACACCGATTGGACACGCCTTGCGAGGCTCCCTAAGGACTGGTTTCGCAGTACATCCTGTACAGTGACTATGAGCTGCTCCGCTCTGCACAGAGACATCACTCGCATGGCTGTTACGGAGTCTCCGCCCAAAGACAGGAAAGTACTTGACCGCGCTATCGTCTCTGCGGGAAGGTTGAGCACACGAGACCAGATTTGTTGAATGCTTTGTTCGATGTTAGACATTGCCTTCGACCCTTGATCTGCATCACCATCGGATGCCGCAACAGATGCCGAGAATTTTGATGTTTCAATGAACGTGTCGTGATGCATCCCATCAACCCATTCTTTAAGGGCTTTTATATAGATCTTGCCAGATGTTGTGACCGGTAAGTCTTCCAGTACGGCCCATACAGTGGGAGTCATGTATGCTGGAAGACGTTCCTGAAGGGATTCCCGTAATTCGCGGATGATGCCAACAGCCTCCTTCTTCAACTGGCCATGCACTAACGCCAAGTTTCTGCTGTTGCTGGAGGGCTTTGTGCGCAGCGATATCAGGCCCACCAGGCGCTCCTTGCACGGACCCCGGGACCCTTTCACAACCACTGTCTGCTTGACTCGAGCATGTGCTGATATATGGTATTCAATCTCACCAAGCTCCAAACGTTGGCCTCGAAGTTTGACTTGGCTGTCTTTACGACCGAGTATCTCAACGGATCCATCGGAGTTGAAACGCCCCAGGTCTCCAGTCCTGTATACACGACTATAGTGGCCGAAGTAGCCTTGCATACACTGAGGCGCATCGAAGAACACCTGGGACGTCTTATCTGGAGAGTTAAGATAGCCACGTGAGACACCCGGACCTTGGATTGTGATCTCACCGACAGAACCAATAGGTACCAGCTTGCGGTGGTCAGATGGATCTGTCAACCAGATTGGACCTGTAACCCCAGTTCCAATACAGGAGGCTTGGGAGTCAACCGACAAGGATCTAGAGCAAGCCGACATTATAGCAGCTTCTGCAGGACCATAGGCGTTGAATACTTCAGCAGCAGGGGCCCACGTCTTGAGGACTTGACGAGATAGAGCTTCCCCCCCAAGAACAATAACCTTAAGACATGGTACCTGCTCTGGTGACATGAGACCCATAACAGTCGATGTAGCAAGAATCCAGTTGCACCCAGTGCGAGTGATGTATCCAGCAAGATCGTTCATTCTGTCATTTTCGGAAGGGACGCAGATGCAGCTGCCCAGAAGTAATGCTGCGCACATATCAAAGATACTAGCGTCAAAGGTATGAGCAGCGAATTGCAACACTCGAGAGCCTTCCTCGATCTTCAAACATTTTCCATAGGCCTGGCAGTTAGTAGCAATTGAGTGGTGCTCTGTCATGACCCCCTTGGGAATTCCAGTACTTCCGGACGTGAAGATGACGAATGCCACATTGTTTGGACGAACAGTCGGGCATGGAATGGCCCTGAGTGTTGGAAGGGATTGCAGGAAGTGGGCATCTAAAGACAGAACCTCGGCAGATGTGTGTTCAAATAGCTGACGGTGCTCAGGGGTTGTGACAATTATCCTGGCGCTGGTGTCGTCGAGAATGGTGTCCAGTCTCCCGCGTGGATGACTTGGATCCAAGGGGACAACAGCACCTCCAGCTTTTAGAATTGCCAGCACCGACACGGTTGCCCACGCAGATTTGGAAATGCAGTATGGAACAAGAGTCTCCGGCTTAACGCCCAACGATACCAATCGGTGAGCCAATCTTGTTGTGACCGTGTCTAGTTCCCCATAGGTCATTTGAGCATCGTGCGCGGCGATGGCTACAGCGTTAGGGCGCAACCGGGCTTGTTGCTCGAAGATGGTGTGAACGCAAGATGCATTGTCAATGAAATCTGTCACGTCGTTGGTAGCAGTCATGTTCCACTCAGTCATCTTCCGATGGGCTGCATCCGAAACCAGGTCAACGAGCCCAATTTGATCATGGGCTTGTGACATTATAGCCGATATTGTGTGTGCCAATGTATCAGCAAGGTTTTCAGCCTGCAAATCGCAGACTCTGTCGGTCCAGTAAGTGAGATCCGCGCGGGGGAAGTCCGAAGAAGTATCGACAAGGATAGCAATATCATACTACCGAGAAATCAGCTGCTGGGCATAATATTGTTCGAGAATCACCACTTACCTCTGTAGGGTCGTGAATGCTGAGTTCATCAATAGATAACGAGCCCCGGGTGTCGTTGTCATCCAAGGACAGGACTGTCTGAAAACCAATGATGGTATTGAAGAGCAGGTCTCCAGATAAGTCCAGAGAATGGCACATATCTGGAATCGAAAAATGCTGATGATCAAGGCTGATCGTGGTTCGTGCTTTCATCTCCCTGAGGAGGTCAAGAACCGTCATCGAATCATCGATGTCAACGCGACTGATCAACGTGCTCATGAATGCACCCATGGCTGACTCTATAGAGGCCACAGGAGCATCTCGTCCGGAAGCAACATAACCAAAGCAAATATCATTGCGGTTCAAGTACGCACGCAACACCAAGGCCCATGCCGTCTGGAAGATGTGGAATAGCGTTACCTCTTTTTCTTGACAAAAAGACGAGATATCCCGCGCGTAAAGCGATAGATTCAACGGCACGGAATTCAACTTCCTTTCAGGGGTCACATTGCCTTCCACTAGCAATGGAAAGTGACAAGGTTCAGCACCCTGAAGATACTCGCTCCAGTAAGTTTTCCCGAGCGTAGACGGCCGGCTGAAGATGTTGTTAACGAAATCTCTGTAGACCGGTCCAGGCTCCCGAGGTAGCATTCCATCATACGCCGATTTCAGTTCGTGGACCATAAGTGCAATGGAGCCGCCATCAGTGATAGTATGGCTAATGTCGAGTCGGATGTAGCATTTCTGGGTTTGGCTCACGAGGATAGTAAGTCGATGTGGTAACTTCCCCATCTGGATATCAGTCTGAGGCTGGCTCTCTATAACTTCCAACCCATTTTCACTCCCGCCAATGGGTATGAGCTTCAAGTGGTGGATATCAGCCTTCACGTGACGCAGAACAACTTGTTCCAGTGGCTGCTGGGCTGTTGTACCTTCGACGAAAATGGTTCGTAGTACAGCATGACGGTTGATGACAGCTTGCCAGGCCTTCTCAAGGCACCCAATGTCCACAGGCGAACCGTTATTTAATCCCACTTCAGCCACGTAACGGATCGCATACGAACCGCTAGTCTTCGCTTGGCTGATGAGAATGCCCTGCTGGGCTGGAGAACATGGATAGACATCTTCGACTTGGATGTCTGCATCACTGGGCCAAGTAGCGAGTTGCCGGAGTCTTTCATGTTGTTCTTTCTGGACCTTTGCGGCGATCTCGGGTGTGCATAGTGGGATGGCCTGTGGTGTCGTGGCACCAGCTGGGGTCACGTGCTGGCCAGCTGCGGCTATCTCCTGGATCGTCCTTCCGAGCATCAAGTCTTTGACGGTGGCCTGTACGTGCCTTCGACCAAGCAAGGAAATGGTCTTCATAGCAGCAACTGAGTCGCCCCCCAGACTCACGAACGAGCGATTCGTACCGACTTCTTCTTGGGGCAATCCCAATACCCGGGACCAGACGTCCTGTATCAGTCGTTCTTCCTCGGTCATCGCGCCCGCCACATCATCTCCGCTGCGACTCATGCCAGTGACCAGCAAGTAAGTGGATGTGTCCATCCCATTTACCCAGCGAGAAATCACACTCCTATGTGTCTTGCCTGATGCCGTGAGCGGGATCCCCTCTACCGTCGCCCAGAGAGTGGGTATCATATATGAGGGAAGCTTCGTTGAAAGCGCTGCCTTGAGGTCATCAATGATAGCCTTCGATATAATGTCAGGCTTGACTTCTGATACCTGGCGCATACGCGGACCACCAGAGCATGGTGCTGCCAAAGCAATGAGTCTGCCTTGGCACGGACCTGACGATGCGTGGACAACAACGCAATCAGCGATCTTTGGGGTTATGCTGTTTAGATGATACTCAATCTCGGTCAACTCAACACGCTGTCCATGAACTTTGACCTGTGTATCCTTCCTTCCGAGATAGTCGAGGCTTCCATCCGAGTTGTAACGAACAAGATCTCCGGTCTTGTAGAGTCGTCCAGGCGCCGGCGTGAACCGGTGGATCTGGTCTTGAAGCCAAGCCGGGCTCTCTATGAAAACCTCGGAGGTTTTCAGGGGCATATTCAAGTAACCCTTGGCAAGTGTTGGTCCCTCGATCAGAAGCTCGCCTGCAGACCCAATTGGCATTAGGCGTGTGTGATTCAAGGGATCTGCAACCCAAAGCCTATCACCACCCACTGCGAACCCAATATTGCTAGGGGAAGCGGCCCCGGGTATGATCTCAGCCCAACTTGCGACCCATGTTTCTGCTGGACCGTAACCGTTGAAGAGACGGACACCTTTCGTAGATGACCATGCGTCGATAACTCCCTTGGTGACAGCTTCTCCCATCATGACCAATTTCGTAACTGACGGCACCTCCTCTGGATCCAGCAAGGATGCAACAGTTGGGGTCAGGCTTAGCGAATTGACGTCATGTCGGTTGATGAATCCAGTGAGGTTGTTCGACCTTTGTTCCTCCGATGGGATGCAGACGCACCCTCCAAAGTGAAGTGTGACGAAGATGTCAAAGAGATGCACATCAAAGGTGTAAGCCGAAAATTGCAGGACCCTTGATTCTCGACTCATCTCAAACAGTTGACCAATGTGGCTCATTGATGAGCAGAGAGCTGCATGCTGGATGACAATGCCTTTGGGAACTCCGGTACTACCCGAGGTGAATACGACGAAGGCGGCATCTTGAGGATCTGGTTTGCTACCATTCACCTCCTCAGTGACGCCACCTTGTAATGAGTTGATTGAAGACTTATCAATGACAAGTGTTTTGGTGGTCAATCCTTCTACAGTTGCCATAGTCTCCAGCGAGGCGAGTGCAACGGTGGCCTTTGTGTCATGCACAACGGTCTGAACTCGGCTCTTAGGAAAATCGGGGCTTAGTGCTACCGATGCACCACCGGCTTTCAATATTGCCACTATGGCAACCACAGCCCACATGGACTTGGGGAAGCAATGTATGACATTTGATCCTCTGCCGACGCCTAGATTTCTGAGGTGAATGGCCAAATTTTCAGCGAGTTGATCAAGTTCCGTATAAGTCAACTGGCCATCCCATGAGTCCACGGCTATGCTATCAGGTTGAGTAGCTGCCATATCTTCGAAGATTCCGTGGACTGTGGACTTCTGTGCACCTGATGAAGCAGTTCTATTCCATTGGCAGAGTAACTGTTTGTCATACTCGCTGAGAAAACTCAATTCATTGAGAAGCATGTGCGGTTGAGATATCACGAAGAGTAATATTGACTTGAATGACTCAGCCACTGCTGTTGCCGCTTCAGCGCTGAGAAAGTAGGGTTGATAGTTGAAAGAAAGCCTCAAGTGACCTTGGCCGTCCGTGATTATGAGCACTAGGTCTCCTAGCTATACAACGATGAGGGTCAGACTTGTTGAGTTCACTACCTGAGTACATACCATATCTCGATCCAGGGGCTCTGGATGATCCTGTTTGACTGTGCTTTCACCCAGGAATATGCGTATCTCGCTATTGTAAAGGCTTTCGGATGTCGAGCCGATCAGATGATGGCGTTGTTCATGAGTGACTGTTGTCGCGTTGAGCTGTTGTAAGGAGTGCGCCAGGTGGATCGCTTCAAGTAATGATTGGTTCAAATCTAGATCAATGGCGAATACAGATGCCTCAACAGTGGTCCCTTGGCTGGTTATCGCCAGTGATTGAGGAGTTGCATGACGTTGAACTCCGAAACATGGGTTGGTTGAGCCTGTATATCCACCAACCACGATTGCCCAAGCGGCTGTCAGTAGGCTGGCTACTGATACGCCAAGCTCAGTAGACAGTGATTGTATTCTTTCCGTGTCTGCGAGAATCATTTCTAGCGAGCCAAAATCCATTTTCATTGATGGTACGATGTTGTTCAGACCCGGAAATTTGCAGGGGCCGTAGCTTTTGAAGGCATCAATGGTCTTCGCCTTCTCAGAAACACCCATGGTCGAGGTTTGAACCTGCAAAGACGACATTGTGAGTTATTGGGTAACGCGAAAACTTACGTAAACGATTATTACTATTACTGTCGACCACACAGCGATTGTACCGTTTTGTCAGTAGTACTTGAAAGTGCGCGATAGTAAATCGAGCGTTGCGTGCTTCTTCTTGAGTGATTAGAGACGATTTCTTCTACTTTCTAAGAACGGTAGCAGAGTCGGATAATAGTGCTATCCTCATGTTAGCATATGAGTTTCAACGAGGCACGCGTGTCAGCATGGCCGCTGGCCACAGCATCTTTCGACCTACATATATCCCCAGTGAATATCTCGTACAGCTCACAGTCGTCCAGTGAGACTTAGGGTAGCTATGTCTGTCTGGCTTCTGAAGAATGTCAGTTTGGAACAAAATGTGGTTTGTGAATAGTCCGTGAGTCTGATGTCAAAGAAACTGGAAAATATCCTATAATCAAAAACACGTTGCAGTTTTTGCTCAATAGCTGGAACAACTTTGATGTCCACATGCGTGACTGCAAGATGCAAGATGACCATCGACCTGGGGAGCCGCAAGTATATGCATCTGGTTCGTCTCCACTAGGTTATGCATTACTTGTATAGGGTATCCAGAGAATCGGAATGGTCGAGGCCCATAGCACAGTGCTGATCTTCAGCTACCCTCGTTTCACTTCCTAGCCCGTATTTTCAACGTTACCACGTAAACCGCCCGTACCGGGGTTTGCATCTTGGTCGCCAGAGGAGCGGAGCATCCTACAACACACACTAATCTACTCCTGGGTGTATGGAGAGGGATGGTGCCGTCACCATATCTGCAGGCTCATCCCATCATTTCCCAGTGCCCTGGTAGGCTCCAGGGTCTGGCATCATGAGGGCGACCAGTCAACTATGTTTGCCTCAAGTCGAGTGGATGGAAGTAGTTCGGACGACAATAGCAATGATCGACGTCATAAGGATAAAGTCATGCCGCCGCACACAGTCCGCCTGCCCCTGACCGGCGTGGAGCCGACACATCACCGGTTCAATAAGCACGTTGACGCAGGTGGCTCGAGTGCTCGGCTTTTCACCGCCGAGTGACAGCTGGATGGAGGATACGTATGTGCCCAGCCGTGCTGAATTGAGTGACCTTTGGATCCAAGGGGTACTGTTTTGGTACTTGGCGAGGGAGGCCCGATCTTGTTTGGTACTCTTGAGGGCATATATGCACTCGATTGAGCTGTGCCCGGGATGCAGAGGCACGCCACATAGCGCCGGCATAATGGCCACGACCAGGCTTTGTGTTTAGGGGCAGCGTAACCGAGCCAATCTGCAACAATGCACAGACCATGACATGGTAAATGTTTCCTCCAACGCAGGAAGAATTCACGACCGTTCTGTTTATGTCAGCCGTACTAACGGGAGCTGACGAACGTTGGGGCGTTATGCGAACCAATAAAAGCCTTCGTAGCATACATATACGGCCTGACGGCTGGAGATCGCCCCACAAAGTATCTGCAGGTGAATATCAAGGCTTGGACTAGCCAAATTTGGGCAGCCGTTTTGGCTGTCATATCACATACCATACTGCACCAAGCCGAAAATTGGGTCGATGGGTCATGTACAAATCAGCACGACCCAGCCAGCCGGGTGAGAACGGGGCCTTTTTCTTTTTTTTTCTTTTTTTTCTTTCCCATGGTGCCCCAAACTTACGTACTAGTCCAACATGCATATTGAACCATGCACAAAGAACCTGTAAAAATTGTGTAACTCCCTGTCTTGTACGCCTGAAAACTGACGAGACCGGCTTAACGGATGGAAATCCGACCACTCGATATAGCTGACAATCGCCCCACCACCTTAGAAACGTAGCCGAGTACAGATGGCAGCGTCGGTTATGGAGTGGCGTTTGTGGATTTGTTCCGAATCCTCCCAGGCACTCATGTAAGCTAGATATTGGCACACCCTACCGTATTCTTTGGCAACGGATGTCGTACATGATCAGCAGCACTGTCCTTTCGACATCACAAATGCTCGCCGTGTTGCTCAATATCCGCGAGGACGGCAAAGACATATACCAGCAACACTTGAGCCATAGATTCTCCATGGTACCAATACCAATCGTCTAAACCATCATGAGCTCGAGTCTGGGTAGCAACCCGTCTGAAGCGGGAGGGTCAGTGGTCGTTGACAATGATTTCGGACCTGTCGTCGACACTTCTGCTCGCCCCTTTGACTTCACTCTTCTTTTTGAAGAATCCATCTTGTCCATATTGCCTTCGACATTGTTCATGATTCTGGCAATAATTCGCATTGCTGTGTTGAGAACAAGAAAGCCGAGGGTCCAAGGACGTGCCTTCCAGGTCCTGAAGTTGGTAAGTTGTCAGTATCTTGCTTGGGGCAACGTCATTGTCTCTTACCTCAAAACGCTGACTATTTTGTTCATTGTATAGTCAAATATTGCAGTTCTACTTGTTCTAAGCTCAGCGCTTGTGGCGCTCTGGTGCTTAGATGGCACGAAGCGAACTCAAGCTTCTGTGCCGGCTGCTGTGCTGAGTATGGCCGAATGTATGGTTTTTATGGCACTTTCGTTCACGGAGCACCTAAAGTCTGTCGGTCCGCCGCTCTTACTGGATGGTTACCTGGTCGTCTCAATACTATTCGACGTTGTCCGTACAAGAACGTTGTGGCTAAGTGGCGCCCGCCCGCCCATTGCAGTTATATTCACCTTAACAGTGGGGATGAAACTGAGTATATTGGTTCTTGAGGAGTCTGGCAAAAGACGATGGACAATTGCTGGACGAGAGCCATGGAGCAACGAGGTTACTGGTGGGGTCTTCAGCCGCACTCTTTTCACTTGGCTTGACAGGATGATGTGGCACGGGTATTCAAATGCTTTGTCAGTGCCCAGTCTACCTGCCATTGACAGCAGCCTCCTTTCCGACTACATATGGGCTCACATAGGTCCTGAGATAGAGAAACGTGAGTTCTCCTATGTTGACTTATGATCACATCTCTAATTGCTCAATATCTGACCTTCGCAGAATCGATATCATCTCATCATTCACTTATGTGGACAGTATTTTGGAAGTTCAAAGGGTTCTTACTGGCACCAGTCTTGCCTTATCTTGTTATTGTTGCGTCCCAACTTGCTCAACCATTCCTCATCAATACAGTTCTGGCCTACGTTCAATCGCCATATGATGGCAGCCAAGAGCAGAAAAACATCGGATATGGTTTGATCGCAGCCTATGGCTTAGTCTATGTCTGCATTGCTGTGAGTGATGAGTCCCATCTTCTTGGACTACCATCATTAATCTGGTTTCATCTTCTCTAGATAGCTACTGCTTGGGGGCAACATCTTTCTTACCGATTTGTGGTTCTCCTGCGAGGAGTTCTTGTGACCTCAATTTACCGGAAGACTATGTCTACTAGTGTGACAGTTGCTGCAGATGCCTCGGCAGTGACGTTGATGAGCACGGATGTGGAAAGAATTGCCCTAGGGATGGCAAAGATTCACGATGCTTGGTCGACATTGATTCAAGTTGGTTGCGCCATGTACATTCTATACGGGCAGGTTGGTGTAGTATTCGTTGCACCAATAGTGATATCGATAGGTAAGTGCGGGTTTTTGACAATTATTTCTACTTCCCTCCCGCCTCTTTCCAGCAGCGGGCGAGAAGAGGGGGTGGGGCTTGCTTGTTGCTGCTAACGATGAGATACAGTTTCCTGTATAGCAGCCGTTGGCCTGTCTAGTTTTGCTGGCGCATTCCAGGCCTCGTGGATGGAGTCATTGGAGAAGCGCATTGGTCAGTTCACGATGTTCAATTCCTGCCTCGCAATGAAATCTAACACCAACAAACCAGCGACCACTTCTGCGCTGATAGGCTCTGTTAAGGGAGTCAAAATGCTGGGCTGGACAGGAAAGGCATCCGAAATCATACAGAAATTGCGACTTGCGGAAATTGCTTCGGCCCGCAAGTTCAGGCTCATGCTCCTCGCAGTAGTAACCGTCTGTAAGTTGATCCAATCCATGGTTTGGCTGAATATCTAACTCCCTTCGGAGCATTTATACCCGTAGCCCTGGCCCCAGTAGCGACATTTGGAATCTTTTCTGCGAAGTCAGCAGGAGACATTGGCGAACAACTGGGATCCAATCGTATCTTCACTACACTTTCTCTCCTCGCACTTATTACACAGCCTCTTGATCTGCTTTTCGCCTACATTCCCGAAATATTGGCAGCTGTTGCATGCTTCTCTCGTATCGAGAAGTACCTACGACAGGAGTCTCCCGCGAAAATAAAGAATTGCGGAAAGTCCGTGGAACTCAATAACTCTTCGATTGAGACTTTGGCCAACAATTCTCAATCGGACGTGGGTTCAAGGGATATCGACGAGAAACAGAGTCCAAATGGCATTGCAATTGAGCTGCAGGAGGCTACGTTCGGGTGGAACTCCGAAGAAGAGCCTGTACTGTCAAAAATCAACCTAACCATTCCTACCCGCAAGCTCACCTTAATCATTGGACCGATTGCCTCGGGGAAATCAACACTTCTCAAAGGAATCTTAGGGGAAACCCCGGTTTGTGATGGGGTACTACATATCTCTTCTCCACACCTGTCATTCTGTGACCAGACCCCCTGGATGGCCAATGAATCCATACGAAATAACATTACTGGTAGTGCACATTTTGACGCAATGTGGTATTCCAAAGTGATTAGAGCATGCGCTCTCGAGGATGACCTTCGTAGGTTTACCGAAGGCGATAAGATGATCATTGGAAGCAATGGCCTAAGCCTCAGCGGTGGCCAGAAACAACGAGTGGTGAGTGGTTTCTCCCTATACTATGGCCTAAACATGGTTTCTAGTTTTATCCTGCATCAAAATATACTGAAATCGTTGCTACAGGCCATTGCCCGGGCTGTATACGCTAAACGCGATTTATGTTTGTTCGATGACGTCTTTAGCGGCTTGGACCTGGAGACCCAGGCACGCATTATGCGTGATGTTTTTGGACCTCAGGGGCTACTAAAATCGCACCGTGCCACAGCAGTTCTTGTTACCCATACAAGTATGTATGGTACAATCCAAGTCCTTAGTCTGTGAATACTAATAAATTTCTAGGCCATCTTTTAGTCCATGCAGAGTATGTCGTTCTGTTAACCTCCGGTGGACAAATCGCAGAACAAGGCCCACCAGAGAAATTCCGTGACAAGCAACACATCTTTGAAGAACCATATAGACTGAGCGTCATTAGTAAACCGGAGGCTGAGAATGATCAGGATGCTGGTAAGAGCTTACTGTTCAAGCCGGAAACGGCAGGTTTGACCCCAGCCGAAATGTCGGTTGATACAGAAACTCAGCGTCTCGGCGATGGAACTGTCTACAAGTATTATTTCGAGACCTTCGGATGGAAAAAGACAGCTGTATTCTTCGGATTACAAGTTTCCCTTGTTTTCTGTATCAAGTTTCCTGGTAATTATCACCTCCACAGCCTCCAAATTGTAATACCACGCTGATGCATCGTAGAAATTATACTATCGTGGTGGGGGGAAGCTAATGATAAGGATCCTGGTCATTACAACGGCATATATTTTGGAATATTCACGGTCTTGGAAGTTGCCAGTCTGGTGTTGTTGGGGCTAATCTGTGCGTATGTGTCCCCCGTGCTATTCCATCTGCATTCCAATGCTTGACATCGAGGCGATTCCCAATCCTGACTTCCACACAGACATGTTTTACTGAACCTCGCGGTGGTTTCAGGCATCAAGCTCCACCATAAACTCCTAAGATCAACTCTGAGGTATATAATTACACCAACCGTTAATTCGCCCAGGTGCTGACAGCGAATGGTGTAGGGCTCCTCTTTCCTTCTTCACTATAACTGATGTGGGATCTATTACAAATCGGTATGTGCAGCTGAGTTTGAACTGCTGCTGCAAATCCAAACACTAAGCCACTGTAGATTTAGCCAGGACATAAACCTCGTGGATATGGAGCTTCCGTTCTCCTTCATTAACTTTGTGTGCAGTAAGTCAGCCCTTATCCCACATACTACTATTGCTGATTCTGGAGTAGACGGTCTCACTTGTGTTGCGCAAGCGCTCATGATCATACCAGCGTCTCCATGGTTGCTTATCGGGTATCCTTTACTGTTCGGTGGACTCTGGCTTCTTCAAAGAGTTTACTTAAGGACGTCGAGACAACTTCGATTTCTAGACTTGGATGCCAAGAGCCCTATCTAGTAAGCTCAACCTTCTACTCCGCCCCGCAGCCATGGTAGCCATGGAGGCAACTTAGACTAGCTGCTAAAAGGTACAAAGCGGTCAATTTCTTGAGACCTTGAATGGGCTCGCTACAATTCGAGCCTTCTCTTGGGAGAAGGATTTGATAGCCAAAGCAGATGAACGGCTCGACTATTCACAAAAGCCTTTCTACCTCCTTTACAGCATCCAAAGGTGGCTCAATCTTGTCCTTGACCTAGTAGTGGCTTGCTTAGCTGTGGTAGTCATCGCAGTCGCTGTGGCGCTTAGAAGTTCAACCAGTGTGGGGTTTGCTGGTGTGGCATTATTCAACATTATGACTCTAAGTGCGGCTTTGAAGTCTGCTATCACCAGCTGGACACTACTTGAGACTTCGATCGGGGCGGTTGCGCGTGTGAAGATGTATGAACAGTCGACACCCGACGAGAATCTAGGCGACGAAAAACAGCAACCTCCTCCAGCATGGCCCACCTCGGGGACAATTGCATTCAATAATGTTACAGCGGCATACAAGGATGATGGGGATAAACCAGCAATCATTGGAATGTCTCTGCATATCGATGCCGGAGAAAAGGTGGGGATATGTGGCCGAAGTGGAAGGTAAGAAGGTCACCCTTGGCGTAGTGTAACCCCACACTGACTATAAGCTTCAAGTGGGAAGAGCTCTACAATCCTGGCGCTGTTTCGTCTCATCAACTGCCAGAAGGGTACTATCACGATTGATGGCGTGGATATCTCACTCATTCCTCGCGAATCACTTCGAGAACGGCTCACCGCCGTTCCTCAAGACCCGGTATTCCTCGCCGGAAGTGTGCGCTTGAACTGCGATCCAAGCGGTACTTCTTCAGATGAATCCATTATTGAAACCCTCCGTATTGTGAAGTTATGGGAGATCATCGAGGCAAGAGGCGGCCTTGATACTGAACTCGCTAGTGACATGTTCTCGAAAGGGCAACAACAGATCTTCAGCCTTGCAAGGGCCCTAGTACATCATTCTAGAATTGTTGTCATGGATGAGGCATCTAGCAGGTTAGTTAGACTCGTCTTCACTTACACTGTTTGATCCTTTGCTAATCTCGAGTCCAGTCTCGATGCCGATTCAGAAAATCTCATGATGTCGTTGCTCGAGCAAAAGTTCAAAGATACAACAGTCATTTCAATCGCACACCGACTAGACACTATCCTGGACTTTGACAAGGTCGTCTTGCTTGACGAAGGCGCCATATCAGAAGTTGGAAATCCACGCGAGCTCCTTAGTCGTGCTTCGGCGTTCAGATCGTTATACGAGTCTTCGACCACTGACTAACTCACGCAGCTGGTGGAATGCAAGGCAATGACCTCGTAAGCTAGTACCAGTGTCGACGCGGGCGGATTCTCCTAGCAATGGCGAAGCTAGATACTTCTCATGCAATGGGACTTGGCGTAACTGTTCCGGAAGACTGTATCTCATGAGCTATTCCATTGGAGACATTGATAATGCTGTATACCAGTACCATATCGTCTGCTGCCCTCATCTATCTACGTCATGGCTGAGTCTACCCCCACGCATAATGATGCATCCCCAAGGGCAGATTGAACATGCCCCATGATTGGCCGTGCCTAGCTGAATCAGAGTACCAAGTTAACGGGAGCCCGACTGCGGAGAATTGTACTTCAGCGTGGTGATTCAATGATCTGTGCTAGATTCGTTCGCATGTCACACTTAAAACTAGAGACTGCACCAAAGCTTGAATCTTTATTGGCTATATTGAAGCGCGCTCGACTTACTTATATCACGTGCTGCAGTGCTTCACATTGGGCCGCTATCATTTCCTTGAGTTTAAGCGTGTCAGAACGTTTACTTATTTGTACAACGTAGCGGGCTGGAAGCAACAACGCTAGGCTGGAACGGGGAGCGATCGGCATGAATTGTTCATCTGACAGCTTCGTCGTAGGTCACAGATAGCCTAGAGCCTCCGCACTAGATCGTTTACCGATGTGGTGTGACTTAAGCTTGGATTACCCCATTGGACTCGTCGCTTTCTGGCGGTGCTCTTTCATCTGAGAGAAGTTTAGCTGCAAGTTGTCAACGCTTATCTGACTGTGGGGGATGAGACATACGAGCCGCTAGCACAAGACTAACTGAGCGGGATGTCATAACGCGGCCGCTGGTGATTATTAGATGTCTCACTTGGATGTTTCAGCTGAATCCTCTGGCATTGTGCTAGTCCTAGAGCTTATTTCAACTGCGTATTAAAGAGTTGGCTGCACTTCCCAAATGACAATGCAATTGTTCCTTTGTTGACCGTGCAGTGTCGCCTCCTGTGTCTCACGCGTCACGCTAATATCAGTCAGCCAGGAAGACTAAGCCCAAACGGATGGAAGTCAGCGAAATTTGCATTTTAGATCACCATTTGCAGCCACCTGCCATTGGTTTACAGCAAAGGCTTTGGAGCCCAGGCTGGTCTGGTCGCCTTTCCTCAACCTCGAACCGACACGAATGGCGTCCCAGGAAATGGCCTGACCCGGGACCGAAGGGCCGGGCTGTCTTTCGCCATTCCTGCACTTGGCGGCATTAAATGGCGATACCGTTTAAGGGGCAGGTCGCTGACTATGGACATTGTCCACAACTATCCAGTGCGCGATCCGGCTTTCACCGAACCTAGCCAGGCCCCTACAGGCATGAATCTTCACTGCCCGGCCTTGCTACTTTGGAGGACTACAGTCTATCATTCGTCTGCTGCCGTGCAGAGTACTTCGCGTGGGACTAGGAGCTCTGAGGCAGTATGTCGATTGACAGAAAGGTGAGCTTTTCTGAATTGGCATGTCACGCCTACAATGACTGCTGGATACCTAGAATGATGGCTTCGCTTAAGCTGTCAGCTGACTGAAAGCCAACTGCAATGGGTACCATCCAACCCAGCTAAGGTGTGCGGAGTCGCAGCTAACCGCATTGGTGTCCCCAGCTCGCTGTATTTTGCTGATACCGCGCTCGCCTTGCTCGTTACAAAAACTGGCCTCCGGACTCATGCAGAAGATGCCGCTGCTTAGCACTTGCGCGCGAGTGCTCTGCACGTCATGTGGCGTCCCTAGTGGTGGCCGCGATGCAGCTTCAAGGAGCTACTGATGGCTAAGACGCATGTGAGCTTCCCATGATTCACCTCATATATTGGGCCATGCAGGTGTAGGCACTGGCCCGATCTAAGATGTTCAAGTCGATGGCGAAGATGAGGCACCTTGATCGAGTTCCCAAGGCGGGCAATGCGGGACACCCTCAAACGCTGGGTTCGTCATGGCAGGATTTGTGAGCAACCGACCCGGGGTTCGCTCGTAGTGGCAGATCCTAAACTACTCAGCCATTTATTCCATTCATAACCAGGTAAGCCTGTTGGCTAAGTGGCGAGCTCACCCGCGTATATTGACGTGCCATCGGTAGTATTGTGGCTTCGCAGGGGCCTCCAAACCTGCAGCTTTGAGATGGCGTTCAGGGTGGGCAGAGACCAGACTGAATTTTTTTTTTCCGGGTTTTGACATCCTTTCTTCTCCGGGTATGACACAGTTACGGTTCTAACTCTTGCAAAGACCGCGACTCCTTCGCCGTAGAGATATTGCTGGACAGCTATGGGGGACGGTATAAGGTTCTCGCGATGTAACGGCGACCACAAAGTATCAGCGTTGCATTGTCAGTGCCGTTAATTTGTCTCTGGACGACAATATGCAGTGTCTGACTCGATCTATCTATAATTAGACACGCTCGCTATTGAGTCCCCAGCGACCACGCAGGGCACTTCAGGGCCTAGTGCGCCAAGCCGACCTGCGGATTCTTGCCGGTGAAACCCCAATTTGGTTGGATTGACAGGCTGACCTGCATATCCCCACCCTGAGCCTTACCCGGTGGTGGCTCTTTCGTAGCCAGGGGTTTGAAATCTCGAAAAGCACCCGGCTCTGTCCCATTCGAGCTAAATGTCCGACCATGTCACTCCAAGTTACCAGATCCGATCGACGCTATGCCTCTCGTGGACCAGCCGCCTCGTTGTCAACCGTTGGCTGAGTACATTCAATGTGAGACTGCCTGGGACTTCCTTGACTACATTCTGCAGCCAGGGTCTGCTGGCACCTGTCACCGACACGAGGGTTTTGCAGCCTCACAAAGGCATGGGGTCACAACGATCGGCCCCAAATACGGAAACAACAACCCATTTGTATTCTGCACCACGCCGAGCGCCTAAGTTACATGGGGGATCCGTTCTGGGGGAATCCCCCCAAGATCGCCCGGCCCATCCATTTGTACATATTCGGATTCGACATATTCCGTCCAAGCCGGCTGAAAGCTGGGCCACTCAGGAAACGAAAACAAAACGCCACCGGCCCTGCGAGGTTTTCTGAGCCAATCAAAGCGTGTCCGGGTATTTCAGTCTAGCCGCCGTTCACCAATTGTATCCACCAACCCCATAGGCATAGGGACTGGGACTGCCATAATCGCCGCTATCACTGTCGCTGTGGCCGCTGATGCTGCCGCCACTGTGTCTTCCCATCTCGTCAATCATCTTTTGCTTACGGTGGGCATAGCGGGATCTGAATCGGCACTGCCAGCCCTCGCTCCACTTCGGCATTGGCAACCCTCTGTGGCATTCCAGAGTGTTCCAGAGCTCGGTACCTCGATCCTTGAGCATGGCGCCGGTGACCGAACCGCTACCAGCCACGGATTCGTACCAGAATACCCATTTGATGAGCTCCTCCTCTAGCGTCTCCCACTTTGGCGGCCGTTGGCGCTTGCGTGTGTCTATTTGGCAGTATGCTGGATCCTGCGAGGCGTCGTCTAGTGGGTCGTACTTGTAACTCAGAATTTCGCTTACGGTACTCGAGTTCAGATAGTACCCATAAGTTTGCTCCCACCAAATTGAGGCGTCCGCGTGTGTCTTTGCCCCGTCCTTGGTCGAGGGGTCAAAGAACCACTGTCGCAATGCGCGACGCTGCGTATTCGTGATGGCCTTCCGAGTTTTCATCTTCATAGTATGGTCTAGCACGACCAACGTTCGAGTCCTATCAGGCCACCGCTAAACCCGGTTGATCTTGTGGGGCTGACAAGGGCGAAACCGACAAACGACAATGGGTTACAGAGTTGTCAATAGATATAAGATCCACCTCGTGCTGCTACCACGGCGATGAGAGCGATCAGCATCTTATACCCCTTGGCCGTGTACTGGGGCCCAGCCTCTGAGCTGCGTTGTCGTACAGTTGACGTTTTTCGTTCAGGCCCTTGCGGATTCGGCGGGTCAGTTCTCTGGAAATTGCACATCATTCAGTATGGCAGCCATGTTCAGAATTGGTCGGTGCGTTAGTTGCAGACTGCTTCGTAGGCCATCGTCCTGTGGTTCAGCAACTCTACCCCTGAAACGCAGACACTTGGCTTTGATGCATCGTTGATCCTTTCCGCAGACGTCATAGGCGGCAGACTTAGTTTCGGCTGGTTGTCCCGGGCGAAATCCGTACTATCGGATACGGTGTATTCGCCGTGACTTACACGGCGGACTGCAAGTGCTGGGCCCAAAACGGACCATGGCTTTGGGGCTTTTGGGTATAGCTCGCACCTTTTATCTTCCTTCCGAGTTCGGTTTTTCCTCTTATACCAGATGCAAGCTCCCCATTCCTCCCCGATTTGTACTTGGCCAGTGTCAAGTCCTCGGTAGCATGCCATGACCATGTCAATATGCAGCCAACGCATCATCATCTGTGTTTCGAAGCTCAAATGTACATTCTGGACTCCAAGCTCAGGCCTCAGCTGAAGCTCCTCTTGTTGATTTTCCCGCCCTGGACCTGCACCAACTTGATTAGTATTGCCGTGAGAACGGACGCACTGTCTCCTTTCGGGATTGATCCATTGTGGCAATCCAGTTGACATGGTGTAGGTGCCAGCTGAAAGAACCCAGGCTGCAGCAAGCATCAACCTTGCCTAGCACATAACCATACTTGCTCGTAGAAGTTGATTCTTCTTGGCCTCAACCGTCCATGCACTGTCGTCAGCGGCGACCCGGGCATTTCGCCGGCACCCTCCGCAATGTGGGTTACGTTGGCTTCCGACGAATTGTCCCACATCTACGCGCTGTGGCGCCTCGTTACGACAGCGGGAACGGCCCTTCGGCGGGGAAAGCGTCAAGGATTCCTGGCAGATCAGATCAACTGGGGTAGACAAGGAAAATGACAGATCATATCGATATTCGTACCTTCATGTAAATTCCGTCTGAGGACTTACCACATTCACACAGATTCACGACACGTACCTCTTTTAGTATGTGCTTCCTCCGGGCTTTCAGCCGCCAGCCTCCAATACCATGAACATAACATCGACCATGAGATAGGCTTCACCAAGAGGTACAGCGTCGAATGAGCACAATGACGTTCGTTGCCAGCTCAGCAGTCCTATAAGCTGCCATAATGTGACCTTGTTCGGTACACGCCCCTGATGATGAATATTTCGTCTATCAACACCCAGTGCGAGGAACTCAAGTGATGTCGTGATTATGGGGTGAATTCGAGTGGGCCACCATGTTCGTACAAGATTTTGTCATCTCCACTGTCGGGCCACCGGATGCCTAAGGTTCTCTCCAACCATGGGCACATCAGAGATCGTAGACCGGAAAACCTAGGGAAGGCGGTCAAGACTCGAAAGAGCCACCAAAGCCCGCGATGTGCGAGGCTGCATGAGGAAGCCTTCTTTGCAAGCCTTCTGTGCATCAGCAGGGGCACAGCAACCAATGTAAGCGCCTGGAGATGCGTGGCGTGGCTTCAGGCGTGACTCTTTCCTAGCGTTGTTGATGAGGCAGTTGCAATCGGCTTGGTTGGATGCGGGTGTCGTTAATAATCGGGATTTGGTTTGAACTCGGGATGCGATATGAGACACATTTTTGCAAGTTCTGCAAGCTGCCAAGCATTATCGTACGATGTTTGGCCTATAGTCACATCACCTAGACGCCTCTTCGCGCCTGGAAATGTTCCGAATCGTCATCAATAAAATTAGTCATCCACATGTCCCACGCACCTTGAAAGCTTAAACTTTGCGATAATTGAGACATTCCTCAATTAGGCATGTCGTTCCGGAAGATTGGGCTGGCATTGCGGCAGCAACGCCAATGTTCCTACTGAGAAGGTCAAATCCTATAAGGCCGCGAATTGCCTTACATGATGCCGTAAGCGATGGATCATTTGCTAATGGCCGCAAAAGATGTGTATCCATTTTGTGACGTATGCGAATCTTGGTGCTATCGAGTTTCTTCTTCTCTGCCCCACACAAACCGCCAGGCACAACACCAAACTCCTCATCGACCCAGGTTCTATTGGTCTCGTGAGCAGAGACAAGGCATGGGCCAGATTGCGGATCCTTTCGTATCCGAATGCAATTACATCTAGAAAGCTTCCAATAGGTTCAGTGAGTCGGAATGTAACCTTTCATGGTTCCGCGAAGGTCTTGCATCTTCTCGTCCAGTGGTCTAGCCTTTGGGGCAAAGAGGAGGGCGCGTAACCAACAATACGTTGATCACGACCAATAGGGATGATGTAAAATGATCGAAGACACCGGTTTCAATGTATGCGCCTCCTGAGATGCCGGGAAGGCGTCATTTGGATACCAGGGAATGGAACCGTATGCTTACCTCAGGTTCAGGGGTAAGCATAGCAAAATATTCTTTGCAGAAACTTTGAGAAGACTGGCCTTGGTCTATCAGATTGTACCCAACAATTGACACAGGACTGAAAAAGCTTAGGTCATCACGCCATAGAGCGAGATGAATTTTACTCCCTTTCTTCGCGTTCGCCCGCGTGAGGCAGAATCTATAGCGCTCCCTAGCTGATCGACGAAGCTCAAACAATCGGCAACCCCCAACGAAGTCGGGTGCACTAAGGATATGAGCGCCTTGATAATTCCTGGTCCTTGTTGTGGAATGATCGTTCGAGGTGCAAGCTTATGCGAGTTACGGTCGTGGTGCTTGTCACTCATCGTGTCCTAGTCGAGCGCTTAGTGATGAGAACCCAGAGGCACGAACTTTCTGTTGACGGGACTGGTCTACATACCTATGTAGGTGTGAAATAATACCCAAAGGCGTGTGTGCTTCGCATGATACTGGTTCAATCACTCGCTTGTGATCCTTGCAACCTAGACTTATCGCATATTTCAGAAGCCCAGGCGACATCTTTATCGGGATAGACTTGCCATAATTCTCTCAGGCCTTAGGATGATGATTTCAGCAACTCTCTGGGGCGGTATGCGGCGAAGTTGGAGCCTGGGTATGGATTGACGCCCTCACTTTTGCGCGATTTCCCATTAACTCACTCAGGAGTACCAAAAGGTGCAGTCTTCACGATTTCCCGCCGTCGACTTAATGGTTGTACACGAGAGTCATTATATCCTTATTGACCACCCCATTGATGTCCTTGCAGAGCGTCGAGGGGCCAGTTCTTGACAGGTTGCGAATGGCTACACCAACGATCAAGGTGGCGTATTGATGTTTATTTGGGCCAGATGGAAGCGATCGCTTTGATTTGTCTCTCGGTGGATGAAATTGTTGACCAGCCTCAAATGATGGGGTCGGGGGAAAAAAAGCGAGTCCGGTCTGGTAAGATCTTTGTTGTTCGAATGCAATTGAATCTAGAAACATCTTTGAGAAGATTACAGCAAGGACTCACTTGCCGACGAATGTTCGGACGACTATGGAAGTCGGCAGCACCAAAGTCGCCAGACGGCGTGGTAAAACGTCACACAGCACCAGAAAGAAACTCACCAAGATGGCACAGGCCCCCCCTATATGTCTGCAATGGATGCATATTTCAACCTTTCTCGGATAGAGTGACAGCCGATATTTTCCTGCGACAGGGCTTCGGATGTCTTGGGCATCTGACGGGTGGTCACCACGTTCACCATTGGGGTGCCTTCAGGATTATAGGCTACCACAAGGAGCCTGGTCAACATAACAGCCTTTACCCCGCTTGAAGGTCTGCGTCATGTCATATTTGACGATGCTGGTGGGCAATAAGCACCGCTTCTCCCATAGCGGCAGGATCGGCGGCTACACTGAGATACTTCGCTTTGGGCTGGCCAGACCTGTCGCAGCTTGCGGTGTTGCTTCATGCTCTTCACACGTACAGTAAGATCTTGTCGACTATGGTAAATGGAAACTATTGCGAAGGTTGAAGAAAGTGTAATTGGTCAACTAGACAATTGCACCTACCATATTTGGCAAGTCTAGGATGTGGCAACCTCGACAGTGGGAAATCTGTCGAAGCTGGGAAAGGATAACTTAGCGAACAGGTGCGACCTTCGAGGATGTACAATACATTCGGCAACAAATCGACTACTACAAGGAAATGTGAGCCCCTAATGCAGGTGCATGTTTGATGTGCGTACTGGCATATCGCAATCGAGCGAAGAGGAGACCGATGACGGCGAAGAAAAAGAAATCTTAGATACAGTACCGAAAAACCCACCCATCATGTCTCTACTGTCTGTTTATGTGGCGGCAATGTGCACTCAGCGTATGTTCTCCTACTATCATAGCCAAGGAGCATAACCAACCAGGCTGGAGCTACAGTGCAGCAGCTACTTTTCAGCGGGAACGCGAGTTCCTAACAATAGATTTGTTGCAGGGCAAAGCAATGACACTAAAATTGAGGATCAGTATCTGCGGTTGAGGCTGTTTGGCTTCAACGACGTTCACCACCGTATTAAACGACCAATTACGTAGGCACGCAGCAACACCAAGCCACGGGAGTGGGAGCTATTTCCGGGAAAGTAATGAAGAGGGATGCATCGTTGGAAAACTTAAAACGACAAGTAGGTGATGGTTTGCGGTTCTGCAGAAAATATCTGTGCTGATGTATACGATGTTCGAAAGCGGCTCATGGTTGGTTGGCGGTGCAGGATGAAATTGCCATTTGGCTGATGCTTGCATACAAGTATCATATCAGCAGTACGAAGACACGGCATGCAGCGCCCCCAGCGATTGAATCCGTGAAAACACATCGCAGGTGTTGGTGATGAACTCATGGTGCATCGAAGTTTCGGGAAGCGCGCAATGTGAACAGCGGAGACCGTGGTATAGCCGACGCCAATGGCCTCGTTTATCTCTTGCACACTACGCAATATAATGACGACGTCATGTTTACATGATGGGTTTCAACAGCCTGAATGCAAAACGTACAGAGCCACACAGAATCACTCCTAACAATCAAGCGGCCAAGCCTTGGTCTGCACGCAGGGACCCCATCAAGGTGCAGAGCCAGCATCCACAATGCACAGGGCTCGTGGCGTTTGAATACGGAAATATCTCACTGTTAAAGTGAATATCAAAGAAGCTGTGTTTCTGAGGGATAAGTGGACACAAAAATATCAGTTGTGCTAGGGAGACTAATGCAAGAAGCTGCATAGAGTTGATGATGCATTTACCGATTCAATGACCTACTCCGGATGGCATCGATGTACCTCTCTGCCTTTGCTACTGGAAACTGGCAACTGTGCTCAACAATGGCCCGTTCCGCTATATAAAAAGTCGTGACAGCCTACGATGGGTTAGCGGTTGAGACATGAACACGACTAGGTCCGGCCAAGTCGTCCCACTGCATACGGTAGCTCCGTAGGTATGAAGCGGGCCATGGCACCTGTCATATCAGGACAAGGACTTCGTTGAGAACAGAACCCGTTGGTTCAAGACGCAGATGTACAGTTGAAGGAACTTGGCGGTGGAGAACTTGCGTTTCAGCTTGCCGCGATGGTAAGAGCCCACACTCTGGAAGGATTTTAATTTACTCTCTATACCGGTGGTATCCACGTCGTACAGCATTGGTCTTGCGGATTGAGCGGCCTATTCCCGACTGATAGCGATGTACGCCGCTGTGCGCTCGTCAGCAAATGAACCATCCTTCTGCGCTTGGCGGATGACGAACGCTGAATACTGGTTAGATGCAGGACGACAGAATGGCGTCTGGAAAGTGGCCAGGAAAACACTTCTAAAGACTAGCTTGTGAATGACCGGCATCATGTTACAGGAGAAGTACCGGTTCACAGAGACGATGTGACATGCAGAATATTGAGAACAATCACGAATATTCTCCGGGGTCTGGACCAGATCGTCGGTGGAATGTGGCCTGACTTTGGAAACACTTCGGTCCGAGCCGAAGTCCAAACCGGAGATATACTATGAGAGAATCGAGTAATCAGATCGCTATATTCTTGAAGATCAGAACTGCATTCATACGATCCGCCGCTTTCTTTCGCCCGCGTTATAGTGGCCTGGTTTCTCATTTCTGGTAGGATGAATCGAAGCAAGACGCTGCCCTGCATGCTGGATGGCATGGCCTCAACAAATGCCAAGGCCTCCCTCACTTTCCTTGCATCCAGAATCCTCAAGCGTTGATACCCGTAACCCCAGCTGTACATTAAACGGCGATTTAACGGTGACTGAACGGCGATTACATACGGTGGCTGGCTTCCAGGTCACGCCAAACTCCATAGCCCATTGCTTGCAAGACACGCTTCACGTAATGCCCGCGATAAATCTCTGCAAAGCACCCCCGGCGTGAACAGAGGTTGTAGAATACCCAAGGGAACACGTCGACGGAGATTTCCGCCTGGTAGCTTGCCGCAGATCATAGCCGGGTTCAGAACCGCAATCAAATGTCTTGCAGCTATGTTCCATGTCGTCCACGGATGCCTGCATGGAAATAAAGAATAAAATAAAATAAAATAAAATCCAGCTAAATTCTACATGATCCATCCATGCAGCTCGAAGGTACAGGCTTGGCAGGACGCAGATTTGGGAGGGGTGCAATTTCAACTACGGCCGTGTTTTAGACCCGCCCTCGGAGTTGCATCCGGGAAGAGCGTCTCGATGCACTGCGACGTGGTCATGCATGCCCCAGATTTCGCCCAGGTTTCGTATTCTCAACGCACCCAACACCCTCCTGTCATAATTAAAAGCGGGGGCGGCATGTCTGCAGCGGCAAACGGCTGAAGGCGAGCGCCGATCATTGCCGCTCCCGGCTCCGGGTGTTCGCGGCCCCGGGATTTTCGCCTCGTTATAGCTGCCGCAACTGCCGGTGGACGGGGCGATCAACTTTCAGCTGCAGCATGTAAGCTGCAGCAGCCTAACCTGCACCTTGGCAACCTGACACCGGACCCAAATGCGCGGTGAGCTCCTTATATCCCAGGTTGGTGGTGATCAGCACTGCGTGACTCCCCGGAGGATGCCCTTCTGCTGCGGGTCAAGGTCCACAATTCCGGCGGGAGTTGCGGCCCCGGCCAAGTTCGCAGGCAGGCGGTACATCGGAGCTATTATCGGACGCATTCAAATTGTCCTGCATCCGCTAGACGCCGGAAAGCTGCATTCTGATTGCAGGCAGCATAAAGAGGAACGGCTGGACTTCCATGCATTTGTAGTTGCCTTGTTTGAAAACTTTTATTCTATGAGTTCTACGACTAATTTGATGTCTTGCTGCGTCGTTGCCACACTGTGTAACTATCAACCCTTGTCTCGATGCCACACCCATCTTCGTGGAGGGGGACTGTCCCTCAATCGGCCACAATGAGAACCCCAACAAACGAGCACTCTGTTTATTGCATCTCGATGGTCGCGGGAGGCTTGCTCGTTGTGTTGTAGGTAACACAGCTGACTCCATCAACTTCGTTCACAATGCGTCGAGATATCGCCATAAGAAGGTCCATGTCAAACTTGTAGGCTTCAGCCGTCATGAAGTCGGTCGTGACCACAGCACGCAGGATGATGATGTATCCTTCCTGGCGTTTGTCGCCCTTTTATATTGTCCATTAGTAATTGATTTTGCTAAAGAGTCTATGCCAGTAGACGGGGGTATCGAAAGGTCTTACCATGACTCCGATAGCTCGGTTCGTATCCAGCGCTGCATAGGCCTGGCTAATGTTGTTGTAAATGCCAGCCTCCTTGATCATGCTGATGAAGATCTGCCTCCTAGTTAGCGACATAATGTTTCCCAGTGCAATAGCAACTTGTATTAGTCTACTCACGTAGTCTGCCTTTCTTGCTATCTCAACACGCTCCGGTGTGACATCACCGAGGATACGGATGGCAATACCAGGGCCAGGGAAGGGCTAAATCGTGCCATGTCAGTTTACGTGATCACATGCGCAGGACAGTGTCCAAGTCATGAACGTGTGGGTGTGTACTTACATGTCTCATCACAAGTTCCTCGTTGATACCTAGCTCGCGGCCTAGGGCTCGGACCTCACTGTAGGAAAATAGGTCAGCATATGCTCAGATTAAATCAAGCCATAGTCGGAAAAACTCGGCAAATATGGCGGAATTACTCCTTGAATAGCTCTCGGAGAGGCTGTATAGGTCAGCAACTTGTTCCAAACAAGGAATCCTGGTTACGTACCTCAATGAGCTTCAAGCCCTGACCGTTCATCATTCTGGCCGGTAAACCACCGACGTTGTGGTGGGTCTGGAATCACCCTTGTTAAAACACAACTGTGGAGGTGGCACTGACAATAACATACCTTGATAGTTGAAGAAGGTCCCTTGAACGAGATGGACTCGATGACGTCCTGAATATTGAAGAGTAATTAGTGGCATGGCTCTTATTATACAAGGTGGCAATACCGTGAACCCTGTGGCGTGGTAAACTGAGACTCACCGGGTATAGGGTGCCCTGTAGGAACCATTCGACCTTTCCGGCTGTGGGAGTGTTTTCGGCTGCCTTCTCGATCTTCAGGGCCTCCTCCTCAAACACGTCGATGAACGTGTTTCCAATGAACTTTCGCTTCTTCTCTGGGTCCACAACATCCTTCAAGCCTGCGAGGAATCTCTCCGAAGCATCTACGACGGTGAGGTTGATTCCCAGATGCTCACCAAGCGTCTCCTTCACTTGCTTGGCCTCGTTGAGCCGCATGACACCTTGGTCAACAAGCACCGCATGAAACCTATCGCCGATGGCCTCCTTCATGAGTCGTGCGGCAACAGTCGAGTCGACGCCTCCAGAGACGGCACCAATCACTTGACCCTTGTCGCCCACCAGCTTTCGAATCCGGGTGATTTCCTGGTCGATGAATTTGGACATCTTCCAGTTCTGCTCAGCACCGCAGATGTTGACGGCAAAGTTCTTCAGCAGGTCCTTCCCGCGCAGGGTATGCGTGACCTCCGGGTGGAACTGGATGCCGAAGATTGGCTTCGTCTCATGCGCAATTCCGGCATAGGGAGAGTTTTGAGTGGTGGCAATGGTGCAGAATCCAGGAGGCAATTGGCTGAGCTTATCGCCGTGACTCATCCATACTTGCATCGCGTCCTCCGCGAGGCCTTCGAAGAGTCGGTCGACAGGGCTGTTGTGGCGGTCTGCTTTCAAATCCTGTCCACGACTATCAGTCGAACATTCGTGAGCCAACGAACAACAGGCGTACCGCGTGTCCGAACTCGCGCTCGACGCCTGCAATGACGTTGTCCTTGCTCAAGCGCCAGGCAAGTTCCTGGAGGCCGTAGCAGATGCCGAGAATTGGCACATCGAGGTCGAAGAAGGCGGGATCAACATGGGGTGCGTCCTTCTCATAGACCGAGTAAGGTCCTTTCCAGTTGTTAGCTGACGAGGTGATAGCTGGCTGGTGAGTCACACGAACCGCCGGACAGAATGATTCCCTTGGGCTTGAACTTGAGTTCCGACAGCTTCGTCGTGCACGGCAGCATTTCACTGTAGACCTTGGATGGATGAGCATGCTGGTGCTGCATACGCACTTTCGAGCGCTGAAACTCACATTGAGCTCACGGAGGCGTCTCGTAATGAGATGCGTCACTTGGGAACCAAAGTCCAGAGTGAGAATGGTCTAGGAGTCGAGCTGGGTTATTGATACGGCTCATGTCTCGGGGGTTTCCAAAGGCGCTCGGGGGCAACTAACATCGTAGGCCTGGTGAGGGGCCTCAGCCTGCTCGACGGTACCAGACATCTTGATCAGAGTATTGAGAGCTGACAGCGGATTGACAGGTCTTCTGTGTATGCTGCGGTTTTCGAAATGTTTGGGAGTTTAACCGCCGCCCAGCGAGAGTCGGAGGGGCACCAAGAAATTTCTTATCGGCGCGTCTTATCAGGCCGTAAGGGGCTTAGCGAGGGGCATTAGTCGAAATCGATAAGATGGAGAGCTTGATTGGCCAGTCATGTCTGATCCCTTGTATCGGTCAAACGAGGGTGTCCGAAATTTCCCACCAGTATTACGGCCAACGGCGTGAGGCTGCGGATCCAGATGGCGACCTTCCCACGTAGCAGCTCGACTGGGCTGGAACTAACCGTGCATCCAAGTCGATAGAGCTATCACGAAGGGCAATGCCGAGAGCGTTCAATAGAGCAGGTTTGAGAAACCCTGACCCGTACATCAATTCAAGCGACTAACGTACAATGGCGTAGCTTGGTAAGCCTAGACTTACCCCATCTCACCTTTCACCCGAGGATAGAATCTCTACAGCACAGCTCACTGACATGGACAGTCATACGTGCCGAAGGCGCAAGGTAAAATGTCCGTGTCTGGCAAGGACGCTTCACCGAGGAGAGGTGGATGGCTGACTCAGTCCCAGGCGACGAATCAGTGCCGATATGCGGGCAATGTTCAGGGGCAGGTCGCTATTGCGACCAGTCGGCACTGCCTTCACAGTTCATCGACTACTCGCCAGACCCAAATTGTAACGTCTTAGGTAAGACGGCCAACGAGGGATTACAGCTTGCACAGTCTCAAAAAGGCAGCAACGGGAGTAGACCACGGTCACCGCCTCCAATTAGTCGTGCGTGCCTAGAACAGCCCGACAATGCGTTCTACTTCCATCACTACATCAAAGATATTGCGAGCTGGTATGATCTCGGGGATGACTCTCGGCAATTCACGATTGCCGTTCCTGAGCTAGCGCTAGGAGAGCCTTTGCTTATCGGTGCCATCCTCGCAGTATCCGCAATCCACGTTTATCAGACAACAGGCAAAGCGGGATCAAGAACAGCTGCTGAACGCTATCACGGTTGCTGTGTTAGGTCGCTTATCAAGTTGGAAGAAACCAATGTCTTGCTTGAAAATGGCGCTGCTTTAGCTGCTGCATGTCTCTTGAGATCATACGAGATCCTAGATGGTAAACAAACTCTCATGCTTCTGTCCACATACGGCCGTTTAGATAATGCATCCAACTTCTGCGAGATTATGTAACAGCGAACGCTAATCCAACACTTCACACAGAGATACAAGACCCGCGGCGACATCTAAGAGGTGCCTATTCTCTCGCCTCCCACCCGACGCTCATGTCAGCCTCCCCATCAAAGGCACTATATCGAGCAGGGTTCTGGAACTACCTGAGAGAGGACATTACATTTAGTCTGTTTGAGAACTGCCCGTTGCAAATAAGTCTGGAGGATCTTGTCGAATCAGGTGACAAGGTGTTACAGCGATGTCCACTTGACTCGATCTCATTAATACTAGGTCAAGTAATCAGTGGCGTGGATAGAGAATACATGCCAAATGAGTTATGGTTCGGCCTTTTGGAGAGGACGGCAAGTTGGCTCAGAGCTCTCCCAGCTCATATGTGGCCCTTCTCTACTGGCCAGAAGGGGACACAATCAGCGAACGGTCCATTGCCCCAAGTATGGTTTCTTCGAGACTCTTACGGTTCGAAATCCCTCTTCCATTCAACCCTGTGTGGTATAGTTTGCTAATACTAGAGGTAGCATCTGCTATGCATTACTTTCTGACCGCCTGCAGCATATTAGCGGTCTATGCTCCGGAATCTCACCTCGCAGCCCTACCTCGTCTCTTGTCTTCTGGTGATGACGGGATCTCGAAGAGAGAAGACATCCTCGGTCAATATGCGCTTGACTTGTGTGGAATTGCTTTCACCACGGGCATTCCATCCGTACTTGTTAATGCCTTCGGGCCTATATTTTACTGTGGGCATAGCCTCCCCAGAAAACATTTCTTGAGCTAGTCTGACCTGCCTAGGTGGTAGATTCATAAAGTCTGAACCAGCCAGGCACGAGGTCATGCGCCACCTTTGGGCCTGCAGAAAGAGAGTCGGATGGCCCGTCGAACGCATTATAGATGCACTGGCCAAGGACGAAACGACACGCGAACCTGACCCTGTGCCTGCTGACATATGTCGCTAAAGACTGGGTCTAGCCTATTTCAAGTAGCTTAACCCGACCTCGGGATTGAGGTAGGCCCCTTTTGAAGAGGCTCTCTGGATAAGCATATAGTGGGCAACTTCCCCGTTCGGGTCCTTTTGAATGCTCTTCTGACTTTTTACCATCCCTACTTCCATATAGGACTCACTGCAATTCACAAGTCTCACCCAAAATGCCGATGACAACTCGCTTTCAACGCCTAGGAGTGCGTGCCTTGAGCTCCGCCACCGCCTCTAGCGCCGGCCTTCGAGCCCCACACCAACGGCAACCATCACCGTTCACCGTCCGGCCCTCGACAGAAGAAATCCGGAACTCATCCCTCGACGCGCGCAATTTAGAGCATGCTGTTAGAGCAATTCATCAAGACGGCATCGTCGTCGTCGAAGATGTAGTACCCCACGAGGTCCTTGATAGTCTTAACCACAAGATGGTGGAAGACGCCCGAGAGCTACAGGCCCGCGGGAAGGACGGTCCTTTCAACTACAACCAGGGAAACCTGCAACAAGATGCACCTCCTACCGCGGAGTACTTCCATCCATCCATCTTTATAAGTAATCTCCCGTCTGCTCCGATTTAAACCCACTCTAGCAGTTAATTAACTCTCCACATAGATCCTATTGCGACTCAGATCACCTCCGCCGTCCTGGGGCCTCGACCGAAATGGACTTTTTGCTCTGCCAACGCCGCTATGCCTCCGCTTCCTGGGGGAACTTCCCAGCGCCAACCGGTACACTCAGACGCTGACTTCTTCCACCCTATACATCCGTTTGCTTTGGTTGTCAATGTCCCACTGGTGACCATGAGCCCGTCCAATGGGTCCACCGAGGTTTGGCCCGGCACGCATGTCGCAGATATATCTGCACAAGAGGGTGCGCACGGTGACCGGGCGAGTGGTCGTATCAAAGAGGATCATCTGGCCGAGCGTGCTGCCGTAGTCCCTCCCAGCCAGCCCATTGTAGAGAAAGGGTCGGTTGTGGTGAGAGATCTACGCCTCTGGCATGCCGGCATGCCCAACACGACTGATCAAACCCGCATCATGCTTGCGATGATCCACTTCGCCCCATGGTATCGCAACAGAATGAAGCTACAGTTCTGTGAAGATATTAAGCCAATCCTGGAGGGGCTAGATCGTGATGATAAACTGGGGTTGGCGGCCCCTGTAGACTGGATTAGCCGGGAAGAGGCCCTCGGAAGCTACCTCAATAGGGGTTTCGGAAATAGTTATGACTTTGATCAAGATCCATAGTGTAGTTCGGCTGGAAGCCACAAATCCGGATTACTAAATAGTGGTCTGAACCAACTCTAGTGCACGCTTCTTATGGCTTCACAAGCTGTTTTCTTTCATGGCGTTATGTTCGATTGAACTCTTGTGACTATTTCGAGACTACTAAACTCTAGAAGAAGCTTGGGCGGGTTGTGCCAGGTACACCTCATCCCCTTTCCAGTATTCACATTCGAACTCAAAAGACTGGATATCCTGATCGGACATGGACCCTGACCCGAATCCGCTTGGCCGTTGAATGATGCTAATTGTTTGCCGGCGCCGACTGCTTTCTTTCCGCCACGTTTCTGGCCCAGATCGCCGGGCATACACTTGACTGGGCGAGTCGAATACTGAAGGTACGAGGCGAGCGAGAATTGGTCGTATCGTAGGCAAAGACGCGGCGATGGTCCCGATGCATACTTCAAGAAATGTCCAGATCGCTGCATCAACATTGACCCAGGTGGAGTCATGCTGGTTTGATGCGCTGGCAAGGGTCTTGAACCTGTATCCAGCGATTGCGCAAGGGCTAATGAAATATCAGCAAATGTAAGCTGGGGCAATTAGAGTAACTTACATCAATGCTAGGCCAAAGACTCCTGCCAGGAAAAATTTTTGCTTCCTCGGCAGTTGCAACTGGTGTATTGCAGGAAGGGGTAGAACAAAGCATGCAATGTCTGTCGTCATGTTGACTACTGCGACAGTATACCATACAGCCAAATAGTCTAAGCACTTCCCCTCGGAAGAGGCATCCCAGAAGTGAGATACGGGAACACAGAGCAAAGGCATCAATATCATTAGTATAAAGGTCCATGCCAACAAAGCGAACAACAGTGAAATACAAATCCGGCGTAGCAATCCCTCTGGAAATATACGACGATATTGCAGAAGGATTGAGATTTTAGCGAGACATATTGCAATAGTGTAAATGATAGTCGATGCGTAGAAAGCCTGCATCATGGGTAAGCAGCGTATGGGAAGCTCGAAGGCTCATCGCTCACCTTCATATATGGCACGTAGTAATCGTCTGTGTACGCCGACTGGTGTTGCCCAAGGCCATATTGAACCTCTTCTCAGAAATTAGCTCTCCTCAGTTTATACCGGTCTGGGACTTTTTCTCACCTATTCCCATTGTAATGGACAATGCGACGACCAGAAACTGTTGTTATTAGCTACAAGTTTCTCATGCAACCATGTTAAGAGGTCAAGGGGTCTTACTATACAAAATGCCATGACAGCATCGTCCCGCCCAAAGGCACGCAGAAGGACCGCACGGGCGTACATTCTCATAAAAAATATTGCATTCGCAAACACACAACCGAGCGTCAGCACTGCGATCAGTGCTGGTGCTCGCGACTCTCCCTGGGGAGGTTCATCTTGAATGCTTGGGGCCATTGCGAGATTGCCGTGCGAACAAAACTTGAAAGAGGGCGGATGTCAGCCGTTCGACCATGTTCTTTATCAAGAGACGGCCTAGTCTCCTCTTGTCGCGCGAGCGTGCTGCGGGGGAACGACCGATTCATTGCAAGGTTTGCGAAGCGTTGACTGAGTTCGACCGGCCGTCTATTTCGACCCTTTCCTTTGGCTAGCCTTGCGGTCGAGGCCAGGAACAACTGGGCCTATCACATAAGGTTTTGCTGGCGTGGGGCTGAGATCACCATCCCGGGAAGGTTGTCACGGCATCGCACCGTTTTTGTATACTCCGGGGCATATTCCGCCCACTTCACGTAATGGGCTTCCTGCATATCACGAGACCGTGGCGTCCGAGTGCTTGGAGTCGGACCGTACGGTCACGCTAAATTGGCCCATGCTTGCATCGCTTCACCTTATAATAGCCTTGAGGCATATGCACATGTTTTCCTGTGTCACATTCGACCCAGATGCCTTCTAGAATAAGTCACTAACTCAATTGAAAGCTAGCAAAAGAATAAGGTGTCCCACATTCCGATTTTCAAAGCGGAAACGGCCGCAAAGCCAGCGGGAAGTCCCTAACACCGGTGGGCATCTGTCGTTTCGCAATTGGGTTGCTCCTCACTTTGACGAAAAGCTGATGGAACGCATGAACGAAATCTTTTTCTTGGTCAGACATGGTGTGCTTTTGGGAGACACATCACCGTCCTTCGCAGCTGTAATAAGATGTTGGTTTAAGCTCACACTGTGAGATGGTAGACACCAAGGCATGCTCGTATCACAGTCGTGGTGTATTTGATTCCTTGCTTGGAGGTGTCTAATTATTGTCATGTCAGTGGATAGATCGAGGACTACTAGTCACAGTGGACTCCATGTGCCTCTTTTCGTTTCACCTGTTCGCTGGTATCGATACCCAGGCGGCTAGGATCAGTGAAGTGCATTGAAGAGATCTCCCTACCAAACCTGATGATGGCTCAATCGGTATGAGAGAGATAGAGAGAAGGGGCGCCGGGGGCGTTGGAAAGAGTTACAATTCTATATATACCACGCTCTGAAATACGAGAGGGGCTAACAATTGTTTATACAGACAGAGAGAATTTCAATATTTACACAGAAGAACAAAGGCCGTCCATCCTCCCTCCTTGGCCGTCCACAGCTCAAACATCCTAGTTCCAGTGTGCGCGTCGTCGCACAGATCTCTTGCGGCATTTCGACCCTTCGGTTGCCGGCAAGGTCGAGTTTGAACCTTGGCCCGAGTTCCAGTTCGAGACTTGGTAAGCCGCGATCTTCTCGGCGGCGTGTTCAGCCACTATCATGATAATTGCCTGAGTGTTGCCAGTGGGAAGGTCCGGGTGTACGGACGCATCAACGACGAAAAGATTGTCGGTGCCATAAACCTTGGTATCCAAGTCTACAACACTTGTTCCGTTCTCCCGACCGTCATCAGTGCCCATCTTTGCGCTACCGACCCAGTGGTCACCGCTGATAAGCGACGTGGAAAGGATGTCGGAAGCAGTGGCACCGGCAGTTGTGTAACGTAAGGCGATCGAGTTGTTGTTTGCGATGGAGGAGTTACTTGCTGTCAAGTCCAACAATGATTGAATGAAGCCCGAGAAAGCTGTCCTGTCAGCATCGTCGATCAGCCACGGCTTAGTGTTCAGGACGGTACTGCCAGACGCCGAGATGCCCAGCTCGCCGCGGGATGAAGTGCCGTGGGTAAGGAAGGTCCTGATAGTCACGGTACTGTCCTTCATTGCACTGACGGTGCCCTGAAGGTAGCGGGTCCGACCATCCGTTCCATTAACAGAAGTCCACATGTGCATCCGCTGGGCTGCTTGGGTGATGGTACCAGATCCCTCCTCATAAAGAGTCAGATCATCCTCTTCAGGTGATGAGGAAAGACCAGCAAAGTCGTAAGCAGCGAAGGACGGCGACGAAGTAAACTGAAGGGGGATCTGCACATGGTCCTGCAGGTTGTGGCCGACGGGAAGATCGATCCAGTCCGCGGAGTCAGGCAACGTAATGCCAGATGTACCACTTTTAACAATGTTCAATGCGTCCGAACGGCCAATTCCAGAGTTCCAGAGAACCCGAGGGGTGGACAGGGCGCCAGCTGCCAAGACTACCTTGCCATTCTTATTCAGATTGATGATCTGAGGGTTACTACCATTCTCTGATTGTGTCAACACACCGGTGACGGTGCTTCCCGTACGCAGGACCTGTACAACCTTGGTCTCGAGCTTCAGTGTGAAGGTATCCAGCTGCTGCGCAAATGGCATGTAAGTGCGTGCGGGTCCAGCACGTAAATGGTTGGAGATAGACCAGGCTGGTCGCGAGAATACCATATGCTTCTCATCTGGGCTCTCAATCGAGTCCACCTCAGACCATCCTCGCCCACTCAAATAACCAGACATGGTAGTGAATGCAAGGTCGTTGTAGTACTTGCCATCCGCGGAAGGCTGTGTGGTACCTGGATTGCGAGTATAAAGACGGTCCGCAGCACCCTCGATATCCTGCCAAGACCAGCCAGCGGGCCATCGCTCAAAATCATGGGCTGGTGGATGGATAAAGTTCAAACCGTTGACGGAGCTAGAACCACCAAGAAGGCAACTACTCTGAGAGTCAGTGACACTACACATGCTTGTATACGTGGAGACTCACCCAGCAGTCGACGCTGTGTCCGAGCAGAACTTGGTACCAGAAACACTGGTCAAGCTGGAACCAAGAGCTGGCACGTCGTAGGCGGTCAAAGTATCATTCCATGGCAAGCTTTGGGTTGAACCGAGTGCGACAGTGTTTGCAGGGCCTCGTTCGATCAGAAGAACCTTCGCGCCAGACTCGGCGAGACGTTCAGCGGCAATAATTCCAGAGGTACCGCCACCCACTACGATAACATCGTAGGTGGTGTTAAGAGTTGTTGGGTTCGGAAGGGTACTGTTGGAACCATTGCCTCCCGGAGATGGAATTGTTGAATTGTTGCCGCCCGGAACAGGGGTTGTGGGTACTGCAGACGCGTATGAAGCCCAAGTGGCGTAGTCGCTAGACATGGCTGCTGTTAAGTTCGCGACATAGATGTTGGCACCAGTCGAGTGGTAAGTGAGGGCACTTGCCGGATCCGAGACCGTAGTAGGGTTAGTGCTTGCAACGGCGTAACCCAGGGCAGTGGTTTCGGAGGAGAAGCCGAAACTGTACGAGTCGCCGGTTGCACAGCCTTCACATAGGAAGGTATAGGAGAAATGGGTGCTGTTGACGAAAGTGCCGTTGGCGATCGGCAGCGCCTCAACTGTCGACTCGGAGTAAACATCGGGGTTGGAGTAGCTGGATGCCAGTCGGAAGCTTGATACGATTTCGTCACCATTAGCCCATGCTACAAGCAGAAGCTTTCCAGTCATGCCTGGGCCCATGGCGACAGCGCCCCAACCTCCATCAGCCGTGATAGGCACAACCATCTGACCAATGAAATCGGTCGTTGGGTTCTCAGGGAGGGCTATTCCGAAACTATAGCCTATGTCGGTATCCACATATTGCTGAAAATCAATCCCAGTGTTTCTATCTGTGTAAGCACTTGTAGTTGTGAATGCCGTCGTGGTGCCGGCGAGGGCGGCGAGGGCCAAGGACCCCAGAAGTTTGGAGGTCATTTTGCTAGTCCGTATACAAGCTAATGATTGACTGTAACGAAAAATCGAGATGTAATGAGTGCTTGAAAAGATTGATTGATAGCCTCCAAGGCCAATTGGTGAGAAATGAAAGACAAAACCGAACTAGCGGCGATACTGAAAAGAATGAACACAACTGAATTGTTTGGAAGCACGAAGCGACTCCCAGGTTGGCTTCGCCATGTCCCTTATGTATATCTACGAATGCCAGCCAAAGGAACAGATGCACGTCATTCCTCTTCTTCGGGGACTCCTGAGCGGAGCCTCAAATGCATGCATACTCGTCTCGGTAACGCAGCCGATTGTGCGGAAAAACAGCCTTGGCATGAAACCTATACGTATTTTACCGGCTACGAAAGAAATGAAGAGTCCACCAGGATATTAGACCGGCTGAGCGGCTCTGAATAGTAGCAATTTAGAACGTGGAGCGACCTGCAGATTTGGGCGGCTCGCGTTATCCAAGATTCCCAGGTAAATACCCAAGCCAAACGTTGTTTGCGAATCCTCAATCGGTGATTGGCCAGCCCAGATGGCTCTGTTTCATCCAAAGGTTGCTAGGCTTCTTGAAACCCTGTCACGGATCCACTCAGTCGGTGTTCGGATGAGATTTGAGCTCTGTGGGATTGGTTGACCTAATATAATCCATACAAACCCCTGACCCTCGCTTGCTATCCGGCAGCTAGGCGTATCAGCCGCATCTGTCGCTCCTTCGCGATGGTATATGCTTATGATAGTCATTCTCACGAGCATGTACAAACCCATTTTGCCAATCGCGCACGCCAAGGCCACTTCTTCTGGAGGACAGAAACACGTAGTGGAGCCTGTAGCAGCACCAATGATCGTGCATTCCATGGGTTCGATGCTCTGAATCCTGATCGCTTCCTCAAGTATCTAGTCAGCTTGCCACTTCTGGGAGGAATCCTCCCGTTCTGTTCTGCCTTATACCTAGCTTGAGTTTGGAGACGCTAATTCTGGGGTTGGGCCTCACTAAGAACGCCAAGAGATCGTGCTTGACGCTTGATTTATCCTTCAAATGCGCCGGACATTGTTGCCAAATATAACAGCCAGAAGCATAGGTTTAGCAAGCAGAATTGCTGCCCGATGATACAATTTTTTCTCTTAGAGTTTGAACTAATATCTTGCAATATCTCTTCCTGCTATCCATACGAACAACCAGCTGATCGAGATCATGATCTTCCTTCGCCAGCTTCTAGTCCACCCAAGTGTTCCTGATCGCCATGCCAGCCATGCGCTGACACCTGTCCAATCTTCCTTCCCGCCGATGATTCCGTCGTGTCGGCCAAGATAGGCCAAGAGAGCACGTTGCTTATATGCAAACGGCTTGGTATCAACGCCTCCGTCCTGATTTAGCGCATCTGACAGATATTCTCCTTTTTGCAGTGCCACTTCGGCAAGTGTAGGGAGAGATTGGCCATCAATATCGGCCGCGTCACCCAGCGCGTATACGTTCTCCATCGAGCTACCATCCCGTCTCAGCACACGTAGGTACTTGTCAGTAAGGATGCGCGGTAATCCTTTCTCCGGTTTCTTCACCTCCAACTACTCAACCAACGAGCTGGCTTTGTTACCAGTAGCCCAAAGTAAAAGCCCATAAGGAATTCGGCCCTCTTCTTTGGTGTTAATTGCGCCAGGCTCCACACTCTGAATGTGTGAGCTGGTTTTCAAGTCCACATGTTTCCCTTTCAGCGACTGCGTGGCGTACTCGCCAAGTCTGGAGTCGAACGTAGATAGGATTTGGGGCGCAACATCATGAATGGTAATGCTGAACTTCCCATCTAGGTGTGGGAACAAGAAGCGCAAGTCTTCATTCCACAGGTCGAATATTTCCGCGGCTGCTTCAATTCCGATGGCCCCTCCGCCGACAATCCGTATGCTCAGAATGTCACGCTGTTCCGCCTCGCTCACGTTGGGCAGTGAAGCTTTATCCAGTATTTCCAAAATGCGCTGCTGAATCAATCTTGCATCATTCGTAGTGCGTAGAAACAGTGCATGCTCCTCAGCGCCTGGGGTTCCGAAGTCCTGAATGTCGCACCCCGGTGCAATGCAAATTTTATCGTATTTCACCTCAAAGAGTTGCGGCTCGTCGCCGCCAACCTGTGTTGCAGACTTGCACTGAATCAATCGTTTGTCGAAATCAATGGCCTCGGCCACGGCCTTGTAGTACTTCACATCTGTTCTGTGCTTGCGCCTGACGGGTTCTTCGGCAAGCCGAAAATTGAATAGTCCGCAAGCTGCACTGGCCAGGAGCGGTGTGTACTGTATAGTTCGAACAGGGGAGATCACCGTCACATCGAACTTGGCAAGTGATAGCCTCTGTGACAGGATGAATCCTGCCCACCCCGAGCCAATAATCGCAACAGAGGGTTTCGACATTTTGCCAGGGTATTTTGTAAGATTTCAATCATCATACATCCATTTCAAATACCATTAATCTACTTTATATAGCAAGTCGATACAATATGTTTCTCTTGTGAAATACGCATCGAAGACGTCATTGTCCATGCGATGTCCGGGCTGCCGCGTCGTCCACTCTGCGCAAGAACCCCTGTTGACTCCATGCATGCATAGTGGGGGGGCGGATTGCAACGCTGGCTTACTGGCAGTATGACGCTGAACCTCCCGAACAGTGACGACCAGGTGGACGTTCTTGGGACAATGGATACTATAATATGAATAATCATTAGATAAGATCAAGATCCACGATGTGTTACAGCTCATCATGGATCTTTCTTCTCTCTCCTCTTTCTTCTCTCGCTATCTTGTATTTTAGCGGCGAAATGGGGTAGCCTCGGAGAAGGCTCGGGGTTTGCTGGGTTAGGAATTGCCTGAAATGTATCTCATTGCCCGTCGAAACTTATTGCAGGTATGCAAAGTCTTCATGCAAGATTTTGAGCGAACATTATCGTAGCTTAAACCTTTCGGCTACTAGAGAGTTGGCGCAGTAGCAAGTAGTTTGGACCAAGTTCGGCAGATATATCAATGCTCTCTATGTACTAGCGCTAGAAGTATGTAGTCTCCGGGTATCGTTATAAGGTGCGTAGGTGGACCTCAATATCATTATGAATGTACCTAGCCCCTCACCTCTATTCCATGCTCTCATCATCGGAGCTCCTCGGCCTCCGTAGATTAACCTTGCTTGATTGGACACATGATGATTCCAATCACGACGGCAGTTGGGGTGATTCAATCACGTCTGCAGTTAGTACCCGACCATCACTGAGGCTTTTCATTGAGTACTCCCCATCTGACACCTTGAGGCCCTTTTGGGTCTGAGGGTCCAGCAGGGATCCACAGCAGATGATCGGATTGAAGACGTTCAGCACGAGAACGGCAACTGATATCAGGCCGCCCTCAAACGCAATGAACAAGTCTTCGCGAGCCATGATAGGGCCAGTCCAGCCTTCTGACAACTCGGCAACACGGTAAACGCACCGTATGAATACACAGGTTGTGGACAAGGCAAGTGCAGCCAGGAAGCCACGGAACATAACAGACCGCCGGATGTTGACTACGGCTGGGTCGTCGTTAAGCGCCGTGGACCCATTAACCTTGAAATTGCGGAATGTTGAAATACTGAAGTCAACGCAAAGTCCAATAAATACCAACAACGTGACGACCTGAAAGACAAGGCCAGCAATCATGATGTCAGTGCCATTGTCGGTAGTGGCTTTATCATCACCTGCAGCGGCCAGGCCACCACCCGTACCCTGCAAGATGAGAGAGACCACGTCACAGGGGATGAACTGTGATAGAGATGTTATCATTATGCCCAACGCTGATGGATTTGGATTCGTCTCGCACTTTACTTACTATTCGAGTGTACCACCGCGAGGGAATGCGAGAGTTATGGTGGCCAAATGCAGCGATGATGGGCCGCAGCGAGACGTAGATGCCAGCTGAGATGAATGCAGGTGCGATGGTGAGGCAGCAGATTTGAATCATGAAGCCAGTGCTCTCCCATGGGTCATTGTAACTCATGACCCGGCCAATGTACCCGACAATCTCCGCTGCCAACCCCAACAAGAGCGCAATAGTAAAGAACAGGCCCCGAGACCGGCGAGTGAAGACTTTAGTTAATGCGAAACCTATGAATGACGCTGCAAATATGGCTGGCAGTGCAACGTTCGCGGCTAACGACGGTCGATATTCATAGTAAGACGTTTCGATAGGGCAGGTTTCGATCGTGCAACTCTTGGCATCGAAGGTGGCTTCGGTGCTATTGTCCGCCATGTTGTCGACTCTATGTTTCAGTCTCTCGGAAGCAAATATGAAGAATGGTGGCTAATATTTCTTGACGAAACAGTAAAGAACTGTGGTGGCTTTTCGATCTATGATGATCTTAAATGATTAGATTAGTATAATGGACAGAATTTGGATCGAAAGGGGTTTTCTGTTGATCTCTTATACCTCTCAGCACGATGTTGACCAGTGAATTAAGCTTGAGCCACGTGGGGCTGGGCTGGCCTGAGCCAGCCGCTCCCGCATAGCGTACGCCCCGAGGGACCCGAGTCCGAGCAACCAGTCTGGTGGGTAATCAAAGTAACGTGCGCAATAGTCCGGCAACATATGAAGCAGATACGTGCTTTCATGTGGGCCCCCTAAAAGCTTGGAAGCCTGCTTGAAAGGCTGTGCTGCTGTTGTGGTATGGCTGAACGCGTCTGGAATCTTGGCCCAGAGATTTAAGCTTAGCGGATGCATGATTCACGAGGGTACAATGGTCCCATTCCAATGTCATCCTCGTCGCACGGGACCGGACTCGGGGATTATCTCACGGCGGCGACGAAAATCTCCTCGGCGAAAGGAATGAAAGGCTTGCGAGGAGCCCGTCCTAGATGAGGCGGAGCAGCGCTGGAGGATCGGTCGACGCGGCTGCGGAAAGTGGATCCTGCCCGCGGACGCCGAGTGATTGCGATCCGGGGCAACGCTGACGACAACCGCAATAGGGTTGCTTCGATTCGAGGCTATAAGAACCACACACATAAGGTGTCTGAGAGACTCTCCTTGCAGACATTAGCGGTTGGACTGTATCAAGCTAATCGATGCGCGGTTCTTGGGTTTTCAGAGTTATCGCATTGCGGATACCGGGCGAAAGAGGACAACAAAAGTTCACCTAGTACCGAGTGTTCATTATCGCATCCAAGCATTCATTGGGAATCGCAAAACGGCATTCCTTTTAGACTGGTGTGACATAGTCGGTGGCCGGCGCCGTCCCCGGGTGAACACAAGATAAGCAACCTCTTTGATCCGTCAGTGTTCACGTTGCGTGCTTATACTGTTCATCATCGCCAATTCGCCTGAGCCTCGGGGGAAAGTCCAGCCACGTAATCAAGACTGATGAACTGTGTTACGCGCGTCGAGAGAAAACGGCAAATTCTCTCCGGTCTGTCCGAGGAAGTATCCACTCTGAGTTCGCGTAAGATGGCATAATTATAAGGCATCAAGCGGATCTGATATAGACGAGATGAATGAGATTACCTGGAGCTGACTCGACTTTGACATGAAATTACCTGAGCGTTATATCCTGCTGTACATTTGCACCAAGCTCGTTATAGAAGAATATCTCTACCATCAAGTCTTCCCACCACAGAATTCTCTACATTCTGAGTATAGTAAAACCTGGCAGGCAACGACTATGGAGGTGGGTTCTCTGAGACACTTTAGATCTTAACGGTCTAGTGATAAACAATTAAAATGTTATTGCAGAGCCACTTTTGTAAGCCTGCGCAACATACGCAGAAACTGAGCTCAGAACTAACTTGGCTCAGTAATTGAGCTTTTGAATCTTGGGCACATCTTGAAACCCAGGCTGACTCTCTATAGACTCTATCTTCGTGGCGTTTGCGATATCTTCATTTCACAGACCACATCAATCCACGCTTTCCAAATAAATTTCTGGTCGTCAGCTCATCACGTGCCACAGACGAAAAAGCTAATTTCTGAGCTCCATTATAGATATTGAACAATATTGTACCGAACGCTATTCACTAAATAATTCTATGTAGCTAATATCTATGTGGGCCTTCTTAATGCGACAAATGGAGTAGAAAGTCTATGATCCAGTCTCCCTAAATACTACCAAGGCGGGACGAAAGCAAGAAGACGAAGGGAAGAGGGGAGAGAAACTCTTATCTACTGCATCCTTTTTCGAGAGGCGATAATAGAGATAAGAGCGCGTGCTTTCGATGTTGGTTCAGTTGATGCTCCAATCGCCGTTGGCTCTCAGATCAACAGTGCGACCCTGCTTTTCTCTCTCAACTTCTCCTTCCAAAGTCCATTGCTCTGGTACATGCCCCGGGGGCAGATTGGTGTTCTCGAAAGTCGATTTCCCTTCAAGATGCTCCTTTGCCTTCTGGTAATTGGCCGTAGCATATGCGTCCGCACGATGAGACCAGAGCCACTTCCCCTGCGTCATGTTCTTCGGAGCGCGTTTGATGCTCTCGAGGTCCTCACTGTGGAGCAGGCTGCGAACTACTATTCCAAGCCGCTGTAGCAAGGTCACGCGTTGCATTCTGTGATGATCAGTCTACAAGTCCTGAAGAACAGGGTAGAGCGGTGCTCATATTATCAGCGGATAGCACATACCTAAGAAGCTCATGCACCTTAGTCCCGGAGGGAATGTCGTTCTTGCCGCCAAGTCGTAGACACTCGGCCAAGGAGAGAGAATCTTCGAGTGCCATCGTGGCTCCGCTTCCTGATGTAGGAATGAAACTGTGAGCACTATCGCCAACTTGGACGACATGGCCACCCTGAGACGTCCACTTTGCCTGCGGGTTGCGCATGCACAGTTTCCACTCAATTACTCCCCTCTCCGGCAGATGGTTAAGGAGGTCTAATACCAATGGGTCCAACTTGTCTCCATCGGGGATGGATTGGAGGAGTTGCTCAACCGGAACGGTGGATGACCAAGACTCCATCGGGGATGGATTGGAGGAGTTGCTCAACCGGAACGGTGGATGACCAAGACTCCATCGCGGTTCCGCGTTGGTTCTTTGGGGAGACGTTAGTAAGCCATTCAGCACAGCGAGAAGTTGAGGTTGAGAGAGCGCAGAAGAGCAAGGGTATATCGAGTGCATATCATCCAAATTTCAATCTGAAAAAATGCTTCGGAAAACTTACATCAGGCAAGGTTATCGCAAATGCAACTCCGCGTTGGTACATAGTGAGGACAATGTGGATGTTGTGCCCGGTGGACAATCGAATTTCCGGTCGCGGATTCTGTTGCAGATACTCCTTCAGGACAGTAGCGTTCTCAAGGTCCTTGGTAGAAACCGATCCGCGATAAATCACGTATCCCGTGCTGACTGCTCGAACATTTTCGCCGATGGTGAGGCGGAGCGACCTGGAGCCCAGGCCATCCGCAGCGACGACAACATCTGCCTCGTACCGTCGACCATCGGCGCCGACGGCAACTCCTTTACCGGCACTGACGTCCTCGTCAAAGTCGACGATGTGGGTGTTCCAGGAGATGCGGATCCCTAGTCTTGCACACTGGTTCAAGAGGAGGTCGGCCATCTCCGCTCGGGACATCAAGGCACCGATACGGACGGGGAACGCCGCATGCTCGGCGGCCTCATCCATGTTGAACTCGAACTCAACGCCAGGAATGGCTTGTCGGCCATCAAGATGGTGAAACGCTCTGGGCGCGTCGATTGACACCTCCAAGTACTCTTGCAGCATCGTGGGATAGTAGTGCATGGTAGCCCAGGCAGAGGGGTTGATAGCGACCACATCACCTATAGATGATTACCAAATGAGACCTCATGTTTCGCACACTAATGCGGCTAGAACTTAGCCAGAGTGTTACGTACCAATTGTCGAGATACGCTCTGCTCGTTCCAGGACAGTGACATTATGCCCTTTCCTCCAGCACTCGAGCGCCGTCATGAGCCCGCCTGGGCCAGCTCCAACAATCAAGACATCAAGGCCTGATGCTGGGTAACGCACCACATTATCGATGATAGTGGTGCGAGGTGCAATCTTCGACGCGGTTGCCATTTTCGCTGGCTGTTTGCTTTTTCACTGTAGTTGGTGAAGGGTTTTTGGTGTTTGGCTTCCTAGATGCCAATCCAATCGCCGGCTTACTGTGCCCTTTAAATATGATAAAAGAATAAACAGCATCCTGTCGGCATTCCATTCGGTTCCTTTTCGGGGCCCGTCTACATCCCCGGCCATCCGACATTAGAAGTGCTTCCGGGCCTCATCGCTGGGTCGCATAAGAGTGCGCTGATCACCACAACTGGGCACTGGAGAGACCGAGGACCCACAACTTTGTTGAGGTTTCAACAGGGCGGATACCTTCAGTGTGTTGTTGCCCCTTGGACTTTCGTGGAAGCTCTGACTGATAGGGCGACAGGGGGACTTTAAGGAGCAAGACTGGCTGTGCACTGCTAGATATCCACGCATGAAGTCTTATTTAACACGGAGACAAGAAGCTACTGGCGGTAGTAGACCGAATTATGGGCCGAGCTGCGTGGGCACGCACTCCACAGCTCCGATCTCTAGTGCTAACAACACTGCGATCATCCGCTTAGTCAGCGGACAGTCCCCCTATATGGGTGCCTCACTTATGTCCAAGTTACTTCACCCGGGCCGGGAAGGATGGACAGACATAGGTAGTTGCCGTCTAGGCGGCCAACGGCGCTTACTCAGCGCCGACTGAGTATTTATCATGCGTGTGCATTAAACTTCCACATCTGGTTCTTGATTTCTACTCCCCAGCGTCTCGGGGCTTAGGACTAAAACATGTCAACAAACTTATCACGACCAGTAAGGTAGTGATGTGGATACCGAGGACTCCGGGCCACATGCTTACGAAGGGGTAACGTAGCAGTGCAGGCAATTTTGCGGTTAATAGATACAGGTCGGGGGATCTATTAAGATGCGCTGAGGAGTGCCAGTACAGTAGAGAGTAGTAACAATGCCGAGCCTCTTTCAAGAGACAAGTTCCTAGCGATTGGCCTGATCTTGAAAAGAAAGCAGTGTACCAGTGCTGCGAACATTTGGGATACGAATGCAGGATGTATAGAAGATGGAGATTGCAGCTCTTCTTAACTGCTCACAAGGTGTATAGTAACACAGTTTCTACTGGTCTTATTACGTGTCTTCTGACTATCATATCTGTCCTTATCAAACTGGCGATATTAAAACGCACCTGGCAGTAACCCCCCTGTTATCGTTTGAGTAGACTTTTATTCAATGATATGCCATGTAGGGCTTAGTAAGGTATAGAGAGCTGGGTGGCGTTGTCGCGCTCATGTGGCTGGGTGATCTTATAAGACTGTGGCTTGCAGTACATCTATAGGCCTGTCCGTCTCACCTGGCCTGATTTGAGTTCACAGGGGTGGGGCACCTATTGACCTCAATCCTTGTGGCCAAGTCTTTGACTATCTACATACCCCACGATTATTACGGGAATTGAAGCCCATCTCCTATATTCCCATGGCATTCATTTAATCTTACTGGCGCATTGCGCAAGGAGGATGCCATTTATTAACTTTCCAATTCCCTGCTGAAAAGTTGAAATGTACAAACTGTGCGTCATGCGTCGATAGCGGCGAGGGCAATTACATTGGCTGAATTGCAATTGTAGGGCTACACTCAAGGAGTTAAGCCTGGGTTGTATCTTAGATGCCTTAAATATCTCTCTCAGATGCGTGGAGGTAGCAATGTTCCAACAAGCGAGGTTGATTTTACCCTCTCATCACGCCTAAATGACTGGCCCGAGCCTGGTTCTGGTCAGGCCAGTATCCTCTTCCGATGTTACATCTCAACGGCTTTGGAGGTACGAGGTCGCATCCCCAACTCCTATGCCTTGAAGAACTTTACGAGCCCCCGACTACTTTATCTTTGAACCGAATCAACAGCCTGTGCATCATGGTAACGTCCTTAGTATTGGAGTGTACGTGCAAGAAAAGAATGCCATAGGTGATCATTATTCGCGCCTCCCTATGTTGCTGTGCGTATAATAACCAGGCTCCATCGACAGGACCCCGGAGCCTGCATCTGATGAATTGTTTGGCTGCATGGTAGCGACGTACAGGTGAAGCCGGTGAGACGCGTACTTGATCCGCCGGGTCAAGGACGAACGAGCGAACCATCATCGTAATCAATGATATTTAATGCCCGTTTGCGAGAAATGGCTATATTTGAATCTAGGTGACCACTCCCTCCCACCCTCCCCCGGGGGAAATTCGTGCATGGGGTTGTCGTCCTTTACGTAGATATCCTGCGCCACGGAGAAGGCCATCAAGTGCAGCGGCAGTCGTAGTACCGAGGATCATGAATAAAAACGAAGGGAGCAGTAGAGAGAAAAAACTGAGGGCAAGCTATGCAAACCTGTTCACCTTCCGAGGCCTATATGCTCTACCGGGGTCGGCAATGCAGGCCGAGCCATGTACCTGCCACTTATTAGGTCGGCGTGTTAGATCGTTTGGTATACAAACGCAACTCTGTCAGAGACATAGTCAAACCAGCCTCTCTTGCTTCTCGACATGCCATGGCCGTTTTCAGGTGGCTTTTACTTGACTAGGCTGGTGCGCAACCTCTGCCGAATCAACAGGCAGTGGGCAGACCGGAATCCCACAGCTGGCGCTATGGAGTCACCAAGGCTAGGCGAGGATCAGAGTCCAAATCCATCATGTCAATGGATGACCTGATCAGGGCAAAGTTCCTGGAACGTCTTCTTGCTCTGAATGATGACAAGGACTGCAATCAAGGCGCGAGCAGGGTATATGTACGGACCTCGTCGTTACTATTCGTGATGAGCAGAGAGTTGCGCGTTTGCCAGTCGTGCCCAACTACCATGGTGTTAATTAGAGCTTCAAAGGCAGTTTGTTACCCGATATTCTCGGTACTTTGCTTAGTGAGATGTTAGAACCTATATAACATGTGCATCGCCAGGGTCTGTTGTGATATGAACGAGTGGCCATGTACAAGTAATGACGCCATTGTGGAAGCGTATGAGGCATGATAGATCAGCCCGTCTGCCAGCTGACCATGAAATCTATGGGATATTTCTGCCAACTTGAGATATGGATACTCCGATGCTTCGGAAGGTTCACGGTTATAGCCTTTGGGGCGAGGAAACACGACACAAGACGACCACATCTAGCGTCTTGGATCAGCCGCAGGTTTGCAACGCCAGAACATCACAGCAGATCACGGCACAGCAGAGCAGCAGTATTTGGTGGGCTCGAAGCCACAATGATATGGATTGACGATCTGACAAGCACGGCTACAAAGCAGAAGCCCATGTCTCTCTAAAAGCCCTGGCGCGCAAAGGCGACAACATGAAGAGAACCAGATAAGTGTCGGAAGACGGCAGCTTGCTGCGTGTGCGTGCATGCGTGAACCGAGCGGGGAGCGTCCCACGTCGTCCATGTGTTTGCTGACCATTCCTGCCAACCTGCCCATGTGTCGTATCCATAAAAGCGCAATTCATCGCGGATTTGTCATCATCAAAGTGAGCATCGAATCGTCCAGAAGCCGAACCGTAAAACGCCGAGAGGGTATGAAGACGAGAAGTGCGGGGAACCGGAAGGACGGCCCTTTAGGCAGACTCGCCGCCAAAGGTGTTCTCACCGGAGTAGGTGATGTAGAGGAAGCTGTGGGAGTCAAAGAGTGTCAGCCGACTCGGACGGAGCGGGAGGGGGACATGCGAGAGGAGCTTACCCATCCTCGTCCTTGTGCTCCTCGTAGATGCTGCTCATGAGAGCGGCGGTCGGCGGCAGGACCTCATCGACGAAGATGAAGATGGCCTTCTCGGGGGACAGCTTGATGCGCTTGCGGATCACGTAGACGAACTGGCCGACGGTGAGGTCTGCGGGGACGAGGTACTTCTTCTTGTCGATAGTAGCGATATCGGACTTCTCGACCTTTTCGCAGATGACCTATAGAGAGAGAGCACCGGTTAGCACATGCTGTCGCCGTCGCCGTCGTCGTCGCCAGTTGCTTGGGGGGGATCCGGAGGCTGCGATGGCGGAATGGCGGGGATGGCCCCGATAAGCGATAACCAGGCAGGCAGCGGTGAGGTGAGGATGGAGTTGAAGGCCTTCGCTCGGCAGCAGTCGTCGCGACGATGCGAAACAGGAAAAAGAGAAAGACTTACGGGGATGCGGTCGGCGTACTTCTGGCGGATACGCTCGGCCTCAGCCTTGCGCTTCTCGAAGGGGTGCTCGTCCTTGAACTTGGAGCGCATCTTGGCGATGGGCGGATGACGTTGGCTGGCGGATGGACGGATAGGTGCGATGGACTGATAAGGGTGCAGATGGCCGACGATGGAGTTTCTTGTTCCCCGTCAGCGACGATAGCTTGTGTTTGATGCTGTTCGCGATGCGCCGCGGGTGATGTAGGATGGGTGTGTGTGGGTGTGGAAGGAAAGACGAATGAATGGAAGTGGGAGGAGTGGAAGAGAGGTCAAAGGAGGATGGATGGTTGGATGGTGGTTTGTATGAGTGACTGACTGACTGACTGACTGACTGGCCGATCGACCGACCTGGTTGAATGCCTGCTTGTTTCGGCGGCGTTCAGTGGCGGAGGGCGGAGGGGCTTGGGGGGGGTGGAGGGGGGAGGAAGGCCAGCTGGTGCTGGAGCTGATGACTTACCCGTGCTGAAGCTTGGGGGACGGGGACGGGGGACGGGGGACGGGGGACTGACGTGGGGTCAAGGTTGCCTGGTGAAGGCGCTGGACAGGCTGGACAGGCTGGACAGGAGGTTGGACAGTGAGTGACCTCTCAGCTCTCAGGTGCCTAACGCAGGCTTGGCCAGGGTGTCTCCGGTGTGGGTTCCAGTTGAGTGAAGGGCAGTCACAGTGGAGGCGTCCCGAGGCATCTGGTCGCTACCTGGACCTGGGCGTTCTGGCGAGTTAGTTACAGGCAGGAACAAGACAAGGAGACCGTGAGGCACAAAGGGAAAAGGCGGGGCGAGCCAAATGCCTGGCAAATGACTGGATAACGTGATCGCCCTCGCTGCCGCATTCAGTCTAGTGCTTCCCCCCCCCGTTGCTTTGTGTGGAGGGTCTGGGTCAAGGGGTCGGTCACTCGCCAAGAGAGACCTGACTTCAGTCACGCCGTCACGGTGTCACGCTTTCATACTTTCACGCTTTGGATGGACCTTGATGAACAAAGGACCTCTCTGGCACTCTGGTGGGCGGCAGCTGTCAGCGACTCACCGGCCACCCCAACGCACTCCATTCATGATTCTTTCGTGGTTTCTCTCGTTCACTGATTCAGCTGCTGTGCTACGACATGGACCCCATCTTGGGGTCACCCGTTATCGTCGCTCCTGTTACCGTTACCGTTACCGTTACCGTTACCGTTACCTCTTTCGTCATCGTCACCCCGAGGCAGTTGCTGTGCTGGACTGCGACAGTTATTAGTTAACTAACTCACTCAGTACGATACGAAGGTTAATGAAATGGCCCACGCGTCTCCCAGCCTAGGGTCCCATTCGCCGGCCAACGCTGAAGCGTCCAACACCTTCGGCCAATCAGAGCAATATCACTCACTGCCAATATCAGCCTACGTATCTGGCGTACATCCTGCCTTCCAAACGACTCTCTACTGGAACATCTCGACGTCGTGTCGGGCTTTCAAAGTCAACTCCCCAACAGTGTTAGATCCGTAGCCTTCGTTCCATCGCCTACGAGTCTGTTCTATAGGATCCCATCTCACCAAAGCTGATAAGAGGAAGGGTACACGCTTCCCCCAGCAACCACAGAAGCTTCCTTATCATACAGGCTCAATCTTTGTGCCCAGCTTCGTTCCTCTTGCGATTTCTGCCGGCGCCATTCTCACGCCAAGAAGGCATGTAGCATGCCGTGTTTCGAGTAGCTCCGCCGCCAGCCTCTCGCGTTGGCTGTTCTGTTCCGGTTTTGTAGCCCAAAGGGAGCCTGCTTGCCTATGCGGCCGTCCTGCATGAACACGTGCTCCTTAGTGATTGCTCGAGATACCAGGCTGAGCACGCCGAACTGCGCATTCTGCAAGAATGGCCACGCTCCCGGTCATACCAGTCATAAAAGCGCCAAAGTTGCTCTGCGCCTCCTCTCGTCCTTGTAGATGTTGGCCTTCGATACTGATCGGATCTCGGCAGCAGCCGTCACAATACAATCATGAACGAATTCAGCGCCTCCTTTTTCTCTGCCAAGAATGAGAATACGCTGGCCTTGGCCAACGTCAACATTGATTTTGCCCTGGTCAAGGTAGAGGTCCCCAAACAGTTTAAGGGGCTGGAAAAGGCTTTAACAAAGGCCCGCCGCGAGAACGCCGAGCATGGGAAGCAGCACAGAACAGCAAGAAGACTGGGCGCTCTCTTTGAGCAGATCATTCCAGACATAGATGTTCTCTCAGAGGCCTACGGGCAGCGCGTATCCGAAATCGCGACCTCGCCCAAATTTGCTCTAAGGGTTCGTCTCATCACTGCAGCAAGAAGATGTTCCCACACTCAGTTCTACTGTGCGCCGGGGCGTGACACTGACGCTATCGGCAGTCAGCAGACTATGGACCCTTTGCATCGCATGTTGGGGTAGATGGCACCTCCATCTATGCAGCTGCTTCGTCGAGCAAGGGTGGAATTGCCCTTCACTTGCTCGCATGCATGCTAGCCCGCATGTTCTCGAGTGCAGAGGCCACGGCAATTTGGGTGCAACTCGTGGAGAGCCGCATCAAAGAGCTCCAGGAGACTTCCGATACCGCCCAGCTCTCGGGAATGGCGGCAATGTATGCTGTCGAGCAGGGGCTGCAGATCATGCGAGACGACCTGGCGAACTGGGACGCCAGTGCCAGAGCATGGCTCGAGGCGGCAAACCAGGTGAAGCGGAAAGAGGATACACAGCTCAAGTTGGTCATCAAGAATATTCCCTCCATCAACAGCTCAGGTACCACATACATGAGCATCACAGGTAGCTGGGTGATAGCCATGAAGACGATCCAGAATGCAATAAACGGAGTTCCTCAGAACATCACAAATGGGGCCGTCTTCTTGGCTATGCGCTGCTGGCACCTCTACCCGAACCTCCAAGTCTTCGCCCCTATTCGCTCTATCGAGTTCCACGACCCCATATTCGCGAATGGAGGGACCATTACCCTGGGCCTGGAGACCAAAGAACAAGATGAGACCGGTGTCAGCTGGTCAGTCTCGTTGTCGCACTTACGCTTCTACGGGAATCCGGTGACCGTGCACAAGTCTTTGGGAGTTGACAGTGATCGGTTAACTATCCCAGAGCTATACCTGGTAAGTTTGGGCTGTGTTATTTCCAACTGGACGATCCCATCAATGGCCAACATCATGGAGACTGCGGACTGTTTTGTGGCCCTGGGTGAGGCATTGGGTTTTGATGATGAGTTGGAAGGGTCCTACGATGCCGACTTGGGGTGGTTCGGTCCATTGCTCCAGGGTGCCAGAAGTTTACTGTATTGCGAAGAAGAGGATCGGTCAAACGCGATATACCTCGTCGAGTATGGACGACGGCGAGGACGGAACTTCCTAGGAGACGAGCTGCGCGGGTCAACGCCAATGTTTGGATTAACAAGCCCGAGTGAGCTCTTCAAGATTTCCGATCTGATAACCAGGAGCCAACACGACCTCGAGGCATGTATTCGCATATTTCGAGAGTTAGTTGAGGATTGTGGCTTTCACGAGAATGACTGTGTTATTGTAAGTCGCCCTCCCGCCATGAGCGAGACAGCTGGTCATTCCGAGGCTACCGCCTTCGAAGGCACCTGGGAGCTTGTCTCGGCACGTGAAGTGCCACGACCCAGTACCAAACGTTCTCTCGACGGAACCACAATAGCTGCAAAACGGTTTGTCCGGTGGGTTCATATCGACCGAACGAGAGACCCGGCCGTGCAAAAGTATGTTTGCCGGAAGAACGCAGACATCTTTGCCGAGACCTCCCGTGTGATTGGCGGCCTGGACTTCATGTCTATCGATACCAGCAGTGGGTGCTCATGCAAGTATTCTGGTCATGGCGATTACTGCGGTTCGAAATGCCCTTGCAGTATCAATGGTCTCTGGTGTACCTCCCTATCGGTTGTCAGTCTGCCTTCTACGCCGAGTTCTACCCTGCGGAAAGCAAGCTCTATCCGGTTCTCGACAGGACAGCAAGGTGCGAAAATCTCAGACCATGTCGGACGGGCTCTGGAAATCCTAAGGAAGATTGTCTATGGCTGTCAAATAAGGCCACCCTGGACATAGATGAAGCCTATGCTCTGACCCAGGAATTCAAATGGCGTGATCCTCCACTTGCATTCACCAAGTATTTCGAACCAAACGAGTCTCGCAGCAATGACCCGTACAAGGCGAATGCAGCAGAGGAAGGCGTCGCATTCTTCCCTTGGCAGGTTGGTGATAATGTCGGTCTATTTATCAAAAAGAGCTTCTCGGGTGGGATCCCGGGGACGATAAGTCTAGAAAGACTTACAAATAGGCTACGGTCTGGAACCGTTAACCAGAACCTACTGCGAAAGTTTCTCACCAACACCCGTTCAGTTGGGGTCGCTGACTTCTCATCATCTCTCAACGGGAGTGGTACGGAAGCTAGCGTATTCTTCACTTCTCTCAAGGCGATCGCTGCCATACGAGAGCTCTACTCGTCTTGGACGGAGGCAACACTGTCCATCAGTATAACGAAGAAGCCCATCGGAATGGCATACTGGGCTGCCGATCTGGCCAAGACGTATCCTCATGCCTGGCCATCCCAGAGTTCCCACAGGGAGTTCAATCGGTCAAGGAAGTTTGCTTGCCTCGTGATGGCAGAGTCTGGAGTGCATAACCTCCACCCAGATCAACTGGACTGGGTTGTTGCACTAGCAACCGCCAACACCATCTATGCCGCAGAGTATCTTCTCCAAGATCCCTATCATCACGACCGATCCGGAAATGCCAGCTTTGAGGGCATTCGTCGCTTTCTGGGCAGTGTCGGCCAAGCTGGAATCGTACTGATAGTACCGCCGCCTTCCCCTCTAATTCTTAACTTGGACTCTAGCAAAAACAGATTTGTGCGGGCTGACACGTTCAGCAGACAGCTCGTGGACAAGTTCGAGCAAACATCACTTCACCTCCGCTTCTCGGAACTGAAGTTCCCCATTGCCATCGGCCAGGGCGCTATTGATGCAGACATAGTCATCCGCGAAGGAATCGTGTCCGTGTTCGATGGTCCGCGGTGGATCGCTGATCTGGATGTTCTTCAGGGTATCGAAAGTGGGCTCTTGGTCCGACTAGTCGGGTGTACCTGCAGTGAAAAGCGGGAACCAGGACCGCTTGGCGAACGCCTGAGTGGCATTCTAGGTGAGCAGCTCAAGTCTATCTCGACCTGGGACGAAATGCTACTGTGCAAGGAGAACCTGCTCAGCAATGAAATTGGCATAGTAAGGTCGCACGGGAATTGGTCCGCACGGCTTGCAGCAGCAAATCTTGCAACATCACTGGGATGCCTGACGATGGTTTTGCAGTCCCCGGGAGCATGTTCTGATTGTATTCAAACCCTCTTGAAAACACAATTCTGGTTGAGCGTCGGCTCGAACAATCCATACCCTTCGATTCTCATCACCTGAATTACCACCGAAGACCCACCGCAGCGCCTTGGGGGCAATCAGCTCCACGATCGGGGCCTGGATTTTATTCCGCGGGATGCTATCCGACAACGGGCTAAGCTTGTCTTGCCAAACCCCTTGGGGAAACGCAGAAAAATCAGAACTTGGAAGAATTATACAATCTAGGCCGGGTGGACTTTCGCTGGATGACACGGAGGCCGTCTACTACCCTTCTTGTAGTCGTATTCAACTGCAAACGGTATAGGTCGGACCGAGCGACAAACGGAAGTCTCGACAGTTCGCATCTAAGGAACTTAACAGGGTCCAGGGCTCATCCGCGTAGATCTTCGTGGGGCCGGACGCACATTGACTGCCCTATGGACGTCGATCAGGACATCTCCAAGCCTTGGGATACCCATTAAAACGCACGACGACGTTCCCTTTTTGGGTGCCCTGGAGCGGCGTTAGTTGTTTCCGCAAGATCGGTTTGTGCAGCTGAACGAACCAAGTGTCAAGAATGAAATTAACGCCCAAACGCAGACCTCATGTTTCCCCCTGATCCCGTGGGCCGGCTCCGAAGTTGTCGAAAAGGTCCCCACATTTGAACACGGCCCGCGCCCCGGATCCGCAACTCGCCAGCATTCCGGCAGGCAACTCCGGCTTCCTAGTATTGCGGATCCGCGCGTGTCGTTTCATTGGATGCTATGATCTGTTAGGAAGTATCTATCAAGAGGCCGGCGAATTCGTCACGAATAGAGTTCAGCGCTAACAGTTGGTTATATACTTACTTCTTGTTGCCTACTTGTACCTGAAAAGCCATCGAGCAGGCAGGAGGAGCGGCCCGCTCGCACTTCCCCTTTTGATGAGCCGTATTAGATATACTATTTAAGGTGCAAAAATATATGTACATAGTTCCAAGCCAATTTCAACTGCTGTGTCTGAGCAGTGCTACATGCAGCTATACATAGCCGTCATGTCGTGAGGAGTGGCCATCCGGGGTAACCCTAGCAACCGTATCAGCTTGATACTGACTGACTGACTGACTGACATTCCACCATGGCGAACATGGATCGTGTCGTTGAGCTCTTTACGCTCCTAGGCCTGAGTATTCTCGTCGTCATACTGCGCATGTTCGTTCGCATCCAAGCTGTAGGACTGCGAAGACTGGAGGCTGACGATTTCCTAGTAATACTAGGCATGGTGCGTATCCCAAGTCTCCAGTTTATCTAAAACTTTCGATTACTAAATCGACGAACAGGCAGCATTCATCGCCGAGTCGACGCTCGCATACCAGGTCAACGCATGGTACGACGGCTTTGCGAATAGTGGCATGACGGAGGACCACCGAGCAACGCTGGATCCGAACGGAGAAGAATACATGAAAAGGTGCGTTGGTTGCGGCAGCCTATGGATTGATTTTTGATAGCCAAACAGGGTGGATGGGTCGAAAACCCAAATGGCCGGCTGGGTCATGTACGCCTTGGTGCTCTGGTCGCTGAAAGCCGCCATGTGCTCACTCTTCCTGCGCCTTACCGTAGGTTTCCCTTCCTATAATTCCTGGTGTTGACTACTAATGTGCCAAAGAGCCGTCTCGGCAGCTACAAGATTCGAATTCAGATAGGATTTGGTCTTTTACTCGTAACTTGGCTCAGCGTCACACTGGCTATAATATTCAGTTGTACGCCAATATACAAGAACTGGCAGGTTTACCCCGACCCTGGCCGTGAGTTACCCTCTCTTTACCCTTCCGCGGGGCCATAATTTGTAAACTAATAAGCTGTTAGTGAACTGTCAACCTGCACTGTCTCGCATCAACATCTTTGTAACTCTTCTTCTCAACGTCGCTACCGATTTGTACCTTCTCACCATTCCTTTGCCACTCCTGTGGTCGGCCAACATCAAGCCAATGCGCAAATTGGGCTTGATCCTACTCTTCTCAGGTGCTGTGTTCGTTATGCTGGCTGGCGTTCTCCGATGCGTCTTGATTCTTGCCAACGACCAGACTGGAGCGATTGACGGATCGGCATGGGCAGTCCGTGAGACCTTCGTCGCGGTCATGACCACGAACCTCCCAGTCATATTCCCACTCATTAAGGGCTGGATAGGGAGCTGTTTTGGTATCATTAGCAGCATTAAAGAGAGCAGGCCAACAGGAGTTCCTCATGGAAGTATCCCCCTTCCTGATGGTAGTTGGTCACGTAAGGGCGGCCAGAGCCGGTTCGATAATGGTGGCAACACATTTGTTCATACAGGAAGCCAAGAACGGATTGTTGACGCGCCGAATGATGGGATCAAGGTCGAGATGAATATCGAGGTGAGCCGGAGTGATCGGAAACTGGAAGAGGCATAATCAAGACAGAGGAGCGTAAAGTGGTCCTGATGAACTCCGATGGTGTCTCATTAGTGACAAATTTTCAATTATTAAACGCAACGAAGCCCCTTGGTTTTATACAATTCCTCAAGTCGAACGACCTCAGGGGCTCGCTGTCATTCTTTTATGTGTCACGACACGCTCCGTCTCCTCCGAATCCATTGATACACTGGACCGACCCCCTCTGCCGGCCAAGGTATGGGAGTACCATTGAAGTCCAGCAATGCATCCCACGAGGTAAGTGACAGCGTGCCAGCCAAGTACAGTTCTCCACACCTGTTTCCAATGTCCTCGCTCAAGCATGCCCTTCATCTCATTCGTGGAGATAAAATGACACTCCGGAGGCATGGGACACCGAGGATCGGGCCGGTTACGATACCCCGAGTCTACCCCACATCCGTGACCTTCCTTTCAGGTCGGCTGTGAAATGTTACAGACTCCATTCCGGGAATGTATGTTAGGTACTACTTAGCGCCTTGGACTCCTTACTGGGAGGTATCCCATTTCCTTCAGAAAACCAGGTTGTCCCGACGTCTGACGCGATGTTTGCTGGCTTCGTCCCTGAGTCTCAAAATTAATGGGTGGTCGTGTACAGCTAAGAAGCCATGTTGAAGCCGTCACAAGTGGTTCCGGCTGGAGCAGAGCACTGATCCTCGGCAGGAAATACAAAATACCTCAGTCTGCCACATCATGGGATGCCAACAAAGGAACCTCGATACGTTCCTGCGATTTGCTGCTGTTCGGGGCTTGTTGAGCCGGCTGGTACACCATGACTCTTGACGGGACAACCCGACCAAGCTAATACAGCGGGAGAATACGCCAATCAACCGAGCCCGTTGGTTCCTCAGGGCCCGTCATATTATCGTCCATGAGATCGTATAATTAGAGCAAATCAATCTTGTCGGCCGGGCCGAATTTTGACCAGAAACCAACAGGTATGTTGCAATAATGAATTTAGCTCTTACAGGCGACCCAAAGTGCCATGCGCATGGCACAGGGCTGACTGTATGTTGCTAGGCTTTACGCGGAGCTTCCGCATGCAGCATCTCACATAAGCTATTCGGATTTCCTCAGATTTTCACATGCGAAATACGGTAAAAGCGAACGGTGGATTACAAGTGTAAGCAGTAGGTCTGTTAGCATTCAGAATGCTATCTCGGGGACTCGTAGCCATGAGCTCGGGCGAAAACCCTGGCCAGGCGTGGAGCACCCCGAGCGCCGAAGGCATCGTGTGCCCGGCGAAGACGTGGAAGGTCTACCTAGATATCCCAAAAAATACAGAATTTCCCGTATCAGTCTGTCATATAATGTCGTGAAAATAGCCCACGCGAGCCGGTGGCATGGGGGAACGCCGTAAAGGAAAGCAAAGCAAAACAGACCCGACGCTGAAAATGGCAAGGTATATCCCGAGGATCCATGCATGTCTAACGATGCCATCCAATCCAAAAATAAAATAAAGTAGAAACCTGATCCCAAGTGCCCAAATGCGGAATTTATGTCTAAAAATGCTGAGTGGACGAGCGAGGTCGGTGTCAAGACCTCACTCTCCTTGTGCGCCTGCCTGGTGGCGCTTGGCCAGCTATCAAGGCAGCGCCCGTTCTAATGCCGTGAATGATGCGATGCAGTTGGTCGTGGTAACCGACAGTGAACGTCAAGCCCAAAGACCGCTGAAACGATGAAACATTGGGGTATCTCGAAATCAAGGGGTTCGCTGCTGAGCAGCCCCATTCGCCGCCCTGCGGGCGTGTGTGTGCGCAGCCTTAGTGTTTCTTCTGCTCCCCGCTGCTCGTCGACGTTTTGGACTTGGTGTGGTGCGAGTACGAGTGATGATGTTGTTGCCGCACCTTGGAACGCGTGTTAGTCAGTGGCTGCCGGGGGGGGGAACCAAAGGATATCGATGCACCTACCCGTTGGCGGCCACGTCTCTCCTCATCGGGCATGTTGACCTTCTGCCGGTCTTCCTCATACCATGCACTCAAGCTCTTGCCACCGAACATGAGGTCGTCATCCTCAATCACGGTCGCGGCCATCCAGCCATAGCCTTGCAGCTCTGTGTCTGCAGGCGCGTAGTAATATGCATCGTTGTGATGATGCGCGTTCGTTGTGGAGGTAACCATCTTGAGAGGCGAAGGATTCAGCGACTTGGACGACGTGTGAGTGTGTCCGCTGGGACGTTTCGTGGATACGCTGATGTGCGGCGACGGGGACGAGTGCGACTTGGGGCGCAAATGCAGACTCGCCGACGAGGAGGTCAGGCTTCGGGGTTTTCTGTTGTTGCTGTCTTCGAATGCAGACGCTCGGGGTTGCGACATAGGGTTTGCCAAGGAGACCCGGATGTGCAGTGTCGGACGCGTGGTGGCCGTGGGTGTGTGGTGTTGACAGGGACGCGGTGGTCGTGTCGTGTAAGTGGTACGCGGCTGGCCGGTCCCGACGAAAGGCAGGCAGATGGGACGGTTTTTAATATTTCGCCCTAGCTAGGCTCTCTGAGACCCAGGGCGTCGTGTGCCGGTCAAGTGTGGAAGTGTTGTGAGACTAGGCTGCACCCGGCTGCCTTGTTTACGCTGCTGCGTAGGACCAAGTTCGGGTGAGGCTTTCCAAGGTTGTCGTCGAGGCTATGCGGCTGCGTTGGGCAGATCGCGGGGATCTATGCCGGATCGTGGAAAAGATATATACAGGACGCGGACGAGCCTGCTCGCGGGTCGGGAAACGTGGACACGAGCTTAATTAATGGGATGGAAACGCAATATCGGGGGCTGGCGGGCGATGGACGAATGCGGGGATTTCCGGAACAGGGAACTCCTGATGCGATACAGGTTTAAGCTAGCTGTACGAGCTGTACAAGCTGTACCCCAAGCCAACACGGCCTCGTGGTAGGGGGGGTGGTCGGGTGGGTGGTGGATGAGTAGATGTTTCAGCTAAGCGTGGGATAGCGCCCGCCCTTTTCGGGGTGTCAGGAGCAGAAGGCTGGTGACTATTTGTGATGGAGATGGGGGTGTTGAGCTTGAGCACCTGGCCCAGTCCGGCTTTCATTCACCGAATGCGGACTCTCGAGCAGAGTAGACACGTAGAGTTGGAGGGTCGGGACGGGGCTGGGTGAGTCAACGCAGGCCGAGGGCTGAAAAGCTCGAGAGTTTCTGTAGAATTTGGCTAGTGGCTTCAATAAACCCAGTGAGGCTGAAAGCCGCGAAGTAGCCAGAACAGAGTCCAAGATCTTGTGAGGAGGTCTAGACGTGGTAATACTGGAAAGGACACGAAGAGCTGACGAGGTCTAGATTTACGGGAATACAGAGTGGGTAATCTGGGGAAACCGAGCGTCATGGGCCTCCGGGTGGCATATATGTCCTGCGCAAATGGATACCGGGGCTTAGTATGGAGTACAGCAGACTACAGTGTACCTTGTAATCAGATCGTGGTCGCGCTGTCGACGATGCGACCGAGTATTTCGCCCCTCTGGCTGGCCCGGCTGGATCCTCAGGGATGGCGTGTCTTGGACGGCTCCAGCAGGAGCTCCACCGTCAGTGCTAGAACGTGCTCCCGGGGCGCAGAGATTTTTTATTTTTATTTTTCGGGCGACGCGGGCTGTTCAGTGATGACGACTCAGTCGGATAAAGGTTCAGTGGAATCACTGACTGATGGCCCGGAACGGTTGGGTTGCTGACTCGCGACAGCTGGGCTGGCGGGAAAGTAAAGCCCTCACTTTTTGCAAATGTCAGGATGGGTTTTCGTTGAGGGAGCACAGTATACCTCGCTACCTGTACCTAGCTAGATACATGCTATGTAGACCAAGCATTTAATCCTCAATGGCCGTTTTCGTCCATTGAGAAAGGCTGACGAGGCCGATGAATAAGGCAAAGATCCCCAACGGCCGAGGGAAACACCGGGTATCTGGCGGCCGATTCAGCGACTGATCAGCACGCCTTGGCAGAGCCTCTCGGTGTCGAGCACATCAAAGAGCGGTGCGGCTTTGTTCGTTGGGCGCTGAATGATGACTACCGCTCAACGAATCAGGAAGGATAGGCGCTGTTCCCAGCTGTTACTGGGCCTGCTAATTGTCCGACCACGCCTGGAATTTCCACATTCGGGTGCTCCAGCTGTGGCTTCGTCCATTCTGGCTTTGTCAACCTGGAGAGGTCTTGTTGGCCTTGTAGAAACCCTGTTTTTTGTCCGATTCGCCGCGGTGCGAGCCACTACGCCTTGCGCGGCCGAGGGGCGTCGCTGTGGCTTCGTCGGCAATAATGATGCAATGGTTATCCAAACGACTTATGGCGAATTCCCTGGAGCCGCGCCCGGCCCAATGGGATCCCGGAAATGCTATAGCCTACACAGACCATGACCTCTGCTCGTCTGCCTGGCAAGTTTGCGACGTACAGGCCTTGCTTGTGTTCGCAGGCCTCGGGCGACATGACTTAGAGTTCATCATGACCTGATTCTTTTCATGGCTCGCTTGGCTCACAACTCGGGCAAGCAGCCGCAGCAATGTTGACAGACGGAGGATTACCACATAGCACTGCATAGTGCAGTGAAAATTGTATTAAATTAATTCAAAACTTGCTTCCCTCCGCAGCATTTGGCAATGGTGAATGGTGCAGCCTCGGCCTGTGCGGGCATTATTATTCTGGTACCATCGAGCGTCGTTACAGCGGCCGCCAATCGCCCAATGTAACAGTTTAATAGCGTCTTGATCAGCGCTGTCAAAGATGCAGCATTCTGACCATGCATCAATCCAAGTGAGACAGCGGCCGGTTTCACTATATCCGCGTCACTACTCAAGCACTGTCGGTCTCATTAGCATTGACCTTGGAGAAGCCTCCATTGCTACGACCTGGCCTTACTGGGCATGTAAACCGCGCCCAGCTGGGGTGACAAACCTTGTCGGTCAGCGTCCGTGTTACAAAAACAGTCAGCCATCCCTCGCAGTATGCTTCCTGTCCGACCACTAACCAGAACCTGTTCGGTACAATGAAGTCAAGCAACGACGCTGATAAGGGCGCCAAGTCACTCTGTGTAATCAAACCACGAGACCCCACCACGATGGTGTGCAACTAATAAGTGTTAATCCTTACGCTCCGCGTGCTGGGAGCAGTCACGTTATCATCTATCAAGAATCAAGGAGCATCTACCATCCATGGAGGTGTGTCTCGTGATCCATGCGCCGTGAGCTTAAACTGGCACGAGCTGGGGGGAGATTCCATGTGGGTGCGGGGTGCTCGCACGATGCCTTCACCTCTTGGATGCCATCAGAATGGGCCACTACACGCGGATGACTTCTACAGTATGTATGGATGCGTAAACAGCGTCCGGCACCCGACGATGTTTCTCTCCAGCTTCCGGAATGGGGATCCCGCGTTCAACACTCAACACCCCCGGACTCCTCGCCGACCGTTTCGCAACAGTCGAACCCCGAGATGCCAAGCGCGATGCGGGGTCGTGTTGGACCCTTGAAATGCAAGCCCGCCCTTTGGCCCTGCCCGCCAGCCCGCTGCTGCTGCTGTGTGAGGGGCCTCGCGAACCCACATTAGCGGCGATCTTTGCACATGTCAGGACTGCAATCAGGCCACTGCGAGGCTCTATGATACAAACGATCCTCTGAGCGTTTCACAAATGATGTACAAGGTCGAAGGCGCAGAACCGCGTAAGCAAAGGATGCCTACCGGCAGGAGAGGCAGCTCGCCACCGTCAGCACGATTTACAATAAGGCCACTGCCGTCCATGATGCAAGTAGCGAGAGGCGAACAGAGCGTCGTACTATGCAAGTTAGAGCATCCCGCGTTATCAGCAATTCGTTCAGCGTCCGGCCGAGGCCCAGCAGACTAACGAGGATGCTCGGGACCAGGTAAACGATAGGGCAGGGCCTGCCAACGGCTGGAACGCCTGTGACGAGATTAGGTTGACCAATGTTGTTCCTCGGAGACGCTCCGCAGATACCCATGCCAAATAGTTATGTCATTAGAGATCTTGGGAGAGATGATTGAAGCTTTCACGCTGGCGTATCCCAGCTTGGGCAGTCAGCGAAAAAAATCGGGGCCAGTGGCATTTCATGGCGACCCTCTCATCAATGGAAACCTTCGACTTGCTGTGTCATTGCAACGGCGGCCTGGGTCTTTTCCTGTCAGCGTCTTAGACTCTGATGAGTGTGCATGTGTTGTCAGTGGCTTCCGTAAATAAATCCCAAGTGAACTAAAGCAATAACCGACTCCAGCCGGAAGTCGGAAGGGCCTAACGCATAATGGCACAGCGTCACCGTTGCCGCCCGCCGCCGCCTTGCCGCCTCAAAAGGTGGGGGTGACAGTACCGCAGTACGGGGGGTTGATCACGATACCCTGTCTCTGTCGTCATCGTGCACAGTGGCCGATTTCGAAGCCCAGATAGCCCAGTTAGGTAACCGCCAGCCCGGTTATCGTGAGTTGACGATACCGTCATGTCCGTCCCGTGTCCTCGCTGATGTCATTAAAACACCCACAGCGGAGCAAGGTTGTAAACAGGGCTGAGAAGATAGATGCTGCGTGCCGTGACTGCCGGGTCCCACCAGCTACGTGGGTCGATATCCCCAGGACACGAGGACTTCCCCCCTGGGTCTTTATCGATATCGCTCTATCGCGATGGCAGCGGTTAAGAATGGTTAGAGTGCTGCTAGATCGTGAATTGGGGGAAGACTTACTGGGTAGTCTGGAGCTTTGCGTGTTTCATTATATGCTCCAAGTGATTACAGAGGCTATACCCAGTCTAATGCGTGGGAATGTTTGTGACTGAGCCCTTCTTGATACCATACGCTGCTCGTTGACCTAAGCCTGATACCGAAGATAGACGAACGCCAGATCACCCAATCAAGGCAGCAAGTGGAAAAGCGAGGGAAGAATGTGTGTTATCATTAATATCTCTCTGGAAGGCTATCGTATGCTTCGAAACCAACGCCTAGACGCCATGCCCAATTCAACATGACGTTCGTGTACCGTCAACCTGGGATGCCCACGGTGAACGCATCCGATACATTCTTCAATCTACCCGTCCCCCTCTGGCTGCGGGTTCCTCACTCCAAGCCCCTGAATCTCCGGTTGAACTCCTCCACAGCCACAGCAACCATGCGGTACAAGAATCCCCTTCCGCTCTCCTCCCCGACGGGGACGAAGGGTCCGTTTGTGCCGCCCCTCAGCACGATGCTGATTCCTGTGCGCTCCTTCGCGATGGTCTGGACATCCTTGAGTGGGACGTCCCACTCGGTGGTAAGTCTCCGGCTTCTAATGAGTAGAATTCGGCTGTACGTCACCATGACGACCATATCCTCACGCGGTAGCTCCAAATGTGCAATGTATTCCTCGTTGAAGTATTTGCCGTTGTCGACTTGTTTGAGCCAAGATTGGCCCAAAGCCTCACGCTGGTTGTATGGCCGCACAATGCCATCCTGTGGGATGAATCGCGTGATGCGGACACGATCGAGCTCGGATCCGTCAAAGACGGTCGTAGTGTTCCGCACACCTTCAGAGACGTTCGAGGCAAAGTCGAAGACGCCGACGGCGGGCTTGGTGATCAGCCCCAGAGCACCTTTTCCGACACCCTTGAAGAATCCCGCGGCGCCCTCCTGTTCAGCACCTTCGAGAGGTTTCTTGGCTACGCCTCCGACGCCAGAGGCAACTGATGTGAAAAACGAGTTGGCGCCGGCTGTGAAGCCATAGAGAGCATGCTTCGGACGGTTCCGCGCGCGTGTGATGCGACGGCGATCCTGGAACTGCTTGTCCAGCGTCGCTGCGGCGAGGCCTTTGCTGAAACTGCCGGTGATCTTGGAGAACGAATCGGAGAAGCCGTAGACCGACTTCTTCACAAAGCTGGCTGCACCCTTGGCAATACCCAGTCCAAGATCTTCAGGCTTGTCGGACATAATGAGTCCTTGGTATGGCTCGTAGAAGACATCTGTGATACCACTGCTGATGTTATTGAACAGACCGACTGGGTTGCCCAGGAAGTCAGCGCTGCCAATAATCTTGTGAACTTGATAGATGACCTCTTGACTGTAGTGATTGGACATGTTTTGAACAAGTACGGGTATTGACACGCGGGCGTTCTCTAGTAGTAAGGCATTCAAACGTATGGGCGCATCATTGACGTTGCCGATGGCCATGGTCATGGCATTGACGAAGAACATGACCGGGTTATGCGAAGAAGTCTTGTCCTCCACATTCACACGCTCTGTGCGCATGAATGAGAGATCGAGTTGCATAGGTTGAATGTTCAGGACCTCGAAGTAGATGTCCTGGCCCGACTGTTGCTGCTTTGGCTCAGGGATATCCAAGCCTTCGTCACAAAGCTTTCCTTCGTGGGTTTCGGTCCAAGATGCACCCGGTACCTTCGTGAAGTCCAGCACGGCGTAGATAAAATCCTCATCAAGTTCAACCGTCATCTGCTGCAGCAGAAGAGTTGCGTACTTGATATAGATAACACCGTAGGAGTCGTCCTTAACCCTAGTGACCATGGCATGCAGTGAGGGGTGCATCTCGATCTCTTGGGCTTGCTTGGGAACCACAGAAGGATAGAGGACCATGGGGAATAGTCCGCCGTATAGCTGGTTATCGATCTGAATCCACTTGATTGAGGTGCTGATATTCTGATACAGCGCCGACTCATTGTACTTCAGCTGCACATCCCGGAACGTGATGTAAGCCAGTTCCTTGAGCTGGGAGTTGATGAGCGAGACTCCGATGCCCGAGAGCTTGAGATGGGCCTGAAAGGTAGTGCCTGTATTTTGCTGTTTGACTTCGAATCCGCTGGTGCTGTTTGTACTCAATCCGGTCCCCGTCCTCTGCCGGTACAAACTCTTGCCAGGCTTGTAGTTGGACAGGATAAGAGTCTGGGTGGGACCGTCAGCCGCGACATTGATATCGATGATCTTCTGACCACCCGAGGTGCCGATAATCTTCATGGGGATGAGGTTGCCAATCTCAGCTAGCTTGATGTGTCGTTCCTTGCCATGGGCTGTGATGACGACCTCCTTGAACTTAGCAGCAGGGAAGTCCCAGGCATATGGCATAATGCTCCGAGGTGGCAATCTGTACCGGATTGGCCGCCAACCGGATCGGTCTTCAGCCCCATCGTCGTCTATGTTGGGATTGGCTTGGTGGAATGTGAACTCTGTGTCGCTCTCATTGCGCATAGAAAAGGGCCAATTCTTTGTCTCTATGCTTAGGTGCAAGAAGATAGTCGCGTCTTCCATCAATGTCTCCACTCGGATGAGGCGCTGCCGCTGGCCAGCTTTGGCTATTTTGATATGAGTAGTACCCAGGTCTGAGATGTTGAACGGAGATGTCCACTGATTGTTGATGCCAGGGTAACAGAGGGCTATCTGTTTTATGTGGGATCGCTGTAGAGCGTGAAGAGGCTGAAGTGCGCCAGGCTCGAGAGTCATGAGGTTGGAAGACCCAGGCTCCCTGATGTTGAGCTCCTCCCCAGCCTTGTTCTGGACGACAAATCTGGGCGCTAGGGTGACGACCTTGGTCATCTTGTATTTTCCCTGGCCAGCCTCGACCGTGATGCCAACGTGGTACTCGGTATTCTTGTCGGTTGCCGGAAGAACAACGTCAGATGTACTGCCGATGGCATCGAAACTTTGAGGCTTGCTCCATTCCGATTCGCCAACTTTGAGCAAGGCACGGTTTCGGTGGTCGTCACTGGCGAATGAAAACATATAGGGGAGTGCCTTGGGCTGCTCTCTGTTCGAGTTGTCCGTCAGAGGTGCTTGTCCGGCCGCCCTCTTGGCCTGCTGGAGGAACTGCTTGCCACGTATATTGACATCGAGGCCGGTCTTGTTTAGAACGACGTAAGGACTGTAGACAGTGACCTTGAATGCGCCACCACCGTCAGGAACCTTGAAGTAATGAAGTCGGAGCTGCAGTTGAAGGCCTTCTTCATCCTTGCAAATCAGCTTGTGCTCCTTCCGGAAGTCATCCTGGCCCCCGGGGTTGATGATAGCAAACTCGCTGGGCTTGAATACAGTGTCCTGCATATCAATGCTCATGAGAAGCAAATGTGACAGCTCCACGACATGCACAGGACTAACACCGCCCTTTCGGAGGAAGTTGGTCCAGTCCTTCTTAGTGTTTTTGTCGTAGATACGGTACTTGAAGTCGTAAGGCAAGAGATTTTCGAGGATGATGGGTGGCGAAAGTTTGATTTTCATGTACGGGTATCTCCTAATTACTTGTTAGCATTTATCAAGTGATAAATAAATATAAATAATAGCTTACCCGTTCAGGAAGTGGCCTCTATCGAAGCTTGTGTTCATCTGGAAGTAGAATGGATCATTGCCCTCCCCTTTGCATACCAAAGTACGAGTTGGTCTCTTGATCAGATCCTTCCACCAAAGGTGCTCTGACGACCATGCGTAACCAAATCCAGAATCCGGTCGTACCAGAAGAGATTTGACAAAACATGCCGCGACAGGTGCGGGTCGGCTCTCCCCAGGAGGGATCTTCTCGATTTTGAGCAGATGGCCCTCCTGGGCATCGTAGACACCAAGCTCGACAGGTATCTGCGTGTCATTCTCCACCACCAAGGGTGATCTTAGAGTAACGTACTTGACATTGTCGTTGCCGAGTTGAACTTCGACCAGGAGGCGGTGCATCGTGTTGTCCGTCTTGGGTCGGAGGCTGTAAAGAAACTCGCCCTGTCGATTGATGCGGACGTTCTTGACAGTATCAAAACCGCTACCTTCGATCTGCACCGTCACACTGTTCGCCGTATTGCTGTCAGACATGATATTCTCACGCATCTTTTCCCAGTGTTCAAAGCTCCAAGGGGCTTCCTGGCCATCGTCAAGTCTGACTGAGATGTTATCCGTGTTGCTTTGGTTCCTGGCCTGGACAATCACGTCAAATCCGGTGTAGTTCCGAATCTTGTAGGCCGTCTCGGCGCCCCGCGGTTTGCCAAGGACATCTTCGTTTTCAGTCAAGAAATCAAAGGATTTCGATGCCAAGGCAATGGTGGCGGTGGTGACTGTGACCTCAAATGTTTTCCTTGACTGCATGTCTACCGAGAGCAATCCAGTGTCCTGGGCTCTCGCCACACCGAGACCAACCTGCCAAGGCTCCAGCAGTGGTTCCCAGGCGGACTTGGCAAAGTTGTACACATTAATATACATATCGATTGCAGTTTCCGCCTTGAGACTACCTGACCAGTCGGCTGCCGATGCCGTGAAATTCTTGACGCTCAAGTCCAAGATAGGCAGTTCATGGACATCACCTATCAGTACAACACGAATCCCGTCGATGGTCGCAGTCAACTCTTCGTGCCGTTTCGGGCCCTTGCTCAAATCGTGAACAGGCTTCTGTGGCTGTGATGACTTGCGCGTACGGGTCGTCACAGTGCCAGCTGTCCGAGCACCCTTCGTTCGGTTGGCGATGGTAGAACCACCACGACCGCTGGCAGTGCGCTGCTTGAGGCCATCGCCTCGAAGTTGTTGAGCCTTTTTATCGGAAGCGCTGGGCTTGGAATCTTCAGGCTTGTCGGCTGACAGCTCGGATGCCTTGCTGATGATTTGAAGGACAAGTAAGATATCGCGCAGTGAAAGCCGCAGAATCAGGGGCTCGATGTCAATGTGGATGCTCGTCAAGTTAGACTGGGAGCTGTCCATCGACAGCTGTATCGAAAAGTCATCAAGAATACGCAGGCGGCTTTCCTCAAATCTGTCCATGCGACACAGGAACATGCCGACCTGGGAGACTTGGAAAGTTAGTGCATGCTGCTGAGACAAGAGCACCTGCTTCGTGCCCAGCACAATAGCCTCTGAACTTGAACTTAGGGGATTGGCGATCAGAATGACTTGAGCATCCACGATATTAACACGGAAGGCGAGGCTCATCTGTGAGCCGTCCTGCTTTGCGTCGTCTTTCTGAAGCTCCTGCCCAGGCTTTTGTGACTGACTACCAGTCCAGACGACTTGCATAGAGTCGGCATCAGACCCATCTGATGACTCTTCAGGGATATCTTCAACCTGTGGGGCTTCATCAGACTGCAAACCAGTTGACACGAAGTGTTGAATGGCAAACACATAATCCAGAGCAAAAATAACTCTCGGGCTGTCAACAGCGACCATTGCAATCACGTTACGGTTCTGGCCACCGCTCATGGACACGGAGGCCATAAACTGCTGCACACTCTTATTGGAAGAAGTCATGATCTTTCGGAACTTGTTGCCATCCCTCCGGCGGGAGTCCTGGATGGTGAAGGAGTGTATGACGAACTCGGCCTCGAGAGAGTTATCGGAAAGCATTCGAGTCTTGAGTTTGCTGTCATCCAATGAGAATTGCGCCAAGCTAGCATTGTCTGTGTTGCCCACGGGCCTGCCATCTGGCGCGTCGATTAATTCCAAACCAATCTTGTGGACATCAAAGACGAGGTCCAGTTTTGTCCAGGCATCCTCGCGAGTCCCGAGTTCTGGTCCCAAATCGATCAGCGAGTTATCGCCGCCGGTAGTGGTCGAGGACATGGTCTTAGCTCGTCGGAGAGTGCCCTCGTCAACATCTCTCTCAGCTTCCTCGCCGCTTGCTTCAGCGTCGGTAGAAAATGCAGCTGGGACGGACTTTGAGATCGCAAGGAGTGAGCTTAACTGATACTGAGTGATCTTGAGGTTTAGATCGGTCATCCTGCCTTCGATCTCCATATCTGGACGCTTCCATCCCTTTTTGTGCTCGGCATATGTAATGTTGAAGCCAAGATCGACGTGGTCGATCATTTCCAACTCCTCCGCTTCGTCCTTTTCGTAGTGGAAGAGCGATGTAAGCCTAACATTTCGAATACCCGCTGACAACTTCATAGCCACCTCGGAATCTTCCGAATCATCCAGAGGAGCGAACTTGTTCTGCGCATATATCTCTCCAAGGTAAGCTGTGATCAGATCACGCTTCGGTCGGCCTGGTGAAATTGACCCCGGGAACACGATGATGGGTGTATTCACAATGACGTCAAACTTGAACCGGCTGGTACTCTGCTGTATCTGTTGGGCCTGGTTTGCAGCGGCTTGACGCGCGGCATTGTAGATCGCCTGCATCTTGCCGAATTTCACTAAGAACTCAATGATTTTCCTGAACGGTTCTTCCATAAAGTTGACTTTGATGGAGCCGGCGCGAAGGAAGATGGACGAGTCATATCCAGGATATGCCTTCTCATTGCTCGAATCGAATGTCTCGTACCGGAAATCAGCCAGCTCGTCGCCCTGGATTGTGACCAGTCGTCGTAAGCTTGAGTCTTCCGATGCGCCTACGTTTACATCATCCACCAAACTCAAGTCGCCAAGCTTTGTCGCAATACGCATCGTCTTGCCAGACAGGTATACACCGACGTCGGCATGGTTGAAAGATAGCGTAGCAAGCCTGATGCCGTCATTATTCAGAATCATGCGTATAGTCTTGAGGTCGACCTTCACTCGGATGGATCCTGCGTCATTTTGTGGCGACTCAGGGGACGGTTCAATGATCTGGGGCTTATCGTCATCGCCGTCTTCCTCATCTTCTTCCTCACTATCAATGATAGCCTTCTGGCGTTGGGTGCTGACGTTGTCATTGTTGGTGAAAGTGACAAGAATGAAATCCAGCAGTGTGAGAAGTGTTTTTCGGGTCACGATAAGGTTTATGGTGGAGACAGCGACGTTGATGTTGGTCTCTATGCCCTCATAGACCGGCATGAACTCGGGAGACTCTCTCTTGACCTTGACAAATTTGACCTTGACGAGATCTCGTTTCTCTTGTCTGTCTTCAACGTCGCCGGAAGAAACGATCGATTTGAAGTCTGCGGAGGGGTTGTCCACGAAGTCATCGACGGTGACCGAGCCGAGGGATACTTCGGCAGCCATGTCGAAAGGTCGAATGTAGAACTCAAGATCAAAGTTCTCGGCAACCAGCTCCACCAACAACGCGTCGGGTTTCTGACCATCTGGGTCACTTCGGTACAAGGAGCCTTGCAGCTTGTCGACAGCGAATTTGAATTCGAAGGTGCGCTGCTGCATCTTGAGCTGTTGGTTTGTACTCCCGTCAGGCGCATCTTCGAAGTCATCATCATCGTCGTCGTCATCGTGAAGTATGACAGCTGTTTGTTGTGTGTTAAACAGGTTGGCTGACGATTTCCGTCGATGGGCTTTCCGTGATCTACTCGAGGCACTGCTGAGAAGGCGAGGCCTTTTAGGCCGCTGTGGTGCCTGGGTCTGTTGTGCGTCGCCACCAAATTTTGGTATTGCAACGTCAATGAGCCTCATGAGACTCTTGTACTTGGTATCGGAAACTGTGGCGTGCAGGACCGGCATTCGCCCGGATATCTTCACCTTGGTCAAATTGGGGGCCTTGGGAAGGATCGATAGAGCAACAACAAAGTCTAGGTTGATCTTCTCGACGACGTGATACATGCGAGCATCATCCTTCTCAACCAATTGAGATTTGGTATCCTCTATGGATGGGCCGATGAGGACCTGGGTTGAGGTAAGCTTTACGAGGAAACGGTCGTACATGAGGGACTCTAGCTGCTTGAAGTCTTCATCTGAATACTGCTGATGCTGCTTTTCTTGCACCTGCTTCAAGGTGTCCTTGTCAACAAGTTCACTGCTGACACTGATGTGACCTGCATCGAGGATGAGGCAATTCGACCTCTTAGTCGTGATATCTTGCGGGATAATGATGAGCGGGGCCTGCAGGTCCAACTTGGCATTAATGGCCTTGTGTTCTTCGAGAGCGAACTCCAGACCAGCTCTCGTTTGCTGTCTTAGGCCCTCGACTGTGGCACCAGCCGATTCCATGAGGGCACTAATGGACTCCATGTGCCGTTCCGGGGGCTTGAAGAAGTCGACTACACCCACAACGAAGTTGGGGTTCCATACGATCTCGAGGGGTTTTAACTTTGCGGTCACGGCGAAATCACCTTGGCCGTCGAGAGGGTTCTGCTCCACCTGTAGATCGAAGAAGGAAGTGTGCTCCGTCTTTTCTAGGTCCACAATCGAGAGCCGCTTCTGTTTGCTCTGTTCTGGTGCATCTTTGACTCTGACGATCTCCTTGAACAGGGAGTTGGCGGTGGTGCCATCATTGACACGGAAGCCTCCAAGGCTGAGATCCGCGAGCACGGAATCGGTTCGTTTGAGTGCCTTGGCTTTGAAAACATCGAAGTGAAGACTCAGGAGATCCCTCTTGGCGCCATGCGGACTTTGCCTGAGGGTGAAACTGCCAGTACTGAGAGATGCATCAAACTGCATCTTTACGGCATCCCGCGGGGCGTCCACTGCGTCTGCGAGTGCTTGTTTCTCGTCCCAATCAATAGCCTCGTAGAGCTCCTGCCGTTGCTCTTCTGTCATCTGAGTGTTTTCGTCAGACTGCTGAGACTGCTGCGACGGCTTGGAGCCCCAGGCCCACGCAAGCCATCCCTGGGGGTGCTCCTCCTTCGGGGGTGCGTTCTTGAGGGCTTCCGCGTTCTCCTTCTTGAGCTGATTGCGGGCTAACGATCTCCAGAAGCGTAGATCCTCGTATTCGAGCTTCATCTCCAGCCTGTTCAGGTCATCCGTCTCCTGGGGGGTCAGATGTTGGTTGGCCTTCTTTTTCTTGAATATCTCGATGTACCGGCGGCGATCGTCCCGCCTCTCCTTGAAGTAATCCCAACTCCACCGCCGATTGCGGTCGTGGATTTTGGAGAGCACAGCATCGCCAGCGAACCTGAGCCAGGCCCGCGGGTCTTCCTTGGGTGAGACTCCCTTGGGCTGCAACTTCTTGTATTCCTGGTGCCGGATAAAGTAGTGGAAGAGGTCGACCATCATGAGAGCATCGCGGTATTGGTCATCATCCAGAACGACACCAATCTCATCGAACAGCAAGCTGCCCTTGAACTTGGGGGTGTGAGTGTCCCCTGATTTGTCGAGCTCGATCTTGGCCTGTCCGCTGACGGGTTTCAGGATGAACTGGTGTTGTGCAGCGTCCACGTCGTCGCCGCCGTCGTCCTTGCCGATCATCCTCTTGAATTCAGCAATCATGTCGTCGTGGGACAGAGTGTCGTCGCCGTCTGCTAGGGCTTCACGACCCGAGCCCAGCAGCTTTGTGTCGGTATTCCAGTAGACTGCGAGGGCGTCAAGCTTGGCAAGCTTGTGTGTCGTCTTGGTCGAGTTCTGGATAAAGGTAGGCTTCCAATCGCCATCGGTGGAAACGGCGCTGAACTCTTCCAGAGTGAGACCGAGCGAAAAGGGGTGTCCCGGGGTGGAGATGGAATCCTCGTAGCGGACGTGTATGTTCTTGACGGTGACCTGCAGGTTGTCGACAATCTTAGTGACCAAGCTCTCGGTGAAGCTCTGGCTCTTCTTCTGCTCCTCCTGGCTGAGCCCGGCCTGGGAACGCTCCTTCAGCAGCTCGGCCGAGTCCAGCTTCTCCATCTTGAGCCGCTGCTTCCTGCGGTCCTCCTCGTCCTCGTCGTAGGCGGCCTCCTCCTTGGGCGAGGCGAGCAGGAAGACATCCTCTATGAAGACCTTGACGGGAGCGCCGCGTAGATTCGACCAGGGGATGGTGAGGGTCAGCTCGCCGAGGTGCCCCTCGACGACGTTGATCGGGAGCTTGAGCTGGTCGAGCGCCTCCTTACGCAGCTCTAGGTTGCGCAGCTTTACATCGCCGGACCAGATGCCGACCTTCAACTGGGTAGGGTCAAAATTCTTGACGTACATGCCCAGGAAGCGGTTCAGCAGACCGGCGACCAAGCCTTCCAACATGTTGATCGGGTGGTGCCGTGACCCGGGCCGGGGAAATGTCGTCGATTAGGGTGGGGTGTCGGGATGCTTCATTGGCAGGAAGCGCGCCTGAGGTGTGATGACGTATGTCGTGGGAACGCGATGTCAGATTCTGGAGGTGGGAAAGTCGTGATCGTCGACAAAGTGGTGCGCAAGGGCTATGGGAAGTTGACTGGCTGTTGCAGTAGAGTATGGTGCCGCGGCGAGTATGACACGAGAGATGGAGTACGAGGGAAAGGGAACCAAACCAGTGCGCCGAGTGGTATCGTGCAGTTCGTAGGAACCGTGGGAAGCCGAATCAGATGTCAAAAGAAGACCCCCGCCCGCTCCGGTACCCGTACAGACAGATGGATGCAAGCAAGGAAGCAAGCAAGCAAGCACTCGAGCACTCAATCACCTGAGAGAGAAGAAAGGAAGGGATGTGACGCGAAAGTCGCGCTTCACGGTCAAGTAATTAGGTTGAGGATAAGAGGGTTTCTTCATGGGAAAGACGGGGGGAAACCAACCAGCATGCACATTTGACAGGCAAGCAGTGGCTGTCCAGGGCCTTGGCTTTTGGTCTGTCTGCTTTGGGAGACGACGATTGGAGTGGATGTGCCCAAAAAATATGCTGGTGCCTGGTTCAGGTTGTGTGTGGATGTGATGGAAGCGGCCCCAACGCCCAGACTCCCAAAAAGACCACTTAAGTTACCTAGGTACCGAAAAGACCACCTACCTACCTAACTTACCTACCTACCTAACTACCTACCTGCGATCTATTGGATGTACATAACTTGGTGGCATACAACTTAGGTAGTGCGCAAGGCACCTACCTAGGGTACCTAGGGTATCTACTGTAGGTACTGTCGGGTACAGTAGATACTGTCTGTAGAAATCCCAACCTGCTGGGCCTGGCCTCCCAGGCCTGTCGTATGACGTTAGTGGGTGCAGCCAGGCTTTTGGGCTTCGGGTTGCTGGTTTGTGGCTTGTCGGCCACGCTAGCACGACAGGTATGTTGTCCTTATGCCACCAAATAATCCCACTGAAGCTCAACCAGCGACTTGAGTGCCTAAGCCAACCTAACCAAGCCTGCCACGTTGCTGGTGCATCTTCCGGAATCTCGCTCGGTTTGGGGGGACGGGGGGATGAGACAGGAAATTCGCTGTCATGCTCTATGACCAAGACAAACCACGGTACATGAGTAAACGGTGTTCAAGGTCGGACGACCAAAGCAGCCAAGGTGACGTTGGCGGGCTTGATTTGCGGGCTCGCATCTTGTCCTGGGGTCGTCCATCACTAAACATGGACCACAGCTCTGTCCAAGGCCGCGACCTCGGGAGCCTGAGAAACTGGGACTGGGCCACCACCCGACGTCACACATGCCACACGGAGCCCGTCAGTGCTCAGGCGCAGGCCCTAGAGATCTCCAGGGCCCAGGGCTTCTTGGAGATAGCCCGGTCTTGTGTAAGGCCATGTCGACACTATTATCATTTTTGCAACAGCACACGGGATCTCATCGTTCTCCAAACTGAAGATTCTCGGCAGCTGCCGTGTATCTACACGCTCCGTACAGGGAGTTGCTCTGTACCTGGGCATCCAAGCCACAAATCGCGGGGTGTCGAGCTTAACGGGCTCCCTTGTCGGACAGCAGGGGTGGTCCCAGCCGCAATAGACGTCGACGTTGGAGCCAGACCAGCCCGGTGGAGCCGAGGGTAGGCTGTTCCCAGCCGGGCATTACGTCACCATGTCCCCAAGCTCCTGTCAAGCTCCCCCCTGGGTCTTGGCTGGAACCCATTGGATGGATAGCTGGACATAGACTCGGGGGGAAATGTGTGGTAAGTTACAGTATGTACAGACGGGGCGCGGGATCGATCGATGTCCTCGATTGGAAACGGGGTCCCGCATTCACATACACCACCGTAGTACGGACGAAGCTCTACAACCTTGGTTTGCTGTCTTTGCCTCGCCTCGCCTCGCTTCGCTCCTGGTCCGGCATCTGGAACCCATGCAAGCTATTGCATCAACACCACTTGTTGTCCTCCATCCAAACCGCAGCTCCCCTCCTATTTCTGACCAATTCACCTGTCTACAAGAACACACTTTCTCTCGAATGCTCTCGTGACATCAATTGGACTCTCCCAAGGGCCAGCTTCTGTGCCGTTTATTGCTGGGCCGTGTCGTGTCGTGTCGTGTCGTGTCGTGTTGTATAGTATTGTGATACTGCTTCCGCCTCGGTAACCCGCTCCCTCCACTGCCTTACTACCCGCCATCCCGTCTCCGAACCCAGACGATGCTTCGGAGCACGCGACCTCTGTTGGCAGGCTCCACGAGAGCTGTTGCCCGACAGAGGATAACGACGACTCCATCACGCCAAGCGCAACGCCATGCTGCATACTTCACCTCGCCGCCCAGCCCCAGGATAGCCGCTTCTCTTCCCATTGCGTCGCGCATTCTCCCCCTCACACACAAAACAGCCTATGCTACCAAGCCTCCGGGCCAGATGCAGTCGGGCCGCGACCCTGAAGAGGAGAAGAAATGGGCCGAGCAAAAGCTCAAGCCGCACCCGGAGTCTGTCTCGTCCGAGTCCAGCGTACGCCACCTGTTGGAGACTGGCAAGGAGAAGCCTCGGTCTGAAGCTACACCCGTCGCCGAGGGCATAAAACACGACTTGGTGGGTCTCTTCCGTATTCACGGTCTCGCACTTGGGTCGCAGGCAGACTATGAACTAACGTGTCACCTCCTCGCAGGGTCTCGTGAAAGAAACGTTTGCTCTCAACACCGTCCCCAAGGAGTCTTATGTCCTGGGCCTCGCCGGAACGATCCCGTACCTTGCGACATCAGCCAGCACCCTGTACCTGTCGTGGGCTTTGAACACAGACTGGCCGACCTCGTCGAGCTTCCTCAACGGCATACTCATGGACCACGACTCTGCGCGATACTGGCTAGGCGTTATTGAGCCTATCCAGCTGGGCTACGGAGCGGTCATCATCAGCTTCCTTGGCGCCATCCACTGGGGCTTGGAGTATGCCGAGAAGACGCCCAGCTACGACCGCACCCGCTTCCGCTACGGCCTCGGCCTGCTCGCGTCCGTCGTTGCTTGGCCCACCCTTTTCATCCCCTGGCAGTTCGGTCTGACCTCGCAGTTTGCCGCCTTTGTGGGCTTGTATTTTGCGGACTCGCGCGCCGCCGTCAGGGGTTGGGTGCCGTCGTGGTATGCCTCTTACCGGTTCGTCCTGACCGCCATCGTCGGCCTCGCCATCATGCTTAGTCTTATCGGCCGCATGAAGATCGGACCAGACGCGCCCCGCCTGACCGGCCTCAGCGAGAAGTTCCACGCAACCAATGGCGAGGAGGAGTACAGTGACAAATGGGCAAAAGCTGAGGAGGAAGAGAAGGTGAAGAGAAAGAAGGCAAAACAGGAGGAGGAGAAGAGAAAGGCCAAGGAGGAGGCAGAGCAGAAAAAGAAGGAAGAGGCCGAGAAGAAAAAGAAGAAGACGGGCGGTAAGGATGACAAGGTCGCTAAGGAAGGTGAGGGTGATAATGCTGGCGAAGGTAAGGACGAGGGAAAGGAGGAGAAGAGTGATGGCAAGGATGGAAGCTCCAATGAGGACGAGGCCGACGACAAGAAGAAGGATGAGGCCGATGGCAAGAAGAAAGACGCGGCCGGTGACGACAAGAAGGATGGTGGTGGAGATGAGAAATGAGTACAACGTAACGCGACTGAGCCCCGGTGCTCTGCACCGTCACGATCGCGATTCTTGTTTCTACTTTGTAAGAACTCAGCGGCTGGCGTTTGGGGGAATTTTTAATTACTATGCAGATTTAAGTTTCAGAGCTCGTGGATTTGACCTGTTCTCGCTCCGCACTAACCATACTGTGACGGTATCCTCCCCGTTTCCTTTTAGAATGGGGGAAGGCTTTACTGTTAAATAGTATATTTCCGCATGTAGCTTCCATGCGGTTGCAGTGAGTCACTGGACTATAACGTAGGATTCGGCTTCGACCCCAAAGTCTGCTTTGGAAACGTGCTTGGACGTACCACATGCATAGTCTGAGCTATATTCGGAAGGCAAATTCAAATAAATCCCCGGAGTACCCTAAGTTACTGACTGCCATAGCCATCTTTTGGAGCCAATCTCGTTGGTTGCTCCAAGACGTGGAGGATCAATCTCGTAGTAGTTAAGGTAGAAGTGGCACTATGCCACTTGGCTTCTTTGCCGCACCTGAACATACCCTGGAGTTATCAGCACTGTATTGAAACCCTTCTGTGACTGGTGGTCGTAGAAGTTTGAGATTTGGCGAAGTCCGGAGTCTTTCTCCCTAATTCCAGAAACCAATCGAGATAACGGCCATCCAGGTGTCACTGAATCATTCTAAGCCGCTTCGTTTCCTTACGGATCGAATACTTTATAGTTCATTAGTTCCGTCAATCATTCGAATCTGATGTAGATCGAAAATCAATCCTAAGTTGGTCGTATGTCGCATTAAGGTAGATTACAATAATTCTGGGCTTCAGGTGGCGATTACGACTTCAAACGTGACTGAACCTTATTCATTTTGCGCGGAAGTCCAGTTCCAGTCAGGACAGAGATTGCCGTAGCAAGCTTCTTCAACGGTCTATCTTCCGAAGACAGCTGTAGTTGATATTAACTACGCAAACATCCGCCCGAGAGGTTTTCATTGGCCAGAGAATTTTGGCTGATTTGGAACACCGTACAGCGAATATGCGCGCTATAGTCAATGACATCTTCTGGGCAAGTGGTGTTATTCCGCTGCGCGCGCTTGAAACTATTGTCGAGAAAGAATGCACTAATCCAGGTCTAATTGAAACTTGCTCCTTTACTAGCGTCCATTGAAAAACACAAGAAGGTCATGATCGATGTGTCAGTGAAATACTCATGTAAGCAATCAGGTCAACATATCTCCCTCGGTATAAACCTCTGAGACTTTGAAGCGGCAGTTAGTAGCTCAGCCCTCGAAAGGGAAAGGGAAAGAAAGCCGATGCGACCTGACCTGTGGAAGAGACTGAAAAGAGAACCCGGATGTCATCTTCTTTACTTTGAGCCCTTGATAGTTTCAGGCTGCTCATGAAGGAAGGATTTCCAAGGGCCAAGACCCATCAGAGTTGCAGCCCGATATTAGGCTGCTCGCAAGCCAAGAATGAGTTCAATCTTCTGTTACAGCAATCACGAATCCTTTGTACACTTCTTCTGGCGATTTCCTCGCTGACCACTCTGACGCGAGGACCTCTGACGACATGTGGATATGAATGTTCCAGAAACTCTTTCACCATCTCATCATTGATGTAATGAGCTCTTTCTGAAACAAATTGGGTATCTCTATGTCCATCTAGAACATCTCATGTCAAGAGGATCCGCGGCCCTTGCGATCATCGAGGCCAGTTCGGGCTCTTTGCATTGCCATCGGCTCGACTAGGTCCGCCAGTCGGTGGCGGCACAATTACTCCAAGTCCCTTTCAAAATTCCGCAACGGCAAGTTTTGTCATGTATGCTCGGCAGAAGACTGATCAAACTTGATTTTCTAGAAGATTGACGATCGTACCTATGTCTGTCCTCGGCACTTCGGTGGAGAGAAGTTAAGGTTTGCGTAGCGCTTGAAGCCCAATCACAACGTTAAACTACCTCCTCGGCAGGTAGGCAACCCAAATAGAAGAACTCCAGAAGCTTGCTCCATCTGAACCACGCCCAGACGGCACGTAATGATGCGACAGCCAATCAATCTACTGGTGCTATGCAGTTCTGAAACAAGACGTTCTGTCCTACTCCTGGAAAGCTGGCTCCCCGCTCTATAATCTGGTGCTTTCGTGCTTGGCAGTGCGGTTGGGCGAAAGTTTCCTACCGACCCGCCTCGTTGGCGGACCCATTAGAAAAGAAATCTGACCCTCCCAGATTACAAAATAAGGTTAAGTTGACTGCAGCAAGGGGCCAGCTCATCGCATGGCGATGCACTGCCCACCCCTGTCCATTACCCCTGGTTCCCCAATCACACAGGTGCGTGGTGGGCAGTTTTGCCTCGCAACGGTCGACTGATATAGGTATCTCGGTATATAACTCTATATCCGATCGGCATCGGCAGTTTTATAGTAACATGATGATAATAACCCTTGAGTCTCCACCAAAATGCTTCTGTCGATCGTTCTTGTCTGACGACACATACCTTCCTCTCACTGCTCTTGAAGCCTTGGCTTCAGCTTGCCTAGGACGGCGATGCATATACCTCCAGTCACGGGTGATCGATGGTCGCATTACGCGATCGCGATGCATTCTTCTAATATGGTTTAATCCAGCGTAGGAAGCTGCATCCGAAAAGAAAATTCAGATATATTACCAACTATTCAAGAGAGGTAGCGCCGTACACGTATATCCGCATGACCGCCTTGGCGAGGCCAAGCCATACAGAATGATTATGAGTTAATGATGAGGATGCGATGACGGGCCCTTCGACTATATAAATGGACGAACATCCCATCCGCCCAAACAGTGGGGAGAGGCATTCATGTTTGCAAAGCTTTGCTTGCAAATACTTTTGATCTATTATCACAGCTACCACCTCTTGTCGTTTCATTCAAAGATGCATATCCACACACTTCTTCCCCTACTAATGCTGGGCGCTTTTAGCGTTGCTGAGTATGATTCCAAACGGCAAGACAACTTAGATGCGTGTCACAGCGATGGTAAGTATAAACATTAGTATTCTTTACTTTGCGAGCTCACCAAACTGATTGACACGCGTCAGATACTGCCAGTCTTAACACCAACTGTGGCTGGCCTCACATCATAGGGAGGGCAGTTGTTGTGAGGAGCCCATATCCACAAGTGCCTCCTCCACCTCCTACGCCTCCAATACCTCCCACAGATCCAGCGCCTCCTCCACCGCCACCTCCTCCAGTTCCGCCTACTGGACCGGCACCTCCGCCGCCACCGCCGCCTGTTCCGCCTACTGGACCAGCACCGCCGCCACCGCCGCCGCCTGTTCCGCCTACGGGACCGGCACCTCCTCCTCCTCCACCTGCTCCCACAGGTCCTGCACCGCCTCCACCACCGCCTGCGGGATCGGCACCTCCTCCGCCGCCTCCACCTGCTGCTCCTCCGGTTCCTCCTCCAGCTTCTCCTCCGGTCCCCCCTCCGCCGCCACCAACCGGACCGGTCCCTCCACCGCCCGCTCCCACGGGTCCTGCACCTCCTCCCCCACCGCCTGCGGGATCGACGCCTCCTCCTCCTCCAGCTGCGCCTCCGATCCCTCCTACGGGGTCAGCACCTCCGCCTCCTCCACCGACTGTTCTCCCTAGGAGTCCAGCACCACCTCCTCCACCTGCACCACCATCCGCACCTACAGACCCAGTGCCACCACCACCGGCTCCTCCAGTACCCCCTACAGGCCCAGCGCCGCCTCCACCTCCTCCGGGTTCAGCGCCGCCTCCACCCCCTGTTCCGCCGCCAGGTTCTGCACCACCACTTCCACCAGGTTCTGCACCACCCGTTCCTCCACCAGGCTCTGCACCGCCGCCGCCTCCTATTCCTCCCTCGGTTACAACTCTTCCAACCGCCCCTGTTGCTCCCACGCCTCCAACCCCGCCTACCTTCGCCGCAACTTTTACTACACTTACACCCACGGCGGTAATGGCAGGCGAGGCGGATGCAGCCACTCCGCTTCCCGCTGCGGCCGCGCCTGCCACGAACTCCGGGTTGGGGGTGAAAGTTCTTGCCGGAATCGCGATTGCGATTCCTATACTACTTTGAGTCAATCAGGCACTAGGCTTTGTCCATCGAATACAAAGGCATAAGGTGCCCAGAATGTGGCAAGGGACAAGAGTACCTTTCATACACAATCTTTTGTTACGGAGTTCTGAGGGATGAGGGCATGTTCTATTGCTTACGGGACTCAGGACGGAGTTGATAAAGTGATATGCGCAAGCTTGAGGGATAAAAAAAAACCGAAATAAAACGCAATGTGTGCTATGAGGTCGAACGGTAAACACGCGGGAGATTGACGGATCGAAGTCTTAGCAGAGTACTCTCATTCAGAAGCTTTGCATTCTATATTATTCAATAATCAACGCTCATTTTACACAGTCTCGGCCCTTTTTAAGGTATCAATCTACATGGCCATGCTCCTATGCCACGCATCACACTGCCCCCATCAACTCTAAAATAATATAAGACTGCGGTCGTGCCTGAACCTGTTTCTTTCCACAGGCATATACCTGAGCTTCCAATACGATAGAATATATTAAAGTTCATTTCCGAGCTTTCTCAGACGAATCTGTTTATCGTAATTGTCACATTGCTCTGGAAGAACCATTTCATTGGCTAAGAACTAGACAGCGGGTCTGATGAGATGATTCTTCCAAAGCCATGTGACAATTGCGGCAGAGAACCACAATAGCATGAAAGGTCTTGTTACTGTCGAGAAAATCAGAAGTCGAGAAAATCAGAAGTCAATCTGCAGTGGAGATGATTGTGGCGGATTGCTGCAGCTGCTGTGACCGTTGCCTTCACTTCCACCTTGTCTTGGGCTTATCTTACCCACCTCCCATTATCCCTATTAGACCTAGGCCTTCCGGGTCGTGACCAAAAGTCCGATCATGTTCATCTCGTAGAATGGACAGTATGGTACATTTCATAAACGCACAGGCACGACGTCGACCTTACTTGTGAACCCCGCTAGTACATTCCGAAAACCTAGCTGTAGGCTAGTTTCTCGACCTAGCCATTTATTGAGAGACTTCAACCGCATGCTTACTTCATTGGCTACTTGACATACTGGCATGTAAAATGGATCATGGAAAGGCCTGTTCCGCCGATGTTCGTTTGAATACTGCCGCTGCACCTAGCCATGATCAATTGCAAATCAAATATGGTGCTTCGTTCCATTGCCACGGGATACCAAATAAGGAAACCTCAAAGGGCTTAACTAGTGCTAGTGGGTGGGGAAATCAGGGGCTATGATTTGCATTAGCCAACTACCTAGAAAATGCGGATCTTTCTCACTGTCCCGCCGCTTATTAGAGCTTTACCATGATTCTAGCAATTTAGACGCCTGTGGGCAGGCCAACTTCGTTTCTCACTCCGTACTCCCGGATCTCCATTCCCGAAATAGTCTATATGAGGGATTTTCGGGCATATTACTTCTTTTTTGAGGGAGGCAACCTGGACGCAACACCAGCCTACCCGGCATGCTGCGAGAGTAGTGAACAGTGGGCGGCCTCCGATGCACCGTAGCATGAGCAACTAACATGTCTTACATGCGCCAACATCATGATATGGTCTAGTTACTAGAAGACAGAAAGTGGAGCTAGTACAGGAAGCAATAGGCTACGTACTAGTACACAGCCTATCCTAACTTTTGGTAATCATTGCTAGCATTCGGGGAGTACCTTGACAGGGAGAGCAGGTCTTCTCTACAGCCCTTGTGCTGAATATCACGCTGCTTCAAGTAGCTGGTCCTTCTAATGAGAACAAAGCCACGAAGGGTCCAACCTGTCATACCAGCATGCCAGCGATTCAGCGCCCTCGCAATCTCTCATAGCTCCTACTTTCAAACGGATGTGCGGCATTATAGTCCACATGTTGAGCTGTCACAGGCGAACTAACTGATATGTAATATGAGCTGGATGCGGGATGTCAAACCAGCCAGAAGCTCCTCTTTGCCGATCGTTCCATTGACTTGCGCCAAAAGGATGCTCTTGCTTTCCTGAAGTTTGACACTGTTATAAAGGACAGTCATTTCCCCCTTGACTTGTCTCATTCGCGACAGTTTTACGCCTCATATGCGCAAAAGAGCTATCTTCCCTTAGATATCCTCACGCTATTGTCAATATGCCACTCAAACAACCGACTGGCTTCAGTGAAGACAGTATTCCCCATGGACAGTACCAGTCTCCCATATTTGGCTCTCTGCCAAGGGAACTTCGAGATTCAATATATCTCGAGGTGTGGCGGTCTTTTGGCTTATCTTTGCATCTATTCTGGCATAGCGACGACTTCAGGAACTCGAAATTTTGCTCTTGGCCATGCGAAGCTGAGTTCCACGTAGGCGACAAGCGAGAGCAGGAACTAGAGGCCATCTGTGGAAATGATGACCCCCCTCAGTTCCTGCATGATCGACTGTGGAACGGCCGCATTGGTTCTCACTGGCTCAATCACTGGCAGTGTGAAGAAAAGATTCTGCAGGCACGAGAAGATTCTGGATTCCCGCCAACTAAGATGGAAGACACTTTCGACAAGAGTCACTGTCCTTGCCGAGTAAGGCAGGCCCTTCCCCATAAACCATACTTGGCGATGTTGACAACATGCAAGAAACTGTAAGTCACAAATGTATTTTTATTTTCACTTTAAATATGCTAAAAGATTATGTGGTTAGTTATCTCGAGTGTATCCAGTCACTCTACAAAAGTACGACGTTCGTCCTGACTGGGCCTACCAGTCTTCGAACGTTGTTGGGCCGGACAACGGCAGCGCCTGATGTCCCAGCTTCGTTCTTAAAACACATCTGCAAACTGGAGATATCATTGCCATACGACTTTTATTCGCATGGGCTCGTGGAAGATTCGCCGTACGATTTCCGGTGGTTGCGTCTGGGCGACCTGGTACCTAACTGCCGACAATTGAGGATTTGGATAGCTGCACCTCAGCATCTGGGAACACATGCAGATAACCTCAGCTATGTCCCGATAATCCAGATGGATCACGAGTCACTGCAGCATGTCTTCTACAAACTGGGCGAAATGAAACCAGATTGCAGCATCACAATCAGCACGCCACTGGGAGAGTCAATAGGGCCTGAGAGTGGCTTTGTGGACAGTATTGCCCAACATAGGCACGTACATATCTGGAAGCGGCATTCAGGAGATAAGTTCTATGCGAAGCCTTCCCCATTTGACGATCTCATAGAAATACAAACGGACAGGTACGGGCCAAAGCTGTTACTTTTCTAACACTTCATTTAATATACCATTGCTTATGATAGATGCAGGAGTGTTACGTCCTTGAAAGCAGCTGTCGGTATGCGGCGTTGGGCTTTCCCGCAACTCTACCCGCACAAGCGCTTGGCGAAATGTTAGAATGCACAATCCGTTCTTTATTGGAATAATGCAGGGCACTTATACCGTCAAATCTGTGACTTATCATCGCTCTCTGCTAGGGAACAACACTGTATATTCCTTAATGAGCTTCATTCACCTGTGAACTTTTCTTTGCTGAACAAACACAATCTTTTCCAATTCTGAGATATTAACAAAAGAGCCTCTTTAAAATTGCCAACTCCAATATCTTTGGTAATCAAGTTAAAACGTCAGGTATTACATGGTGCACTAGCGCCTACTGCTGTCTATCTACCATGCCTCGAACCATCTCAATAGTCTATCTTTGGGTATCATAGGTATCCTCGCGTAGTTCTGTGTCCTTATTTCGCACTTGGGTTTAGCCTTGCAGCTGGGGCAGGTGTCGTAAGACATGACTGGGTTCTCGGCATTTTCTGGTCTTGCGGGCTCATGATAGGAAGTATTGGGCCAGAGTCGTCGCTTTGCTCTGGGCTGTGCTGATAGTAATCCTCGCGGATTTGATCAAGTGAGCTGATACTGCGCAATTGTATCATGTCTGTATTGTCGACAGTCGATTTCTCCGCCCTCGAGAACCGACTAGAATATGAATACCGGAATGACTGCCGGCTTGGCGGCAGCGAAGGCGGAATTTCTGCATCATGGCTGGCGTTGAAGGACATATTGTACTTAGAAACCAGTGAAGCCACTGGTAATTGGAATGTAGAGATTTCCTCTTTCGCCATGGTGCCTTCATTCCAATCTCCTTCTGAGGTGCGCGTAAATTGATCCTGCGAAGCCCTCCCCACGCCGGCTTGGGCGTCCCTCCTCTTCCGCGGCCAACTTGGGGTATCACCTTTGTTTTCACAAGACTCCCGCGCAAAAATATCCTTAACGGCGGCCCGACATCCCGCCGTTGTACCAAATACTACGAATAAGAAGATTCCCGGAGTGACTCCTGGCAGGAATAGCATAAACGTTGTCTTAGCGCGATCCAGGCTGTAATCGGGCTCGGTCAAGGTGGAATCTTTCCTGTTGTTGTTAACTGACTGCAGCTGGAAAAGGGTGTTGGTAACTTCGAAGACGCTATGATTTAATGTTAGTGAAAAATATGGATGATCCCAGGGCCATGACCTACGCGAGGATCACAAAAGCGACCGTAAACCGGACCATGAGCCAACGGTCATAGAAAGTCCTTTTCTGCTGAGGCTTTGTGGGGCTCCCTGTTCTTCCTGTGGTGCTGCTCAGGGCTGTCTCCATTGAAGTATCGTTGCTATCAGCGGATGAGTTGCCTTGTGTCCAGTTGGAGAATCTTTTCCGTGATTGAACATATCGGGCCAGAATGGCTATCATAGTGATGCTTCCTATTGCTAGGCTTAACATCACTCTATAATGTTAGCTTGCCTCACATTTGGTGATTGTTAGGTTCAGCTCACATGGGAGGTCGGCTAATAGAATAAAGACAACGAAAACCCTCTGTATGGCGGATGCTCGGAGCATCAATATGGTCAGAAGAGGGAAGAGGATTGAAAATGCTTTGCCCACAGCATTGATTTTCCTGAGAATGGGTTTCAGCTTCGGATTTGCGCTCAGACCGTACACAGATTGAGCTAATTCAAAAGCCCAAAACATGACTAGCATCGCCTCAACATTGTAGCTGTAGTACTCTAGATACTCATCAGCTTTTGGGGCTTCTAGCGAGTAAGCGAGAACTGTACTTACGGATATAGTACAAGACCAGGTCAAGACCGTAGGATCCATTGGCGATCGCAAGCTCCGGGTTCTCCAGAAATGTGGTCTTTCGGTAAAACTGGCCTGCCAGGATTTCTCGGTAGCTAGTGATATCATGCGACTGTTGGACTATAGACGCTGTAGTACTAAACAAGGTGAAGTAGGCGAGGATAGAGAGATCTTCTTGAGTTCAGCGAACGCTATAATATATACCGATAGCAGCACTCACAAGACCAAGCCTCGCGATATAACTGGGCGCACCAGATCAACAGGGCGCTACATATCCAGCTGATGGACGAATAGATCAGCGCGAAGGCAGCGAATCCTTCGCACCCCGAAGGAAGCTGGTTGATCTCGGGCATCGCGGTTGCCTTACGGTGTCGACCTCCGTCTTCACTTTTGCAGCCACGCGGGACGAGGCAACGTCAGGTATGCGCGAACATCAGCGGAGACTTTGAGAATTCGCAATTCCAACAGAGTCAGACTAAGGGGGACCGCTAAGCTTTCATAGTCGGCGCAAGGTATCACAGTAGACGTCAACAAACGCCGGAAGAGGCTGGGTGTGCGGAATCCCTGCGTATCAAGTACCCCCTCAAGCAATACTGTCCCTCTATGTCGAAATGCAACACTACCTAGGGGCCCGGGTCTAGATGCATTACACCTTTTCAGCGGCATGTAGGGGTAAGCTCGGACGAGACATTCACCAGACTGCAGATGCCAAGACATCCTCTTACATGATGCGCGGAAGGTCTGATACGGACGGGATCACACTAGACGCTTACAGTACTACCACGTACTCGTCGAAACCATGTGGCTTACCGACATTTTGATTAGTCTAACCATCAACAATACGCCCCAAACTCTGATTGATCAAGCTTTTAGAAACTGGAGATGGCACCTGCATCGGCGGGCGTCCGAGAAGGGAAGATTTTTGGACCCGCTCTCCTAATCCTCGGGTACGATCAGCTGTACAGTCGCATGCCAGTAACGGAGGAAACCGAATCTCCCAGGGATAGGCTTGCGCCACCAGGGGTCCCTACCGGTAGTGTAACTGTTAGTCAGAAGAGGCCAGATGAGTCGCCAACCGACGGTGCAGACTCCAGCCGAATGCATGATATTGATTGTGTCTGCAACTGCTACACATGGCGGCTAATTGCATCGAATGTCACTGCTAAATCGTGAGCAATGCGTGACGTGCATGATCCAGCTAGACCACCACCGGCTTGCCCAAACGCAAGGCCGCTGGAGTAAAGCTGGCAACTTCGACGAAATATGTTTAGAGCGAGTTTGCCGACATTAATATCTTATCGTCTAGTAACCAAGCCACAGCACAACAGAGGTTGGAGCTTGCCATTTCAGGGCCGGCACCAGGGTCTCGGGCTCGTGCCAATCTCGTCCCTTCCCGAGGGCACGGACATATGATGGAGGGAGAGGAGCAAATTTAATTGGGCGATCTGGAGTATGGGGCCCCTTGGCGACTCGGGGAGTTCGTCCAATCTTGGCTAACGCTGATCGTGGAAATTCTTCTAACACTTGGGTCCATAGCAGCCAGAGCACCAAGCATGCCAGAAACGCAGTCCAAAGTCACCATGAGGGCAGGTAGCTACTGTTACTCCAAAGCCAGGTTAGCCTTCTTGCATATCTTTTGGACGGAAATCTTTAATGTCACTACTAACGGCCATGCCCAATTCGGGAATGGAGTGCTCAAGCTTCTCGGCTGTGGCTGACACGTTAGACCTTCATCTATCGGAGGCGGTTGCTAGAAGAGGCATAAGTGACTCTGAAACAAGTTGCTGAGGTATCAGCTGTCCCGTATGGTCGGGTTTGAAATCACAAGTGCGGGGGCTGCATTTGAGATCTTCAGGCTGCTGGCTGGGATATTCGGCCGGCTTACCGAGGCCACGGGCTTTCTCAGCAAATGAAAGGTGGACGGAGACGGGGGATCCTTTCTGTTAGTAGCGCAACTATTGTCAGGATATCAGTTGGGGTTGACTGCCCCCTGATCAAGTGGTAAGTCCAGCCACCGATTAGATATACAGTTTATCACGTAGTCAGATGGTGAACAAGAGGCACCAGGTCTGTTCTCGTGTCGATCCAGAAACCATTTTCAAACATTTTGGGACTTGGTGGCTTTGACTTTTCCAACCGGCTCAAAAGCACTGTCTGCCTTCTTATGCGAAAACAATGAGGAGACATACCTTCCGTCTAGAGATGCAGGAAACCTCTTGATTTGGCACGCATATTCTCTTTTCAATTGGCGATATTGCATGTGTTACTCTGTCACAAGTGTGGCATTGGTGCTACGCGAGAGACAGGGTTATAGCATCCCGGCGGTCTCCGCAATTTGTCGGAGTGGCTCAAAACCTGACCCAGCGATGAGACACCAAACGCCGGCTCACAACTCTCATAAACCACAGTCCTACGGAAGGAATAAACATGGTGAGCCCTCAGATGTTAACCTAATGGGACTACCTAGGGACCTCGTCTCCAATTACGTCGATAACTAACTACCTGAGCTAGAAAGAGCTCAATACTACTTCCAGAGTCGAGCACGGCCCGCAACATTGCATCTGGGTCTTGGGTGCACGATTGGTAAAATCCATTCAAGCCGCCATAAGCCGGTCATATTTAGAAACGACGGCCATGACTTCATTCCCGCGGCTGTGTAAGCGCAGATGCAATACAGACCTGCCTATTTGATCCATGGTTGGCAACGCACGGACACAACTTGGTTTACTCGACAATTGAACTTCACCTCCGCAACTTCACGTTCATTGGTGGCGCACGTTAGAACTATGGCTGGCAAAGCAGGCGTCATCTGCAAATGTGCCTCCGCCGCCATCAATGTGGAATAAGGAGCCTTCCTGCTGCCACGCAGCATACGGGGTACAGGCCAAATGTCGTTACACCACGATCGACTTTCAGCTCGTGCCCCTCCGAACCTTAAACAATGCACAACACGTGCGAAAGACAAATGTTCACCCTCCAGGGCTTCCTGCTATTCCCGCTACGAATCCTTGGTCCCACGTGGCTAACAACTTAGACCAATTTCCCGATACCAGAACTGTCAGGGCAATGCATACCGGCAATCAACAACGGCCGTGTATGTATTTGTGCGTGCGGGTATAGATGGGGGTCTTTATTCACGTGCATTCACAACAACGAGGTTACACCTGACGGTATTCGCGGCTAAATCACACCTGTCAACGTTCTCCCCAAACGCAATATTCATGTTCTGGATTACCTCCTCGCAGTGCCAATGCTGCCAGAAGCTGTCATAACTTGGCAATGACTTGGAGCGTCCTGTAGTGCTATGAAGTTTATAGCTGCGTGCACGATGAACGCCTGGCATATTAACACGCTTGGTCACGGCCAGCAGCAATCTTGCCGAGTTCTCGATGAAATGGCTTTGATATGGGGAAGGCCAAAGATGCGTGCGGATGGAGCGGGCTAAACAAGTGCGAAGGACTGCAATCCGTCCAGCACGGAGTCCTCACCATTTCCAATGGTGTAAGTTGCTGGTTATTTTTTGTGATACATTCCATGAGCTTCATAATCGATTCCCGTCTGTCCACAGCAATGCGAAACGCCGCCCCGTTCCCTATCATTATTTCTCCTAAGTGAGTGTATGTAGTAATAGCAGGAGCGGTACATATTCAATCGTATACCACACCTACAACGACCACGACCGATATATACACATTAATTTGACCCGGTTACAAGCCTTGGCTGTATATAAAAAACGAGACGCAGCAATCAGATTTGCGCTTGAAGAGACTGACTCTGTTTTCAGATAACAATTGATGCCTATTGTTGCTTTCCTGTCTAGTTTCTGAAGCGAAGTCACCTTGAGATTAAGACGCAAGCCAGCCCACGCCCTGAACAGAGACCCTCCGTTTCCAATTGCAAAATTGCAGCCTAGCACAGCGTAACTCGTACTGCAGCGGTGATCAGTTCTGAGCCCGGAAATGAGATTATGCGTATGTACCGGGACGGCACAGCTTCATACCTACAGTACATCTAGCTTTTCTCATCTATCACAGCTACTCAGTCCGGCAGCTGCAGACAGCTGCAAGCCCAATTGGCCCCGGATCAACGACCCTCAATCTCAATTGCAGATGCATCTGCGAACACCACCAGATCACGACCCCCTCCCTACATTCCCCCCCTTCTTCTTGTTGAAAAACAGTGGCTTTATATTGGAACCGACTCGCATAAAGACTACTGTCATGGGATTCTCGGACACACCTCCATCACACGTGCCGCCATGGGTTGTGCCGCTGTCAACCGTGTTCCTCGGCGTGGGGTATTGTTTTGGGACCTAGCATATATCCTCATGACGCGCCGGAGTCTCAAGACACGGTCTTATGGTATGCCGATTCTTGGTCTCGCTATAAATGTCGCGTGGGAGGTCATATACGGTTTCTATGTGGCCGAGATCTGGCTTGAAAAACTGGGCTTCATCTTCTGGCTGCTGTTAGATCTAGGCCTAGTCTACACCACGATTCGATTTGCTCCGGAGGACTGGGCAACCACTAGTCCCTGGGTGGGCCGCAATATCACCTATATTCTTGCATCCATGTTGCTTGTAGGATGTTGGGGTCATCTCGCGTTTGCCTCATGGTGGCTGGAGAGTCCGGGTACCGGGTTCGGGTCCAAGGCTGGCAAATGGTGGCGAGGGCAGGAGGGCTTTGACACAACGGAGCTCGCTTACTGGTCAGCTGGGGTTTCTCAAATGGTCCTAAGTGCTGCAAGTCTAGCTATGCTAATGGTGCGCGGCCATTCGGGGGGCACCAGTTACGCGATTTGGTGAGTCTAGTTTCATTGGACTGCTGGTAGTGGGAGCGGCCAGGTAGTCTCCTGACTTAAGAACATTTGGCCTGGAGGAAGGACCCTTTGCCTTTTCTGATAGTTCAACACGATTGTGCAACTTTTAATATCGCTTTATACGAAACTAGCAAGCCTCAGCATATTGGTACTAGGTTAACGTTATCATAGGTTTTGTCGGTTCGTTGGGTCGCTATTCGGCATGGGATTCTGCAACGCATTACTTTGGTGGTACTGGCCAGAGGCTCATGGTTATTGGACCAGTCCCTTGGGGATCTTTTTATGCGGGTTGGCATTTGTTTGTGATCTAGTATATCCCTTCGCTTTAACAAACGTATACTCGGCCGAAGCGAAGCTTTCTGTTGACCACTCCGCCCATGAGCATCCCGAGGGACTGAAGATTAAGGTCGGATAATCATGCTTTCTGACATGGCTATCTGACTCAACTGCTGTGTTAGGGCCAACCTATATCCTGGTTTGATACGAATGTTCATATTGATTAAAGCCATTTTAACACAATTTCCATCCCAAGTCTGTACTGCAATCGAAATCCGAAAGCCCAAATCTGTTAATATCTTTGAAATGTATATGCCATGAATAAACACGTGATGTATCCTACTGCAACCTACAAAGTATGATATATAGATACCGCCAAGTTCACCTGTGACCTGGACGTAGCAAACCTCTCCATCTGGACGGTACGCTCACCGCACAGTGGGCAGGAATAGGAATGCGACACAAACGATGTTTTCTTTTCAGCAGACATCAGGCTTGGCTCACTTGCTCATAGTGATCGATCGCCAAAGCACCTACCAGACCGCTTTGTGTGCCGGCTTCCTGCTTTTGCAAGTCGTGGATGTGACACCGCCAAAGTGGGAGCGTTCATCGTGGGCCTTCATCGAAACAAGCTGTAGCTTGCGTTATCGGGCTTGCCACACGGCAGCTCTTCCCTATCTGCAACGCCACTTTGCAAGGAACATGGGTCCCATTTTGTAAAAGAAACGCGATCTTACTGATCTAGTAGCTGATTTACATAGCACGACTAGCCTATCGGGTTGGTTTACGGAGCTTTCTGCTGTCCTGTAAGACAGTTGCTGCTCATGCATAGTTGTGCTTCCACGAGCGGGTAAATGCCAGCTCCAGTGGTAGTTGAGCATGCTTCACGAGCTTGCCAGCTACCGGGTCTCTGGATCTGTGGCTGGACAAGTACCCATTATGGAAAACTTGAGGTACATTCTGGACGATGTCACATGAGTGGTTGTTTATGCGGCATGGCGGGTAACTATCCACGCCCTCACATAATGACATTGCCAAGTGCTGTGCTTGGGTTGCCGAAAGGGCTGAGACAGAGCCTAGTTACTGTTCCGTCATGGTTTCTTCTCTCTGCTGCCGAGTTTCAGACCACTGATGGGGGCTAAGGGGAGCCGTTAGAATTAAAGTGTTGACTACGGCCCGAAGGTCGTCGGCTCTTAGGATGTGGTTATTTCATAGTTAGGCACAAACCGGTACTGAGTTGATTTACTGCACCTGTATAGGCTGATTTTCCCTCTGTAACGATAGTAGAACGCGTCGCCCCTTGGAAGTCCCGGCGCCGCTGACAGAAGTAGCAGGTTGGCAGCAAATGTTAAACTTTTGCTTTTTCTTCTTCCATTCCGCTCAATAAAGTGGAGGTGCTGTTCTGGCGGTCAACGGCGGCCGCTCATTGCAAGACATCTCTTACTGTCACAGTAGGATCCGTCTTATACCTTGTCGAGGCGACCCCGGTCGATTTGAGTGCTGACGGATCGGATCGTCGCGGTATCCACTAACTTAGATAGTACATTGAGTCGGTCATGAGTACGAACAGCTGGTTACCCTAGCGCAACAGCAACTGTCGGACACACCGTGACGTTGCAGACTGCTTACTACATCGGTGAGATCCTTCTCGACCAACCCCAAAGAGGTCGGGGTATTGACCGTCGAGCATCCTGGCAGCACATGGCATCCGTTATGTTCATGCTCGCCAATATTGTGCCACCCCCAATTTTCAATGAGGGACGATTTCAGGCCATGGCTGTGTTCGTAGGCTCATTTAGTTCGCAGGCCATGCACTGTGTACGTGTAACCAACGAGCACTCGTCAATCTCGCATGCGTTTATCGGAGCAGATTTCGGACCTTTTCCGAAGGAGGCAAAGGATACGCCCGAAGACTGCAACAGGATGTGATGCCGTGGCCTTTGAGAGATTTCCATATTAATCACGTACGACTTATGCTTGGGTGAAATGACTTCATCAATCTTTCTGCGAGGTAATATAAGGGTTTTAGAAAATGCATTCTGGAGCAGGGGGAATGCAGCGACGGGGCCAAACAGGAACGGGTGGACGATACAACAGCGAGCCCCTCTAGCATTTCCCTGTCACTGACCCGGGTATGACCACCTCGGACTCCTCGAAGGCTAGGGACGGGATCTAAACCTCTAGCCTCACACCACGTCCCGAAAGGAACATGTCACAAATCACTAAACTAGTGCATTCGCCCTGCCATTAGAATTATCTACCGCAGACCAGCGGCTTGAAGTTTGTCAAGCAAAAGAAGCATGCGCACATCCCGTAGCTATGGAATGCGAATGCGGATGGGCCAACATTAGAAAACTGTACCATGATCTTAGGTACCTTCGCGCTGGAGGATGCAACCACACCCCGGACATGATGATGGCCAGAGTATTGGGCTAGCTTTCCACGTGTAGCGTTGCTATTCAAGGCCCGTACCAAATAAGAAAGCACGCAGCTTCGGAATGGGGCCCAAGTGCAGAGATGTTGCCAGGAAACTAAGTGAAGTGTGTGTGGATTGATTGCCTTTGTAGGTGCAGGAGGTCAGATATCGGTGAGCAGGATGCACTACCTCATCACGACCGACGGCTACGACAGGCTGTGTTGCTGCCCATCGCCGGGACATGTCACCTCACATTGACGACCGCGAGGCAGCCCAAACGAAGACGGATTGCGCGCTGGAGAAAATGTCGGACGGAAAAGTGCATTTTGAATGCCATGCGCCTTTATGATATTCCACGCAGCCGACTCGCGCAATCGGCGCCTGCGCGAGGGCTCGGGCAGAAGCGTCGAGCACCAACACCTAGGATTCCCAAGTAGGTAATCCTTGACGGCCACTCCCTCAGTTAACACTCGTGGAGGGGTTGCATGGGTGACGGGCGGCGACCCCTCCATGCTGCCATGTGCGTCGTCTGGAGCCTGGTGGGTGGGGGCAACCAATCGCGCGGGATAGTTGCAGGGCCCATAGGAGCAACAGCCAGGATTAGATGCAGTTATCTGCGAGGGTGTAATGTGCTGTAGATAGCAAAGCTACCAAGCGGTTGGACTGATGACTCGCAAAATTTGCCTGGAGTTGAATCAGGGAATTCCGCGCTTACGGCAGACCTGATGGCACATTCATGATTCCAAGACATAGTACCAGTACCGAGTACAAAGCAGGAGGCCGCGTGTCCGTCTGGCAAGTTTCGTTGAGAAAAACACCAGGGAGACGGGCTGGGCCCTTGGGGCTTCTTTCTAACTTGCCTTGCATGGGTGAGCAAAAGTAGCCGACGTCCGCATTACGGCATAAACTCCCAGACGAACCTGCGAGTTGTGATTCTGGGCGAGTGGGCTTGATAAAATGCAATGAAGGACAGAGAAGAACTGCCCAGTGGGATATCCTAAATAAAAGACCAGCAACGCCGCGTTCCATGAGCTCCCTAGTAGATGCGCCGTATCCTTTCCGAATCCATTCGCCAGAAAACTCCCCAAAGCTGACCAAAAACAAGGCTTCAAGCCCATCCCAGAGAGGTTCGCACCTCAGTACACTCTTGAACGTGTTTCTTTATCTCTGAATGCAGTAGTAGTACCTGTCCCATGTCTGTTTTCATGCTTTCGATATCAATTCCATGGTCGCGTTTCAAATTCCAAAGGGTCGGCTGCGCAGTCCCGTGTAAGTTGGGATTGGTAGCTGTAGCAATCCTCGTTCACTTCGGAGGATTACAGCTGCTAAAGATTAGACATACGGAGCACGCCGATTGCCTCGTCGGATCATCCACTCCCAAGCAGGTGGAGGATGTGGTCTGCAATCGCCTGACAGTATGTGAGCGATAGTAGCACATCAAAGGTCGGGCTCGAACAGAGTACGGCGTCGTAGCCGGGGCCAACCCATGGCAAGGCAGGGCCGGACCGTTCTGGAAGAGAATTCTGACAAACACAATGACTTACTGCACACTTCGTCGGCCCTGGGGGAGTTGTTAGTAACAGCAGGGCTGGATCAAATGCGGGCTCGGCATACCTGTACTCTGCGGTTGTTACATTTGGTTGACATACTTTGTGTGTCCGTTCATAACTTGAACACCATCTCTGAACACGGAATCGAAGGTGGTCGCAGTAATACTGCACCTAAAAGCCAGACTTCGTGAGCGAGATTCTCCGTCTACAGGTGCCGAGTTGCAAATCCATACCTGCGTGTACTCACACATCTCCCAAGAGGTGAGGTTGAATCTCCGTAGCGGGACTCTTGTAAGTCGGACACCGTACGCGCTATCCTGGGGACGACGCTGCCCAACTCCGCCGTAAATGCTGATATCCTCGAGCCTGTGTAAAGGGGTACCCTGGCGGCTGGACTTGTGTGTTTACCAGGGCAGAACGTCAGAGACTTATGCAGAATGCTCAGTCCAGGGATGCGGTGATGTTCGCGATGAAGGCGTGGTTGATATTTATGGGCTCGACAGCACTTTGGAGAAGAAGCCGGAGACGGATTGAATTGTATGGCCCCCTTGCTTTTGGTTTCCAGGTCTTATGCACCTTCTAAATATGCCGGGGACAGATCAGTTTTTAGTGGACTCTCTCAGCGAGCTGGGTACGTATCGGGCCACTCGTGCTAGGCTAGGCACAGAGGACGAGACGACTCTTTCCTCAGGGCTCGAGTTAAACCATGATCCTTGCACATCGTTTGACAAGCCCAAAAAGTCG